GTTGTTGGTCAGCGGTCCCCGGGAGATGTAGAGGAACACAGCGTACCAGTCGCGAGGGGGCGACGGCTGCTTCGTGCTGTCGCTCTTGATCGTCACGCCGAATTTCTTTTCAAAATCGGCTCTGGGGGCCGGGGGTGTGGGGTGGGGAGAGAGATTGAGTCGAATCTACAGTCGCAGCTAGGCTAGGCAACGGCTGCTTTGCTTTGACACGAAATCGGCTCCGGGGTGTGGTGGGAGTGGGGTGGTGGGAGTGGGGATGGTGGGAGTGGGGTGGTGGGAGGGCCAGAGAGGCAAGGAGGGAGAGGAGGACAGAGGGGGAGGGGACTTTGAGTCGAATCAGGCGACACTCTGTGAGGTGTGCGAATCTCTGGCCGTGTGGCTCTCTGGCCGTGCGGCTCTCTGGCCGTGCGACTCTCTGGCCGTGCGACTCTCTGGCCGTGCGACTCTCTGGCCGTGCGACTCCCTGGCCTTGCGAATCTCTGGCCGTGCGAGGGCTCACCGCTGGGCATGCGTGACGAAGACGATGGGGGAGAGGCTGTGCGACCCTCTGACTGACCTTCTGACTGTGCGACCGCTGTGCAACCCTCACCTCAGGCCGTGCGACGGCTCACCGCTGGGCGTGCGAGGGCTCACCGCTGCGCGTGCGTGACGAAGACGACCCAGGTGATGGCGGAGACCCAGGGGCGCGCGTAGCTCGTCTCGTTCACATACGCCTGGAAGCTCTCGCGCGTGATGCAGCTGCCGTACCCCCACGGGTTGCCGTCCGCCGTCTCGCCGAACACATCCACCAACCCCGTGAATACCTGCGGACAGAGACCGGAAAAGGGGAAGGGAGAAGGGGGAAGGGTGGTTGGAAGGCATCATGAGGCGCGATCAGCGCGTGATGCAGATGCCGTACCCCCGCGCGTTGCCGTCCGCCGTCCCGTCGAACACGTCAGCCAAGATTGCAAACACCTGCGGATGGGTAGGGGAAGCGGAAAGGAGGAAAGGGAAGGGGCGATGTACGGTTGCACCTGGGAGTAAAAAAATATTCGAAATACGCCTGCGACGCGAGGGAAGGGCGGTCTAACGGCATCGCGAGGAGCGCCGTGCGTAATGCAGGGCCGACGTAGCAACGCGCGTTGCCGTGCGCCGCACCGCTTCCCCGGACGCATCAGCGTGCGCGCATCCCCCGACGCATTGGCGTGCGCCGGTTCTCCGGACGAATTCGCGCGCCCCGCTTCCCCGAACGCGTTCACGAGTTGAACCCGGGTGGGAAGAGCGTCGTTGATGCTATCGAGTTCAAAGAAATCTCTCGACTGGATCAATTGACGAACACTAGCGACGTTCGCAGGCTGCGTTACCCGTAGAAAGCATACGTCGGCTTGCGACGACTTGCAAACTTGGGCTGCTAGGCAACGAACCCGGAGCAGAGAGAATGTAGCAGCACGACCAAAGGAGCAAAACTCGGGGAATTGAAGGACGTCCGTGAAGGACGTGGAGAAGCCATGGGACGGTCTACCGAGAGGGGAGGCAGGATTGGAGTGATCGCGAGACCAACCCTGCGAACGACCTTGAACACTCTGAAAGTGGCGTTGCGGGACATTTCCGCGAGGCCTTGCGACGATCTAGCGAAGCCGTGCGACGCTGTATCAAGACCGTGCGACATTGTAATGATGCCGTACGACGTCGCGGGTGAACATCCATGCGCCGCAATAAGCGGGGATGGTAGTCGTAGAGCCACACATTCGTAGCTACATTGAATCCACCCGGGTGTAGGCGGGACGACGACGGCGACGATGACGGAAGCAACGACGACGCAGGCGACGATGGCGACAGCGACGGCGACGGCGACACCGGTAAATCTCACATGGCGTCGTACTGTCGCGCATTGCTTGATCCAGTCGCTTATTCCGTCGTCGTCTGTCGCACAAATACTCATCGCATTCCGTCGCACAACTCATCACGTTCCGTCGCACAAACTACCATCGCAGTCCGTCGCGCAACCTCCCCACCCTGTCGCGATCCCCGCCATCAACCGCGGCCTTATTTCGGACTGAAAAGAGGAACCGCTCTGCACCGCACGTTGACGTTCTTATTGTCATCCGCTTATCCGTTCTACCCATTGGAAAAAAAAAAGGCTCGGCGGAAAGAGATACTAGAGAAGGAAACAGATCCAAGAGCGAATCTTACGGAAATGAAATGCAGCATTGTCGCAGAGACGATAAGTGGAACTGCATTGTCGGACGATCGCGACTCACCATGGCATGGTCGCTCGACGACCGAAACTGATGCACGAGCGATCGCGCGCGTTCACCGCACCACGTCAGCAGGCTGGAGTACCGCTCGTCCTGCAGCGCGCTGTGTGAATACAACACGGTCCACGTGGCAAGCGCCAAGCCACCCAACAGCCATGCCACGAGGAAGATCGTGAGCCACTGTCGCTGCAGCACCACCCATGGTCGCACTTTCCCGATCCCCTTCCCTTTCCCAGGTCCCGCCTTCCCCGCGCCTCGCGTAGCTTTTCCGCCGGATCCGGAAGGCGCAGATGCCGCCTGCGCGGGTGGACTGGGGCTTGGCGGTTTGGCGTCTGCGTCATCGGAGACTTCACCGTTTTGCGCGGCGTCTCGGCGGAAGCGCGGGAGGCGTTGCGAGGAACGTTTGAGTGCGAGAGCTAGGCGCTGACCCCATCCCGCAACCGCGCGAATGTCTGGAGCCATTGGGCCTCGACAAAACAATGTAGATAAATATTGAATATAAATTAGTCGAGTAGTATAACAAATCCGTAGAAACCCCGTATCACGATGACTGGAAGGCCTCCACTCAGCGAACCAAGCGGAGCAAGAATGGGTCTTGGATTCGCGAGACAACCACCATGGCTACCAAGCAAACCCAGGAACACACCAAGAAGCAGGAACAAAGGGGAAAGCAATCACCGAGCCGAAAGGAACCAACACCGAAGTTGAGAGAGGAGGGAGGGACAAGCCGAACTCAACCGAACTACTACAGATACAGTACACGCAAACAACACTGGAGAGAGGCAGCACCACCACAGTCAAATGGAGCCAACGAATTTCGAGTTCTGCCCACCTTGGGAATCCCGTCAATTCCCCATCCCACATTGACGCTTGCGATGGAGCCAGGCGAACACCCACGATTGTGCGACCAAATTCGGTGGCATCAGGATGGTTCGTTTGATGGCACAGCACACCTGCCAGCCTATCGGGCGGCACGGATGCTGGAATCAGGACCAATTTGAAGGCTGGCGAAGGGTTTGGCGAAGAGGGTGGAATATTTATTATTCGAGCAGGTACTGTTACTAGGCAGATTTGTCCGTAAGAGTTTTATTTATCAACACAATACCCATTCTGTCTCGAAAAACATGTAGCTAATACTAGTACTTGTTAGTCGCTGCTTCCAACTCCAACGTTAACTAGCTTGAACTCATCCTTCACTTAAAACGGGAGCTCTTAAACGACAGGGTTCCTCAGAAAAAGCCAGGAGAATCCAGCGCATACAGCCTGACTGGAGTAGTAGGGATAGGATGGAACTACTGAGTGAGTCATTGTCACAGTCGCTTAGATGCAGGGTAGATAGTGTCATTGTCATTGTCATGTCACGAGGTCTAACTTAGAAACCATTCTTGGCAAATGCAGGGTAGATAGTGTTCATGGAAGTTATGAATCAATTATGACACTTGTGATTTGATTCTGGGTTCCATATGGTGGCAGGGTGAGCAGGTGTACTGCAGAAACACCGTATGCAACCGGGCTGGATTGTCTCGATCCAACCAGTCTACCCCGATCTCTCATTTTCCAAAAAAGCTTTGTTGCTGATCAAGCCGATCCAGCACACCCCAACAAATTGGTGTGGTCTTCAAAAACCAGCCCGAACGACTGGTTCGGCAGGCCGACCTGATCCAGCCCAATCATTCTGATATGGTTACCTGAGCGAACGGCTATTTTGGAGTTCGTCTTCGGGTTGCCGAATCAGCGAGGCAAGGTGTCTGAGTTACAAATGGCCCGACGAATTGTTGTATCTGGTCACTAATTGCCCAGCATGAAGGGGAAGTTGGGCTAATATTGTTCTGCAGAAATTCCTTGTAGCTCCATTCAGCATTGCCCGGGTATTCTTTGGTCGACCTGAACCGACCTGACCCGACCCGATCGACGGATTGTAATTCGTCGCAAGCCAGTCTATTGAGTACAGAGCTGGATCAGTTCAGTGCGTGTACAGTACGTGACAGCCCGGGCCGGGATATGGAAAGGAAAACAGAAAGTTGGGTGGGGTGGGAGGGAAGTCGAGCGGAACACGACACAAAAGCAGCCACATTCCCTCGTGTGATGTTTGCCGTAGCCTTTCCCTCCACACGCACGCGGTTTTGCAATACTGTACCGTACAGTATCAAGCCTGGTGGGGCGATAGTCACGCGTGCTGGATGGGTTGCACCGCGTCGAAATCCGAACAAAACATCATTCACAGAATGCCCCACAACTGCAAAACGAGTTTGGGCCATACGTACGCAAAACTTCTCGAATGTACACCCTAGTTCTCACCGGCGGAAGCACTGGCTACAGTGTTTGGACGTAGCGGGCTGGTGAGATAACTTGGTTGCGGGCAAAGTCGCACGAGGCGAGGAAGCAGGACTTGGGCAAACAAAAAACCGTTAACGCTGAATATCCGTCTTAACCGCTTTAAAACAAGCAGTAACATCCTAGAACGCATGTGATACGACCTACTTTGGTCCGCTGCGGCTACACTAAGCGTCACTATAACATATGCCAGTCTATCGAGAATGAGGGTGTATTTCATATTCATCGTAGAAAGGGTATAGTGTATCCAGAGGTTCGGTGGATGGATGTTGCTCATGCAACTGGGTGCTGCACTCGTAGACATTTCCTAAAACGCGGACGTGCTTTACTCCCGTCAGCAGCAAGCAGTCCATGACTGTGCTTCGAGCCTGCTGCGCGCCAAGCGCAGCCGCACCTCTCAAAGCAGCTCCGCGCGCCTTTTTGACGGGAATGCGCGCACGGGTTTTAGTTTCCGAAACGTTTTTACAACTAAGAATCCCCACGTGGCCTCTCTGCAAGTCCCTTCCGCGCGCCACCTTCTCATCCGCCATCGCGGAGCACAGCCCAGCGCCGCGTCTCTCTACTCTCCGCCGCTCCCCACACGCCAATGAGTTATCCGCCAGCGCCGTATTATCCCAATATGCCACGTCATTCATGAAGCGATCCACGTCAGACGGCGCGGCGCCCTTCCGCGTCAGCAAACGTAGAGCCGTCACAACCAGCGCCGCGGGGGAAGCAGCGGGGGAGTCCGCGGGGGCGCAGGGCGCGCAGAGCAAGGGCGGGGATGCGGGGCGGGTCGGGCCGTGGATGCTGGTGGGGCTGGGTAATCCGGGGATGAAATACGAGGGCACGCGGCACAACGTACGTTGCCGCTGGGCGCGCATGGGACTGGCCTGTGAGAAATCTAAGAACCAGAGGGGGAGAGGAGGGGGATTAGAAGGGGGCTGGACGGGGAGGAGGGGGCGTCAGGTTTCGCGGCTGGGGAATGCAAGGATGGAATAGAAGGGAAGGGAAGTGAAAAGGGATAAGGGAGCACATGAGATGCTCCGCGCTCGGGGTTCAAGGTTCCGGGTGAAAGGTTTAGGGTTTTGGGGGTGTGGTTGCGGTGACCAGCCCACTCACAGCGCGCCGAGCCGATCCTGTCCGCCCGCCGCGGCATTCTCGGCCAAAATCCAGCAATCGCATCAGCAGAGAGCGTGTTTTGCTCAGCCTCCCACCCCGCGTGCACTCATTTTGAGGCGCCTCAAAGTTTGCTCAGCCTCCCGCCCCTCGTACACTCACTTTGCCTTTCCTCTGCCTTCAAACGAGACGAGATGACTTTTGAGTAGACTCAAGAGTCGTCCTCCCACATACACTCAATTTGCTTTTCCTCTGCCCTTTTGTGCCCCTGCCGCCCTCTCCTTTTCCACCAGATGAGCTGCAAGCCTCATCGTTCTCCCTTCCCCACAAACCCTTTCCTCTCTCCTGCGCCCTTCTCATCAGGTAGGATTTCAGTCTATCCCCTCCCCATGCTCTTCCCCACTCTTCCCCACCCCACCCCATCTCCTTCCCCTCCTGCTTCCCATCCCACCACCCGGTAGGCATGTGGCGGGTGAAATCAGCAGGGCGGAGGGCATAAGCCTCCGCGCCATGCAGTGCAGAGCAGGGCGGTGGTGGGCAAGGGACGGGCACAGTGCCTACCGATCCCTCTCCGCTCCCTCCCCCTACTGCAATCGGCAGGGCGGAGGGCATATCCCTCAGCGCCATGCATAGGAAGGCGGTTGTGGGAAAGGGACGGGCACATTGCCTGCCTACCCCACTCCTCTCCCTCCCCTACTTCATTTTCTCCCCCTTCCACCCCCTACCCCTTCCCATCCCCCCTCTCTCCTGCTTACCAGGTGGCATGTCGTTAGGCCATGTCGCGTTACCACGTTACCAAGTGGGCTGCGAGGCAACGGACGCATTAGCTCTCCGTTTCCCCCACCCCTTCCCCGCTGCTTCCCTTCCCTTCCTTTGCCTGTTTCTTGCATTGCATTCCCCCGGCCTCTTCCCTCGTGTCCCCTCCCCACCCACCCCCCCGCCACACGTCCCTGTGCCCTCCCCACCCCACCAGGTGGGATGTGAGGTGGTGGATGCAATAGCCAGGGCGGGGGGCATAGCTCTGAGCGCCATGCAGAGCATTGCAGTGGTGGGCAAGCGGCGCATTGCATTCCCCTCTCCTCATCCTCCCCTCCTCCTTACCCGTCCTACACCACCCCCCTCTCTCATTCTTCCCTTCCCCACCAGGTGGGATTTCAAATGGTGGATGCAATAGCCAGGGCGGAGGGTATAGACTCTGAGCGCCATGCAGAACAGGGCGGTGGTGGGCAAGGGGCGCATAGCTCACTCCACTCCTCTTCCTCCCCTTACCCCATCGTCTCTCCCCCTTTTTGCACCAGGTGGGTTTTGAGGTGATAGACGCCATAGCCAGAGCTGAGGGCATAAGCCTGAGCGCCATGCAGAGCAGGGCAGTGGTGGGCAAGGGGCGCATTGCCGGGTGCCCCGTGCTGCTGGTGAAGCCGCAGACGTTCATGAACCTCAGTGGGGAGAGCGTGAGTGGACAAGGGGAGAGAGGGTAAGGTGGGAGGGAACGGCAGGTGATGTTAAGAGAAGCTAAAGTGCTGCTGGTGAAGCCGCAGACGTTCATGAACCTCATCGGGGAGAGAGTGAGTGAAAGGGGTGTGGGAGGGTGGTGGGGGTTTTGATGGTACCTGCTCGAAGGTGGATGCTTCAAGTGCTGCTGGTGAAGTCGCAGACGTTCATGAACCTCAGCGGGGAGAGCGTGAGTGAAAGGGGGGTGGGGATGGGAGGGAGGGAGAGGGGTATGAGAGTGATAGGTACCAGGCATATCCGAGTGCCGTGCAGAGCAGGGCAGTGGTGGGCATGGGGCATACGAGTGCCTTGTGCTGCTGCTGAAGCCCCAGACGTTCAGGAACCTCAGCAGGGAGAGTTTAAGTGGGGAAATGATGGGGGAAAAGGGAAGGGAGAAAGGTCTCTGATAGTTCAACTCAAAGTGCTGCTGGTGAACCTCAGCAGGGGGAGTGTGAGTGGACGATGGGGATGGGGATGGGGATGGGGATGGGGATGGGGATGGGTGGGAGGGGGTTATGATGGTACTGTTCGATAGTGGAAGCTCGAAGTGCTACTAGTGAAGCCATAAATGTTCACAACCTCAGTCGGGAGAGCGAGTGGGGGGATGGGGGTGGGTGGGAGGAAGGTGGGTTTGATGGCACCCGCTCAAAACTGGAAGCTTGAATTGCTGCTGGTGAGGCCATATATGTTCCTGGCGTGATGGGGGAAGCATCATGCCATGCCACACATCATGCCATGCCACACATCATGCCATGCCACACATCATACCATGCCACACATCATGCCATGCCACACATCATGCCATGCCACACCACACCACGCTATGCCACACCATACCATGCTCCAACATACCATCCTGGTAATTCCATGCCCCATGATGCGCCATAAGCCACACCAAAACACATACCACCCCCTTACCACCGCTTTCAATACCACCACACCTCATACAACCGCACCTCATATTACAGCACCCAATACCACTAAAACCATTCCATTGCACCCCACACCACCGAACCCATACCATCGCACCCCACACCATTGAACCCATACCATCGCACCCCACACCACTGAACCCATACCATCGCACCCCACACCACTGAACCCATACCATCGCACCCCACACCACTGAACCCATACCCTCGCACCCCACACCACTGAACCCATACCCTCGCACCCCACACCACTGAACCCATACCACCGCACCCCACACCACTGAACCCATACCATCGCACCCCGCACCACCATACCTTATTGCAGGTGGGTCCTTTGGCTCGCTTTTACAAGATTCCACCTGAACGAGTCATGGCTGTAAGTCTTACCATGCCATGCCATGCCATGCTGTGTTGTATGCCATGTCCATCCCATCCCACCCATCCCATCCCATCCCATCCCATCCCATCCCATGCCATTCCATGCTGCACGATAAGCGATGCTCATTTCACAGCCTGTGGTGGTTCCTGCCATGCCTTGCCGTGCCGTGCCATGCCATGCCATGCCATGCCATGCCATGCCATCCCGTGCCGTGCCATGCCATCCCGTGCCATGCCATGCCATCCCGTGCCATATCATCGATCATTGCCCTTCAGTACGCAGTGACCATTTTAGATCCTAAACTAAAAACCATGAACGCAATAGTCAAAGCCGCCTTGCTGTTGCCAACCACATTCGGGTAACTTTTGAGAGTCCTAAACCCTGAATCTTGAATGCAAAGCCCAATCCCCATGAATGCAAAAGCCAAACCCTAAATCTTAAATGCAAAAGCCAAACCCCATGAATGGAAAAGCCAAACCCCATGAATGGAAAAGCCAAACCCCATGAATGGAAAAGCCAAACCCCATGAATGGAAAAGCCAAACCCCATGAATGGAAAAGCCAAACCCCATGAATGGAAAAGCCAAACCCCATGAATGGAAAAGCCAAACCCCATGAATGGAAAAGCCAAACCCCATGAATGGAAAAGCCAAACCCCATGAATACAAAAGCCAAACCTTAAGAATGGAAATCCCAAAGCAAGCTTTCTGCTGCCATCCCTCTCCTCAGATCTACGATGACATGGACCTGGACGTTGCTTCCATGAAGCTTCTTGCCAAAGGGGGGCATGGGGGACACAACGGGTGAGTGCAAAAGGATGACGTAGCAACCCCCTCCTTGTAGCCTCTCTTTTGCTGCATCTCGTATGCTACTTCTCACATACTACCTTTCACCTGCTACCTCTCACCTACTGCCATCCATCCTCCCATGGCTCATCCATCCCCGATGCCGCATCCATTCCCCCTGCACCTTTCCCCTATGGACCATTTCATGGCCCATTCCCCAATGTCCAATGTCCCATTTCCCCTGCCCCATTCTCCGCACGCCCCACCCAAAGCCCGATCCCCCTGCCAACATGAAGAGGATCAAGCAGTACTTTCATGGCTCTGTTTCTTGCACTAGCACCAGCCCCCTCCACCCACAATCCCCCCAAGCCCATCCCTTCATGCCCCTACCCCCTTCCCAGCATGAAGAGCATCATGCAGCACTTTCATGGCTCTGTTTCTTGCACTAGCACCAGCCCCCTCCACCCACAATCCCCCCAAGCCCATCCCTTCATGCCCCTACCCCCTTCCCAGCATGAAGAGCATCATGCAGCACTTTCATGGCTCTGTTTCTTGCACTAGCACCAGCCCCCTCCACCCACAATCCCCCCAAGCCCATCCCTTCATGCCCCTACCCCCTTTCCAGCATGAAGAGCATCATGCAGCACTTTCATGGCTCTGTTTCTTGCACTAGCACCAGCCCCCTCCACCCACAATCCCCCCAAGCCCATCCCTTCATGCCCCTACCCCCTTCCCAGCATGAAGAGCATCATGCAGCACTTTCATGGCTCTGTTTCTTGCACTAGCACCAGCCCCCTCCACCCACAATCCCCCCAAGCCCATCCCTTCATGCCCCTACCCCGTTTCCAGCATGAAGAGCATCATGCAGCACTTTCAGGGCTCTTTTTGTTGCACCTGTACCACCACCCACGATACCCCCAACCCATTCCCCCAAGCCCATCCCTTCATGCCCCTACCCCCTTGCCAGCATGAAGAGCATCATGCAGCACTTTCAGGGCTCCAGGAACTTCCCTCGCCTCAGATTCGGTCAGTGAAAGTATTTTATTCGGTCAGTGGCAGTATTTCATTCGGTCAGTGGCAGTATTTCATTCGGTCAGTGGCATCGGTCAGTGGCGGTATTTCATTCGGTCAGTGGCAGTATTTCATTCCATCAGTGGCAGTATTTCATTCCGTCAGTGGCAGCATTTCATTCGGTCAGTGGCAGGATTTAATTCGGTCAGTGGCAGGATTTAATTTGGTCAGGTGGCAGGATCTAATTCGGTCAGTGGCAGGATTTAATTCGGTCAGTGGCAGGATTTAATTCGGTCAGTGGCAGGATTCGGTTCGGTCAGGTGGCAGGATTTAATTCGGTCAGGTGGCAGGATTTAGTTCGGTCAGTGGCAGGATTCAATTCGGTCAGGTGGCAGGATTTAATTCGGTCAGTGGGAGGATTTAATTTGGTCAGGTGGCAGGATCTAATTCGGTCAGTGGCAAGATTTAATTCAGTCAGTGGCAGGATTTAATTCGGTCAGTGGCAGGATTTAATTTGGTCAGGTGGCGGGATTTAATTCGGTCAGTGGCAGGATTTAATTCGGTCAGGTGGCAGGATTTAATTCGGTCAGTGACTCAGTGGCAGGATTTAATTCAGTCAGTGGCAAGATTTATTTCGGTCAGTGGCAGGATTTAATTCCGTCAGTTGCAGGATCAAAGTTGCTGGCAGGAATAGTGTTTTTTTAAAGTTACCTGCTGTTGCCACGTGACCTGCTGTGGGTATGTAATCTGCTGTCGGCACGCGATAAGCTATGGCTACCACTCCTTATCTGGTTGTCAAGTGTTTATAATGTGCAACATGTTTGTGCGATGACATGGTGGCGTCATGCTGATGTCATCAGTGCGTGCAAGGATCAGGAAGCCCCCTGGGTGTATGGAGGCCAAGGTGTGCGCTGATGCAGCTGTCAGTCAGACAGGGAGAATATTCCGAGTCAAATTAAACACCAGTTCATTCCCTCCATGTGGTTTGCATGCAGGCATCAGGAGGCCACGAGGACGCATGGAAGCCAAGGTGTATGTGCTGCGGCGGTTGCCAGTCAGTCAGACAAGGAGAGATTTCTGAGTTGAGATAAAAATTGCTCATTTCATGTGGTTTACATGCAGGCATTGGGAGGCCACCAGGACGCATGGAGGCCAAGGTGTATGTGCTGCAGAAGTTTTCAGATAGGGAGAGAGAAGAGGTGAGAGGAGCAGGTGGTGTGTGCGTCGAGTGTTGAGGCGATTCTACCTAAGTTGGAATATAAGCTCAAGGCCCTCTGCGTTTAGCGTATATACGCTAGCGTATACACGCAATACGCTAAACGCTAGGGAATACGCTATACGCAGCCATTGATTTTTTCGGGCAGCCCAAAAAAATAAAATCGCAAAAAAGATGCGAATTTTCGTGGTGAGCATTTCGCCGAAGTCGAAATGCAAATCCGCGGTCTACGCAAGCTGGGATCTGACTTCGAAGTTTGCAGGCACATATGACAATTCGACTGTTGGATTTCAGATCTCATCTAGGCATTGTAACCAAACCCTTTCACCGCATTGAAAACCATCTCTTCTACAAACTAAAACCTACTCCAAATTGACGCCCCAACAAACCTCACGCCCAACTCACGTATAATTCCCGCTTCTAGCGGAGTTCCCCCCCACTCCTCTCTCTAGTAATAATTCTACTCCACGTCCCACCCCACCCGCCGATCGGACTAAGGAGAATTTTAGGGAGCGTCTTAGTGAGAATAGGGAGTACATTGTTTTCCACCCTGTCCGAAAAGTTTTTTTCCAGCCCGGAAAAGCGTATCCTCGATCATGACCCTCAAGCGTATAGCGTGCAAACGCTAGCGTATATTCGAAACGCATATATACGCCAAACGCGTTTATGCCAACCTAGGATTCTACTTTGTCTGTTTTGAGACATCTTAAAACTCAGTGAGGCGATTTTACTTTGTCTTTGGACGTATCAAAGCAGACCCCAAAGTGTATGTGCTGCAATGATTCTTGCACAGGGAGAGGGAGGGAGGAAACGAGTTTGTAAGAATGTGTGCATGTGTATGATCTATGGGTCGACTCAAAAAGGCACCTCGAGAGGGAGTGTTATGAGTTGTAAAAGAGAGTGCGCAGGTAAACGAATAACGAGGCTGTGACTGAATGAACTGAGAATACAATGAATGCACAGACTAATGTAGGGCTAGCCTAGCTAGGAGGAAACCTCGGACGAGCGAGGTTGGGTGCAGGTTTGGCGATGGGAATGCCGAAGGCGACGCGAGGAGCCTCGGCAGCGTGGAAATCGCCCGAACGTGCGAACTCCGAAAATCGGGTTGTACGCGCAGCAGTCAACCCCGATAAGGAATTCGAGAAAATTCCTTACACCACCCCCCCCCTTAAGAAAGGCGGTCAATATCCGAAACACGCCGGCGCGCCAAATAATCACCAACAAGTGGCGAGGCGTCGAGCGAGGCGGATGGCACCCACGTGTCGTCCTCACTGGTGCGATCAGTCCAGCGGATTAAGAAATCCACGTGTCGGCCAGCTGCGTCAAGTCGAACTCTATGTGTCAGAATCTTCGAAGGGTCGAGAGTCGGCTCCGGGACAGGTCGTGCTGTCGGGGCAGCTTGCTGACGTGCGATGTCGGTCGTGGCTGGCACGAACTTGCGAAGCAGGCTGACGTGGAAGGCGTCATGAATTCGCCAGTCGTCCGGTAGCAACAGCTTCGCGGTGACAGGTGTCACCATCTTGATGATCTTGAACGGTCCGCAAAATCGGGGCCGTAGCTTCGATGGACCGGGCAGGTGCAGGTTCTTCGTGTCGAGTAACACTAATTGCCCAGTAGTCAAGACGAGTTCCCGGCGTAGAAGGTCGGTGTACTTGCGGGAAGTGGTATTCGCCTTGCGAATTGCGTCGGCGGCTTTTTCGCGGGTGTTCTGAAGTTCCGTCACAATAGTCTGTGACCTCGGGACCGGGTTGTCGAGCGAAGTCGCCGTGGGGACCGTCGGATCCATCCCGTAATTTAGGAAAAACGGGGAGTGATTAGTCGTGCTTGACGGTGCGTTGTTGAAGGCGAACTCCAACATGGCGAGGGAATCTTCCCATCGTGCGGGGTCGGGGCAGTTTGTCCGTATCAGCTGCTCCATGGTTTGGTTGGTTCGCTCGGTTTGTCCGTCCGTCTGTGGGTGGTATGCCGATGAGAACTGTAGCTTCGTGCCGTACTGCGCCCACGTCTCCTTCCAGAATTTGGACGTAAACTTCGGGTCTCGGTCGGTGACGATCGCCGAAGGGATGCCGTGCAGTCGCACGACCGTTGAGATGAAGAGGCGCGCAGTTTCTTCGGCTGTGATTGTCGTTCGGCATGGTGCGAAGTGCGCCATTTTCGTGAAGCGATCGACGACGACGAGAACAGCGTCGTTGCCGGACGGCCCAGCTGGCATCCCTGTGACGAAATCCATCGTCACCTGTTGCCACGGTCTTTCGGGTGGCTCGAGGGGTTGCAGCAGCCCAGCTGGTCGCTGACGTGTCGATTTCATTGCTTGGCACACCCTGCATGAGGACACATAGCGCTGCACGTCGTTAGAAGAGTCAGGCCAGTAATATTGACGGTGCAGTAATTTCTGGGTTTTATCAACCCCGAAGTGTCCGGAGTAGTTCGAATCGTGGACCTCCTGGATGAGAAGTTCACGCAGCAGCCGGTAAGCGGGGACCCAAATCCTGTCGGTACCGGCCTTTAGGTAATAATCCCCCTTCTGTGTCGTGGCCTGCTGATGATTTCCCGTCGTGAAGAATGGGTCCGTAGTGTAGCCGTGGGTGAATAGTCCTGTAAGTAGCGGGTTCGAATGGGTGATCAGTACAGCAGCGGATTGTACGGTCGGTCTGGTCAGGGCGTCGGCGATGTTATTCGCCCCTTTCTTGTACGTGATGCGGTAGGTGAAGTGGCTTTCCATGTAATCCAGCCACCGAATTTGTCGCGGGTTGAGGTTCGGTTGAGCTCGCAGGTACTGTAGGGACTTGTGGTCCGTGCGCACAGTGACGTCGGCGCCCACCAGGTAGCAGCGCCACAGTTTAAACGCGTGGATTATGGCGAGCATTTCCTTGTCGTGGATCGGGTAGTTGCGCTCGGCAGCTTGCAGCTTGCGTGATTCGTAGGCGATCGGCTGCAGCCCGTTCCCGAAATCCTGGAGAAGCACTGCTCCGATGGCGAAATCAGAGGCGTCGGTGACGACTTCGAACGGCTTCGATGGGTCGGCGGTTCGCAGCACAGGAGGGGAAACTAGAAAATTCTTGAGCTCCTGGAAAGCCGCCTCTGCCTCCTCCCCCCACACGAAATTCTTGTCCTTGTGCAGCAGGTCGGTCAGCGGGCCGGTTATCCCCGCCATATTCGGGATAAACCGCCGGACGTAATTCACGAACCCCAGAAAACTCTGAAGCTCCGTGACATTAGTCGGGGCCTTCCACTCCTGTATGGTCTTGATTTTCGCCGGGTCGATTTTGATGCCGTCGCGTGAGATGACGTGCCCGAAAATCTCCAACTCCTGCTTAAAAAACTCGCACTTAGAGCCCTTGGTGATGAGTCGGTTCTCCTGCAACCGTTTAAAAACTGCGTCCAGGTCGCGGAGATGCTGCTCCCGTGTCTTGCTAAAAATGAGGATATCGTCCAAATAGACGATGACACACTGGTCTAAAAGATCCCGAAAAACCCTGTTCATGGTCAGTTGAAATGTCGAAGGCGCGTTCGTGAGGCCGAAGGGCATCACCGTGAATTCGTAACTCCCGTAGCGTGTACGAAACGCAATCTTGTGACAATCGTCGGCGAAGATCCGGATCTAGTGGTAACCGCCACGTAAGTCGATTTTCGAGAAGTAGCGAGCGCCGCGAAGTTGGTCAAGAAGGTCGTCGGTGCGTGGGATTGGGTAGCGAGACTTGATGGTCACCCGGTTCAACGCGCGATAATCGATGCACATGCGAAGCCCGCCGTCCTTCTTCGGAGTGAACAAGATTGGTGCCGCGAATGGGGAGGTGCTTGGCCGAATGAACCCTTTCTCCAACAGTGCGTCAATTTGTCGGCGCAGCTCCTCGAGTTCCGGCTGGGTCAACCGCCACTGTGTCCGAACAGTTGGTTGCGCGCCAGGTTCCAGCTGGATTTTATGGTCTTCGGGTCTCTCGGGTGGCAGCTTAGGTGGCAGATCATCCGGGAAAATTTCGGGGTACTGTCAAATCAGCTCCGCTAAATCCGGAGGGACAGCTGCACACAGCTTCTCGATGTCCTTTCCGTCGGTGTCGACTGCCAACTCGCGCAAGCAGACGGCGAACAGCTGCGCACCCCTGTTGAAGTGGTGAGCTATAGTGATGGCTTTGACGCACGGGGCTTGGATGTAGTCAGGTGTCCATGCAGGCAACTTAATTAGCCCCTCGTGCTTGCTGACACAGCACAATCCCGTTGTCCAGTCGATGACGGGGTTGTGTCGTCGCAGCCAATCACGTCCCAGCAGCACGTCGCAGCCATCCAGCGTCGTCGCGAGAAACTTCATGCTGAAGCCGAAATCTTCGCCGCACTCGATCCGCACCGTCCGTGTTTCTTCCGTTATCGCCAGAGGCGTCCCATCCACGAGTCGTGCGTCGATTTCGGGCAGACACCTGTCAAGTTGCAGCTTGCATCTTTTTGCGCTCGCCAAGTTGAAGAGGCTATGGCTGGCCCCCCCATCGACGAACATTTTCAGGTTATTTTTTTTCCACATTGCCAGCGACCAGCACAGGGTGATCCACATGATTATCCCCGTTATTCGGCCGAGTGCGATCGATTGCATGAATCGGAACCACGACTCGGTGGGGATGATGGTGTTCGGGCGACGGAGCGTAGTCAGTAAAGGGCCCGCTAACACGGTCCCATTTCCCATTTCCCTGCTCCTTCCTGTCGTTCCCTGTCGGCGACGTTTTCTCGGGGCAGTCTTTCATGTAGTGACCCGTCTTCCCACACCGGTAACACGGTCCCTTAGGAGGGCGGTCGGGTGTATGGACGGCGTTGATAGTGGCCCGATGGGTCTGGCCACGAAAACGGTTTCCATCCCTGGAAGCTGTTCTCGCGTACTGCATCAGCGCGTCCGTAGATTCTGCCAGCCGTACTGCTTCAAGGAATGATGTCGGGCGGCCCCTGCGCACCTCGTATTGAATCTCGTACTTGAGGCCGCTGATATATTTATCCAACCGCTCTGCTTCCGACATGTCATCAACTTGGTCGGCCAGTCCCATGAACGACGCTGTGTAGTCTTGGACAGATGCCATCTGCGACCAGGCACGCAGCTTCATGCGAGCTTGCTCCGAGGCGGATACGTGCTCGAAACGGTTTCGCAAGGCTGCGCCCCACTCCTTCCACGTGCGTATCGTGGTCACACCAAAGATCGGTTCTGCCACTTGATTAGTTGTCGCAGGGGTCCCGTCTGCCGCATGCGTCACACCTGTCGGCGTCCCTGTTTCCAAGGTCCGGCGCCACCACTCAAGCGCCGCGCCTCGAAGTAGCGACACCGCGTAATTAATACGCGTGGAATCGTCGTTAACGCCCGCTGCCGTGAAGAAGACCTCGACACCGAACAGCCACCCCTTCACTGTAGTCGTCTTGTCCGTAGGATTAAACGGGGGCGGGTTGACGGGCTTGATCTTGATCGTCGTAACTGCAACTGGCGCTGCTGCCGCTCGCTGCCTATCTTCTTCTTCGAAGTCACGTGTGAGCGCATCCAGCGGATTGCTCATCGCCTGACTGTTGCCCTCGCCTTCGTCCACAGGCGACGTCTGACGCGCTTCACCTCGCGTCTGGCGTAGCTCGGCGTTTTCCTCCCGCTGTGTTGTCACTTCCGCCATTAATGTCTTCATGCTCTCCTGCATTTCTGCCACTTGCGCCATCATCCGGTTAACAGCCTCCTGATCCATGTGTCTAGCACTACGTCTGGTGGGCAGTCGGGTCCCCGTGGCCTTCCGGCAAATGAAAACACGAACTATCGGAGTCGGGCAGGATTGAATTAACAATCCCTGCAGCCAACCGTCGTGTAGTCACTAAACCAGCCACACCCTATGCCACCAAACTACCCTCGAAAAGCGGGGTGAACTAGGAAAGTAGCTCTGATACCAGGTGTTATGAGTTGTAAAAGAGAGTGCGCAGGTAAACGAATAACGAGGCTGTGACTGAATGAACTGAGAATACAATGAATGCACAGACTAATGTAGGGCTAGCCTAGCTAGGAGGAAACCTCGGACGAGCGAGGTTGGGTGCAGGTTTGGCGATGGGAATGCCGAAGGCGACGCGAGGAGCCTCGGCAGCGTGGAAATCGCCCGAACGTGCGAACTCCGAAAATCGGGTTGTACGCGCAGCAGTCAACCCCGATAAGGAATTCGAGAAAATTCCTTACAGGGAGGGAGGAGGTGAGACTGTGAGAATATGCAGATTTGAAATGTATGGTTTGCTGAGAGATATCAGGAAGCTGTGATACCAGTTGAACCTAACCTGCCTATTTCATAACATGAGACTGTCTCCTTTTTATACAAACCCATTTGTGGCTGTGACCCGTGACACAGGTGGAGGTGGCTATAGAGAGGGCCGTTGATGCAGTCCATTTGGTGGCAGCAGAGGGAATGGATAAGGCTGTCAGCACGTGGAATCTGCCGCGGCGGTCGTCTGCCAACACCAAGGCCTAATGCGGGTATGCATGCAGCATACCGTCCATAAGTTGAAGCTGATTCTTGAAATCCCTAGCCAAATATGAGGGCGTATTCCTACAGCCTCCTATCAAGAAACCTCCTATCAAGATTGTACCTTTTGCCTGGTAAAAGTAGCGAGAGGTTTTGGGTTTAGGGGATTTTTCAGTGTGATCTTGATAAGATGTTTTCTTGATAAGAGGATAGGAATACGCCCTGAGACCATAAACCAAGACAATATCATGGTTGAAAATACAACGTGGTGTGTTATCTAAGTTAACTGTGTGCTTCTTGCAGGGATGCTGTCGACATCTCTATTCTTGCAAGACTAGGAGTGTTGAGGCTAACCATTTGGATCACCCATCACTAGGTTTGTTTTCGTGTACATCAAGCTTTGGTACACAAAAACCATACAAGTTTTTTTTGTCTTTCTCTTCACCATTAGAAGTCATTTTATAAATCAACTTTGCTACCGTCATAACTTTAGTAAGAATGACAAGTAGAATGTGAAGGGATGAAAATTTATTGGTATATGAAAGTGTTGTACACACGCATTTTGTTTGCCCATGATATACACTTGGCCAAGTTATTGCTTGAGCGGATGGGGCTCCCAATGTACTGGTGGGTGTTGTATCACACAATCCCGACGTTGTCAGACCTCGATTCTACCTCCCCAGCCGAGCCCAGCTACGGTTTGGCTCAGGCTGCCCGAACCTCTCTTACTGGTCATCTTTCGGTCTAGGTGGCCAAGCCTAAACCATCTACGCAAGGCGTATCCACACAGCCGCAGGTGAACGGTGCTGCCCACAAGCCCTCCGCTGTCCACAAGCCCTCCGCGCCGTCGATCGAAGCCGAGCCAGGAGACGTTCAGGCTCGGACGGTGCGGGACATGCTTTCGTTGTTCTGCTTCCGTCCGTACAGGCCTCTCGATGTGTTTTGTTGCTCTGCTTTCCGTCGAGGACTCTCGATGTGTTTTTGAACACCCTGCCAAAAGCGAGTAGTGATCGACCTTCACCATGCTATGCTCGGAAATTGCAAGGTTCTGCAAGCTCTCCGTTGCCGTCTTTGTTTGCACTCCTTTCCCCCATCCCATTTCTTCGTGGTTTTCCATTTCACCAGCAACCACGCAACTCGCACACTCCTCGTTCAGGCTTGTCGCTTTCGGTATCGCCTCACCACAGTCGTCGAGGAATAAGAACCACATGGCACGATTTGGCGGTAATCCAGCCAGCCAGCCAGAACCACATCCTGGCTACCCTTTCAAGGAGCATCGAATACGTGTCAACACCGCGCAGACTCCCTGTCATCCTCCCCACTTTCAGCAGTTCGCCATTCGGAACGTTGGTTATAGCTACTACCAGTAGTGTTCATAGCTACTAAGTTCCTTCATTAATTTTCCTGCATTCCGAAAATGGATAACCCGAAGTTTCCGCCGGTAAAGGTCAAGCCTGAGGCCGACGGCTCAGACGCGTCACTGCAACTGAAAGAGCCGAGCCGCGATGTCGAGCCGCTGTCACCAACAGCTCGTTTTTATCTTTCCGACGAGTTCTACACGACTATCATGTGCGCGCTGGAGTTTAAGGACCGCTTGGAGATCGACGAGCTCAGAACGATTCTCTCGGATACCCTTTTGAAGCATCCTCGCTTTCACAGTCGCATGGTAAAGAATATCGTTCGAAAGTGGGATCTTTGTTAGACGGGGGAAAGGTGGGATCTTGAAGAATGAGCTGGCTACCAACTTAAAGGTTTCTCAAGACGACGCGCCGTTAACCCATTGCTCCATGGTGGCCCAAATCGCTAGTCCCGGCCATCCTCACGTTGCAAGTCACTTGGGGATGCATTCCCGCTTTTTAAGTCGCAAACTATCACTCTGCTCGTCCCACCCCATCATCTCGTCCGGTTTAATACCATTCGTCCGACAAATAGCGCCCAAAGCAAGTTCTGCGAAGCCATTCTCACGCCGTTTGCTTCGTTATTGATTTATCAAGTCATTTTGTGTGCACGCGCTACTGTGATTTTCTAACGGGAACATCATCATGCCGCAGGAGCATCGTGGCCGTCGTTGCAAGGACGGCGAGCAGGTGTGGGTGCGAACGACCGTCGACATGGCCTATCACGTCGTGGAAGGCACACAGCCCAACGGATGTGACAATAACGCGGACAGCGTGGAGCGCTCCGGCGCACAAGCCGATGATGAACGCGACAGTAGCGCGGGAGCAGCAGGGAGCGCGGAAAAAGCTACAAGGAAGGCTGAATCGGAGGAAGCTTCAGGAGAGGCAGAATCTGCAGAAGGAGGTGCAAAGCCGGTGGAGGCATTAACAAGAAGCGCGAGTGGGGATCAGCGTGCTACGAGGCGGGGAGCATGGAGTGGCACATGCGGCGCCTGCAGCACCACCCGCCTTTTGACGCCTCCCGCCCTCTCTGGCGCGTGCACCTCGTGCCTCTGCCTCACGGCCGCTCCGCTGCTCTCTTCCGGTGCGATGCTGTCTGTTACCTCACTCGCAGATGGTTTGTGTATTGAAAGCAGGCGGTTATATGGCGCCTTGTGCCTTTGCTCCATGACTGCTTCGGTGCTCTCTTCCGATGCATGTTTGCTCACTATCAGGTAGCTTGTGATAAAAATGTTTGTGACGCGTCGTAGGTATTGCCTGGCGCGTGCGCACCCCATGCCTCAGGCGCGTCGTAGATATTATCTCTGGCGCGCGTGCACCTCATGACGCCTCTGCCCCATGGTCGCTCTGCTGCTCTCTTTCACGGCACGATGCCTTGAAGCACCTGCACTAGGCGAGTGAGCGACAGACCCGTTTCCCATTGTTGAGCCGACTCAAGAACCTGTACGCACTCGCAAAACGTACGACATGTGCTACAGGCACGTTTTCCATCTCCCTGGAACGTGCTGGGCGAACGTGGGCACACTCCCTCCCTCTTCCACCCATCCTATCCATCCATCCCCCTAACCCCCTCGTCCCCGGCCCATCTGCACTGCAGCATCCACCACGCCTCGGGCGACAGAGTGTCGCTCATGTCTCTAACTCCCTCTTCCTTCAACAGGCCTACCCAACCCCCTGCAATTCCTTCTTCTCCCGCCCATGTGCAGCATCCACCACTGTATTGGCGACGGCGTGTCGCTCATGTCTCTAGCTCCCTCCTTACCCATCCTACCCATTTCCCCCCACCCCCCCCCCCCCCCTTTCCGGCCTCGCCCATGTGCAGCATCCACCACTGTATTGGCGATGGCGTGTCGCTCATGTCTCTCCTGCTGGCCTGCACTCGCCGCACCGACAACCCCGCACTCCTGCCCACCCTCCCCACCGTCAAGTGCCAGACTCGCCCCCAGCCCACCAGTGCAGGCTCCCCGCTCAGCAGTGCAGGCTCCCCGCCCAGCAGTGCAGGCTCCCCGCTCAGCAGTGCAGGCTCCCCGCCCAGCAGTGGAGGCTCCCCGCCCAGCAGTGCAGGCTCCCCGCCCAGCAGTGCAGGCTCCCCGCCCAGCAGTGCAGGCTCCCCGCCCAGCAGTGCAGGCTCCCCGCCCAGCAGTGCAGGCTCCCCGCCCAGCAGTGCAGGCTCCCCGCCCAGCAGTGCAGGCTCCCCGCCCAGCAGTGGCATTACAGCGGCAGTGGTGGAGGAGAGTGAGGAGCTTCGGAAGCAGCTTGGTGACGCAGGAGGTCCTGAGAAGGAGGAGAAGTTGAAGCAATTAAAGCCCGGGAAAGTACACATGCCGTCTCCAGCGTCAGCATTTACGCTTGACTCAATGACCGCATCTCCTTTCAACCCAGACCCAGTCGGGCAGGCAGCAACAGCAGAAGCAGCACCCGCAGAAGGGGTTACAGCGGATGCGGGTGGGAATGGGAGTGCGGATGCAGGTGGTAAGGGTGCCACAGGGAAAGGGGCAGGGGCGGCAGGGACGAGAGGGGGAAGGGGGGGCGGAGGGGGAGGGCTGGTGGGTGTGGCGAGGCGGATGTGGCAAGTGGTGGTGGTGTTGTTAAACACGCTGTGGCACGTGTCAACGTTCATGGCTGTGCTGCTGTGGCGCGCTGATACTGCCACGTGTATCAAGATGAAGCCTGGGAGTGTTGGCATGCGGTTGAAGGCGGTGAAAGGGGGAACAGGGAGCGGTGCAGTGCGGCAGCAGCCGGATGAGGGGAGAGGGGAGGTGCAGACTGGGGGAGGGGGAACTGGGGGAGGGGATGCTGGGGGAGGGGATGGGAGCGGAGAGGGTGGAGATGGAGGAGGGGGGAGGTTTGTGTTTGGAGTGAGTGGGCCGATGAGCCTGACGGACATTTCAAGGGTTAGGCGAGCGTTTGGTGCGGTGAGTCCCATTTCGGCTGGCCGTACTTTGCTGTGTTGGGGAAAGCTTATGCCAATGGATTGCGATATGCCATGCCCCCATGATTTGCGAGATCATGCAGTCTGTGTAGTGCAACCCCCGTTTAACAATACGTGGTGTCATTTGAAATCGCCTTGTTTCCAAATCACACCCACATCACATCCCCATCCACACCACATGCCCATCAGACAATCAACGATGTGATGGTGACTGTCGTCTCAGGTATCTCCTTGACTCATGGTTCAAAGGGCTGCGATACGTGAAGATGATGCTCTGATGATCCTTCCACATCCCCATCCACACCACATGCCTATTAGACAATCAACGATGTGATGGTGACGGTTGTCTCAGGGGGGCTTGATCGCTACCTGCGCCACCACCACGAGCAGCAGGCACAGAGAGCAGGTGAGAGGGAGCTGAGCATGGTACGCACACAACAGGGCTCGACCACACCCCATCAGACCATCAATCAACGATGTGATGGTGATGGTCATCTCAGGGGGGCTTGACCGCTACCTGCGCCACCACCACCACGACCAGCATGCGAAACGAGCAGGTAGGTTTATCTTGTTCAAGATATGTTGCAGAGCAGATATGTTGCAGAGCAGATATGTTGCAGAGCAGATATGTTGCAGAGCAGATATGTTGCAGAGCAGATATGTTGCAGAGCAGATATGTTGCAGAGCAGATATGTTGCAGAGCAGATATGTTGCAGAGCAGATATGTTGCAGAGCAGATATGTTGCAGAGCAGATATGTTGCAGAGCAGATATGTTGCAGAGCAGATATGTTGCAGAGCAGATATGTTGCAGAGCAGATATGTTGCAGAGCAGATATGTTGCAGAGCAGATATGTTGCAGAGCAGATATGTTGCAGAGCAGATATGTTGCAGAGCAGATATGTTGCAGAGCAGATATGTTGCAGAGCAGATATGTTGCAGAGCAGATATGTTGCAGAGCAGATATGTTGCAGAGCAGATATGTTGCAGAGCAGATATGTTGCAGAGCAGATATGTTGCAGAGCAGATATGTTGCAGAGCAGATATGTTGCAGAGCAGATATGTTGCAGAGCAGATATGTTGCAGAGCAGATATGTTGCAGAGCAGATATGTTGCAGAGCAGATATGTTGCAGAGCAGATATGTTGCAGAGCAGATATGTTGGATTCACTCCAACATCCTCGCACCATCCTCGCACCATCCTCGCACTCTCCAAGCCACCGCCTGCATCTCCCAACCTTCCTTTCCTCACCTCTCCATCCTCTCCCAACCTTCCTTTCCTCACCTCTCCATCCTCTCCCAACCTTCCTTTCCTCACCTCTCCATCCTCTCCCAACCTTCCTTTCCTCACCTCTCCATCCTCTCCCAACCTTCCTTTCCTCACCTCTCCATCCTCTCCCAACCTTCCTTTCCTCACCTCTCCATCCTCTCCCAACCTTCCTTTCCTCACCTCTCCATCCTCTCCCAACCTTCCTTTCCTCACCTCTCCATCCTCTCCCAACCTTCCTTTCCTCACCTCTCCATCCTCTCCCAACCTTCCTTTCCTCACCTCTCCATCCTCTCCCAACCTTCCTTTCCTCACCTCTCCATCCTCTCCCAACCTTCCTTTCCTCACCTCTCCATCCTCTCCCAACCTTCCTTTCCTCACCTCTCCATCCTCTCCCAACCTTCCTTTCCTCACCTCTCCATCCTCTCCCAACCTTCCTTTCCTCACCTCTCCATCCTCTCCCAACCTTCCTTTCCTCACCTCTCCATCCTCTCCCAACCTTCCTTTCCTCACCTCTCCATCCTCTCCCAACCTTCCTTTCCTCACCTCTCCATCCTCTCCCAACCTTCCTTTCCTCACCTCTCCATCCTCTCCCAACCTTCCTTTCCTCACCTCTCCATCCTCTCCCAACCTTCCTTTCCTCACCTCTCCATCCTCTCCCAACCTTCCTTTCCTCACCTCTCCATCCTCTCCCAACCTTCCTTTCCTCACCTCTCCATCCTCTCCCAACCTTCCTTTCCTCACCTCTCCATCCTCTCCCAACCTTCCTTTCCTCACCTCTCCATCCTCTCCCAACCTTCCTTTCCTCACCTCTCCATCCTCTCCCAACCTTCCTTTCCTCACCTCTCCATCCTCTCCCAACCTTCCTTTCCTCACCTCTCCATCCTCTCCCAACCTTCCTTTCCTCACCTCTCCATCCTCTCCCAACCTTCCTTTCCTCACCTCTCCATCCTCTCCCAACCTTCCTTTCCTCACCTCTCCATCCTCTCCCAACCTTCCTTTCCTCACCTCTCCATCATCTCCCTCTTTCCAAACTCCCTCACTCCACTACCTTCTCCCTTTGCCATCTCTCTCACCTCCCTACCATCTCCCACTTCCAACGCCCTCAGCCCCCTACCCTGTTTCCTTCTGCCAACCATTGTTTTCCAACCATAGTTTTCCTGTTCCCCCTTCTCATCACCCTCCCCTCCCTCGCTTTCAGGAGAGCCTGCCCCAGTTGCCACCTCCCCGCTACCCGCCACTGTTCGCCTCAACGCTGTCTGTGTTGTCAACATCCGCCCTGCGCCTGGACTTCAGGTAAGCCTTCCCCAGGTAAACCTTCCCAAGGTAGACCTGGCGTGTTTACTCAACCAGCTTCAAAGTGACTCGCCCCAGCTGCCACCTCCCCTCCAGCCGCCTCGTTTTGCATTAGCATCACCATCTGCGCTGTCAGCATCCGTTCCCTGCCAGGGCTTCAGGTAAACCTTCCCCAGGTAAGCCTGGCAGTCGAAATCACCAACCTCAGATTAACCTGTTCCAGTTGCCACCTCCCCGCCACCAGCCTCTGTTGGCGCCAGTGCCGTCTGTGTTCTCAACAGCCGCCCCATACCTGGAATTCTGGTATTCTTTTCCCCCTTCCTTCCCCTCTCCTCTTTCTTTCTTTCTTCCTCCCCAGGAAATATCCTCCATGCTCGCATGCCGAGGCACGTCGAAGCAACTGCACCACCTCCCCTTGTCAATTCCTCCCATTCCCTCTTCCCCTCCTCCTCCACTTTCCCTCCCAGAAAATATCCTTCATGCGCGCTGGACGATCCAAGGCACGCTGGGGCAACTGTCATCGGAACCTTCCTGCTGCCGCTGTGCCGTCTCCCCTTTGACCAGCCCCCTCCCTTTCCTCCCCTCCCCTCCCTGCCGCCACCTCCTCTCGTCTGCCTCCTCCCAGGAAATGTCCTTTATGCTTGCAGGCCGCTCCAAGGCTCGCTGGGGCAACTGCATCGGGACCCTCCTGCTGCCGCTGCCCGTGCACTCGCCCGCACTCACCAAAGGCCTGCAGGCTGACAGCAGTGACAGCAAGGGCAGCGAAGAAGGGGATGCAGCAGGGGAGGTGGAGCAGCGGCGGCTGCGCATGGTGGCGAGCATGTGTGCATCCAAGCGGCAATCCCTGGAGGCTCATTGCAACTATGCCAATGGCAGGCTTGTGCTGGCTGCTGCTGGCATGAAGGTGAGTGAGTGAGCAGTCAACAAGGTGACTCAGAGGTCACTGCAGGCTCATTGCAACGATGTCAACGCGCGGCTTGTGCTCGCTGCTGCTGGCATGAAGGTGAGTGAGTGAGCTGTCGCCAAGGTGACTCAAGAGGTCACTGCAGGCTCATTGCAACGATGTCAACGCGCGGCTTGTGCTCGCTGCTGCTGGCATGAAGGTGAGTGAGTGAGCTGTCGCCAAGGTGACTCAAGAGGTCACTGCAGGCTCATTGCAACGATGTCAACGCGCGGCTTGTGCTCGCTGCTGCTGGCATGAAGGTGAGTGAGCGTTGCGTCAAAGAGGTGACGTGAGAGTTGACACGAAGGTCCCTGGAGGCTCATTACCACCAAACCCCTCTAACCTCCGTCATCGCATGTGAAGCCACCAGACGACCACCACCCTCTCCAACACGGCCTGTGGAGGGGCCTTTAGCCCCTTCTGCTCTTGTCTGACCTCCCCTATTTTCACCCTCTAAACCCCTCTAAACCCCCCACAGGCAGCGTGCACCCTGATGGACCGCATGTGCAGCCCGACGACCCTCACCCTGTCCAACATGATGGGGCCCGTGGAGGAGGTCAGCCTGGGGGGGCATGCCATCGAGCGCATCAGCCCCACTGTTTTGGGGCAGCCGCATGTGAGTCATGTGTGATAGGTGCGTGCATGTGTGATAGGTGCGTGCATGTGTGATAGGTGCGTGCATGTGTGATAGGTGCGTACATTTGTGATAGGTGCGTGCATGTGTGCATGCTTGATCATGACAATTCTTTCATGCGAGATAATGTTGGGTTCTATACTGGAGGAGGTCAGCCTGGGGGACATGCCATCCAGCGCATCAGCCCTACAGTCTTGGGTCAACCGCATGTGAGTCATGTGTGGTGGGTAATTCAATCTCTCCGTTGCAAGTGCTGTGTGGGTGTGTGCGTGTGTTGGGGGGGGGGGGGGGGTGGTGGTGTTGATGGGGTCTGTGGAGGAGGTCAGCCTGGTGGGGGCATGCCATCGAGCGTATCAACCCCACCTTCCTGGGAGAGCCGCATGTGAGTCAAGTGTGGTGGGAGCATGTATGCAGTGCATGCATACAAGCACGGTGGTGTTGATGGGGCCTGTGAAGGAGGTCAGCCTGGTGGGAGCATGCCATCGAGCGTGTCAACCCCACCGTCCTGGGACAGCCGCATGTGAGTCAAGTGTGGTGGGAGCATGTGAGTCATGTGTGATGTGAGAATGGGTTCATGTGAGATGATGTGTGATGGGTGCATGTGGGATGATGTGTGATGGGTGCATGTGAAATGATGTGTGATGGGTGCATGTGTGTGATGTGTGATGGGTGCATGTGAGATCATTCGTGAAGGTGGGTGCATGTGTGAGTGATGCGTGATGGGTGCACGTGATTTCTAAACCTACAATGAAACGCCATTGCCTTCAATCACCCTTCCCTGCGAATCCCGCCACAACCCTCTCCTCTATCTCCTCCCCCCACCCGCAACCCCTCTCACCTTACAGGCACTCACTATGCACTTTCAGACGTACAACGGGGCAGCACACATAGTCCTCACAGCCTTGAGGGAGAATGTGCCGGATCCAGCCCTCCTCATGCGCTGCTGTGAAGACGCCTTTGCTGCTCTCCAGGCATCGGTGCGTTGAGGTTGTCCAAAGGGTTAGTGTTTGGTTCATTCATTCAACATCTCCTGCAAGCCGCTCTCTGAGGCGCTCGTTAGCCTCGCAAGTGGTGTTACGACGTTACGTACCTGTGCATTATTTGTGTGCACGTACCGTATTGTTCGAATGTATGTTGTAATATATATCTGCATGTAGATGGTTGGTATATCATCACTGTAGTATTCTATCTAATGGCGTTGTACCCCTTGGGCACCTTTCCTTGCTCTATATCTTGTACCTCCATCTATAGTGAAATGGCCCATTTTTCTTGCTCAACTCTCTCGCCACTCACATAACCTAATCACATACGTAGTAAGTCCGGTCAAGACATAAAAGGGGGGTCTTATGATGATTAGAGGCCAGGGGGGGGGGTTCCTCACAATATCTGCTACAATAAGAGTCCCCTTACCCATTCAAGAGTCCCGGTGGACCTACTTACACCGGCGGGTCTTCAAGCCGGAACTATACGGTAGCTTTAAAACCACTTTCCTTAGGTTTATTGTTTCGCGTACAACCCTGACTTTTGGAAGTGCACGTTCGGCAGGTTTGCTTGCTACAGAAGCAATATCGCATCACCTTCAGCTTCTCTTTCCCCAACCTGCCTGCACCCAACCTAGTGTTCCAGAGGTTCCCACCTAGCTAGGTTGACCAGCTGTAATCTCTTCATAGTGCCAGCTTAGTTGTTCGTTTTTAGCGCATCTCTGTTTGACGCCTCATAACGGAGAACTTCTCGAGCACATACACCTTGACTTCCATCCGCGCTGGTTGCTGTTGTCACACAATTCCCAGGCCTCGATTCTTACCTCCAGCTACGGCTTGGTTCTCTCTTGACGAGCCTCTCTCACTGGTCAACATTCGGGTGCACGAACCATCTCGTGCAAGCTGCATCCACAAGTGGGTTCAAGGCCATCGAAACCGTTCCTTGTTTGAACCCGTCGAGATCCGCGCCGTCAAATATAACCGAGCCAAATGACGGACAGGCTCGGATGGAACGGCGTCAGGTTTTCACTCAACACCCTGTGCCACCTATTCACTCCCGCGGATGTTATCGATTCCTTCAGCAACCACACATCTCGAGCTTGTCATTCAGGCTCGCCGCTATTGGCATCACCACACACCAGTCATAAGGAACCGCATGGCACGATTTTGCGGTAATTTAGTCAGACAGAACCACATCCTGATTCCCGATTCCCGTAAACGAAGCATCGGTCAGACTCTCTGTCATCCTCACAGCTCTCAGCAGTTCACATTGTGAGCGTCGGTTCTTAGTTACCATAAGTGTCCAACTTCGACCATTGACCTGTCATTTGTTAGCGATTCTGATCATTGACCTGTCTCGACCAAGTTCCTTCATTCGTTTTCCTGCATTTCGCAAATGGATAATCCGAAGCTTCCGCCGGTGAAGGTCAAGTTCAAGGGAGACGACTTAGACGCGTCATTGCAACTGAAAGAGCCGAGCCGCGATGCCGAGCCGCTGTCACCAACGGCTCGTTTTTTTCTTTCCGACGAGTTCTACACGACTGTCCTGTGCGCGCTGGAGTTTAAGGACCGCATGGAGATCGGCGAGCTCAGAACGATTCTCTCGGATACCCTTTTGAAGCATCCTCGCTTTCACAGTCGCATGGTAAAGAATATCGTTCAAAACTGGAATCTTGGTAGATGAAGGAGGCCTAACAAACAAGGTTGGTTCGAAACTCTGTCGTAGTTTTCCAAAACTACGCTCAATGAACCCCATTCTCCTCAATCGCGCCGCATAATAACTCAATTCGCTCGACCCATCCCCACGTTTCAGAGGAGCTCTAAAATGCATCACATTCTTCAAAACGCATCAGCTCGTCACGTTTCAGTCCCACCCAACCGGGTTACGTGAAGCAATTCAGACTCAGCGATTCACGCGAAGCGAACTTCTCGCCGTTTCCATTTCGCCAATTTTCACTGAGCCATTTCTGTTGGCGCGCTGCTGTATTTGTAATGTCACGATTTACAGGAGCACCGTGGCCGTTGCAAGGGCGGCGATCAGGTGTGGGTGCGGACGACCGTTGACATGGCCTACCACGTCGTGGAAGGCACACAGCCCGACGGATGTGACAATAACGAAGTCGGCGCGAAACCCTCCATCGCGAAAACGGATGAATGCGACAGTAGCGCGGAAAAAGCGCACGAGGAAGGAGCTGCTTCAAGACTGACGGAATCGGAAGGAGGTGCAAGGCCAGCGGCAGGAGCAACAAGCTCGAGTGGGAATTCGGCGTGCTACGAGGCGGGGAGCATGGAGTGGCACATGCGGCGCCTGCAGCACCACCCGCCTTTTGACGCCTCCCGCCCTCTCTGGCGCGTGCACCTTGTGCCTCTGCCCCATGGCCGCTCCGCTGCTCTCTTCCGGTGCGATGCATGCTAGCTCACTCACAGATGTGGGCACACTCCCCAGGCGAACGTCGGCACACTTCCTCCCTTTTCCCACCCATCCGAACAATCCCGCCACGCCGCTTACCCCGCTGCCCATTCATAACATCCACTATGCTCTGGGCGACAGAGTGTCGCTCATTTCTCTAACTGCCTCTCCCCACCCACCCTACCCAGTCCCCTGCTCCCTCCTCTCCCCGTCCCCCCTCCCGCCCTCGGCCCCGCCAATACGCAGCATCCACCATTGTATGAGCGACAGCGTATTGCTCATGTCTCTATCTCCCCCTTCCCCCCTTCTCCCCCCACCATTCCCTCCCCTGTTACGCAGCATCCACCACTCCATGGGCGACGGCGTGTCGCTCATCTCTCTAACTCCCTCTTCCCACGCACCATTCTTCTGCTCGCCCCTGACTCCCCCTTTTCCCCCCTTCTCCCGCCCTTACCCCCCTTCTCCCGCCCTTACCCCACCCACCCATACACAGCATCCACCACTCGATGGGCGACGGCGTGTCGCTCATGTCTCTCCTGCTGGCCTGCACTCGCCGCACCGACAACCCCGCGCTCCTGCCCACGCTCCCCACCGCCAAGCGCCAGACCCACCCCCGGCCCAGCGGTGGCGCTGCAGCGGCAGTGGTGGAGGAGAGTGAGGAGCTGAGGAAGCAGCTGGGAGACTCGGGTGGGCCTGAGGAGGAGGAACAGTTAAAGCAGTTAAAGCCTGGGCAGGCGCACATGCCATCTGCAGCGTCAGCATTTACGCTTGACTCGATGACCGCATCTCCTTTCAACCCAGACCCAGTTGGGCAGGCAGGAACGGAAGCAGCAGTACCCGCAGAAGGGGTTACAGCAGATGCGGGTAGGAATGGGAGTGCGGATGCGGGTGGTGGGGTTGCCTTGGAGAAAGGGGCAGGGGCGGTGGGGAAGAGAGGGGGCGGGGGAGGGGGAGGGTTGGCGGGTGTGGGGAGGCGGATGTGGCAGTTGATAGCTGTGCTGGGCAACACGCTGTGGCACGTGTCAACGTTCATGGCTGTGCTGCTGTGGCGCGCTGATACTGCCACGTGTATCAAGATGAAGCCGCAGAATAGTGGTGCACAGAAGAAGGCGGGAAAAGGAGGAATGGGGAGCAGTGCCGTGCTGCAGCAGCCGAACGAGGGGAGAGGGGAGGTGCAGACTGGGGCAGGGGATGCTGCTGGAGGAGGGGATGCTGTGATGGGGGATGGGAGTGGAGATGGAGGAGGGGGGAGGTTTGTGTTTGGAGTGAGTGGGCCGATGAGCCTGACAGACATTTCACGGGTCAGGCGAGCCTTTGGAGCGGTGAGTCCCGTGGGGGGGTGTGCTTCTGAGGAATCGTAAAAGTGATTCAGGTTTGATGGTGGGGGAAGGTTTGATAGTGTTTGGAGTGAGTGCGCCGATGAGCCTGACTGACATTTCACCCAGTCTGTTACACAACTCCATCATGACATTGTGATTGCAAAAATCAACTCCTCTTCCTTCCACACCCCCTCCCTTCTAACTCCCCTTGCACATCTCCCCCTTCCACACCCCATCAGACAATCAACGATGTGATGGTGACGGTCATCTCAGGGGGGCTTGACCGCTACCTGCGCCACCACCATGGCAAGGCAGAGCGAGCAGCAGGTACGCTGGAGCAGGTATGGAACACACTCACCATGACTCGACCACACCCCATTCAGACCGAGTTGACTTTTGAGTCGACTCAAAAGTCAACTATGGAACACACTCACCATGGCTCGTCCACACCCCATTCAGACCGTCAACCATGTGATGGTGAAGAGGCGGTTACATCAGGGGGGCTTGACCGCTACCTGCGCCACCACCACGACCAGCAGGCAGCACGAGCAGGTAGGCTGAGAGGGCAGGTGAGTGAGTGGTGGTGAAGACACGGTCATATCAGGGGGGATCGACCGTTACCTGCGCCACCACGACCAGGAACAGAAAGGAGGTCAGCTAGTTCCACCTGTGACGCTCGAACTGATTTTCTAGCACTTCGACCTACAGCTGTCACCATGCGCATGCTGCACGAGCAGGGAGTTTTCTTGAAGGATTTAATCTCTAAAGAGATAGGTACGAGAAAGGTGTTCTTGAGCTGTTGTGACAATACTCTATCTTTCACATAGAAAGCTCACCCACTTACCCTCTACTGCCACCCTTCCTCTCCTTCTCCCACCGTTCTCCTCCTGTACACCCTCCCTCGTTGCCAACCCCCTCTCGCTTCCAGAAAAGCCTGCTCCAGTTGCCACCTCTCCGCTACCCGCCACTGTTCGCCTCAACGCTGTCTGTGTTGTCAACATTCGCCCAGCACCTGGACTTCAGGTAAACCTTCCGCAGGTAAACCTGGCATGTCTATTTACCAGGTTCAGGTACACCTGGCAGGCAATCAAGTAAGCCTTTCCCAGGCGAACATTCCAGGATCCAGCTTGCACGTGCGCTTTTGAGTTGACTCAAAAGCAGATCCAGCTTGCACGTTGCAGTACTTACCAGGTGGCAGTAAGGGCCCGTTGAGTCAATCAACCCTCACACAATGATGATTTATCCTAGGCACTGCACCCCACTGCACCATGCTGCACCGCACACCATTGTGTGTGCATCCACCGTCCACCTTCTGTTCCTCAACCCGAGCATCTCCCTTTTTCTCCCCTTGCTTCCCGTCTCTTCCTCTCCCCCCAGGAAATAGCCTCCATGCTTGCTGGCCGATCCAAGGCACGCTGGGACAACCCTCCCTCTCCCCCTGTCAAGTCCTCCCCTTCCCTCCCCTTGCCTTCGTGTCCCTCCCCTTCTTCCCCTCTCCTCCTCTCCCTCCCAGGAAATATCCTCCATGCTTGCTGGCCGATCCAAAGCACGGTGGGGCAACTGTCTGGGAACCTTCCTGCTGCCGCTGCCTGTGCACTCGCCCGCACTCACCAAAGGCCTGCAGACTAAGAATGGCACCGGCGACGGGCAACTGGTGAAGAGCAAAGACGGGGATGCAGCGGGGGAGGTGGAGCAGCGGCGGATGCGCCTGGTGGCGAGCATGTGTGCGTCCAAGCGGCAATCCCTGGAGGCTCACTATAACTATGTCAATGCTCGGCTTGTTCTCGCCACTGCCGGCATGAAGGTGAGTTGTGTGTTACCACTCTACCACTCAATGATGGGGAGCAAAAGAGGGGTAGCAGGCAGGGGAGGTGGAGCAGCGGCGGCTGCGCATGGTGGCGAGCATGTGTGTTTCCAAGCGGCAATCCACGGTACATCTATGTCAATGCCAGGCTTGTGCTTGCTGCTGCCGGCATGAAGGTGAGTGAGTGAGCTGTCACCAAGGTGACTACTGAGGCGACTCAAAAGTCACTGGAGGAGGCTCATTACAGCTATGTCAATGCGAGGCTAGAGCTTGCTGCTGCTGGCCCCGCTGTACGCTTGGAAATGCAGAGTGGGCAGGTCAGCCTGGGCCCTGGGGGGGCATGCCATCGAGCACATCAATTTCTTATTACCTCTCTCAGCCCTATCTAAACCTTTGTTTATCCCTCCCAACCCTCCCAGGCAGCGTGCACCCTGATGGGGCGCCTGTGCAACCAGACGACCCTCACTCTCTCCAATATGATGGGGCCCGTGGAGGAGGCCTTTAGCCCTTCTCCTCTTGTCTGACTCCCCTATTTTCACCCTTTAACCCCTCTTAACCCCTCTAAATTCCTCCCAACCCTCCCAGGCAGCATGCACCCTGATGGGGCGCATGTGCAGCCAGACGACCATTGCCTTCTCCAACATGATGGGGCCCGTGGAGGAGGTCAGCCTGGGGGGGCATGTGATCGAGCGCATCAGCCCTACAGTTTTGGGACAGCCGCAGGTGAGTCATGTCTGGTGGGTGATTCAACCGCTGCGTTGCAAGAGCTGTGTGTGTGTGTGGGCAAGCGAGGTGCTGATGGGTGATTCAACCGCTGCGTTGCAAGAGCTGTGTGTGTGTGTGGGCATGCGAGGTGCTGATGGGTGATTCAACCGCTGCGTTGCAAGAGCTGTGTGTGTGTGTGGGCATGCGAGGTGCTGACGGGTGATTCAATCGCTGCGTTGCAAGAGCTATGTGTGTGTGTGGGAGTGTGTGTGGGTGTGTGTGGGTGTGTGGTGGTGGTGTGTGTGTGTGTGTGTGTGTGTGTGTGTGTGTGCTTGTACATGCGAGGTGTTGATGGGGCCTGTGGAGGAGGTCGCATCAGCCCCACTGTCCTGGGACAGCCGCACGTGAGTGATGTGTGATTGTGGGGTCGATAGGTGCGTGTGAGTGATGTGTGATTGTGGGGTCGATAGGTGCGTGTGAGTGATGTGTGATTGTGGGGTCGATAGGTGCGTGTGAGTGATGTGTGATTGTGGGGTCGATAGGTGCGTGTGAGTGATGTGTGATTGTGGGGTCGATAGGTGCGTGTGAGTGATGTGTGATTGTGGGGTCGATAGGTGCGTGTGAGTGATGTGTGATTGTGGGGTCGATAGGTGCGTGTGAGTGATGTGTGATTGTGGGGTCGATAGGTGCGTGTGAGTGATGTGTGATTGTGGGGTCGATAGGTGCGTGTGAGTGATGTGTGATTGTGGGTCGATAGGTGCGTGTGAGTGATGTGTGATTGTGGGGTCGATAGGTGCGTGTGAGTGATGTGTGATTGTTGGGTCGATAGGTGCGTGTGAGTGATGTGTGATTGTGGGGTCGATAGGTGCGTGTGAGTGATGTGTGATTGTGGGGTCGATAGGTGCGTGTGAGTGATGTGTGATTGTGGGGTCGATAGGTGCGTGTGAGTGATGTGTGATTGTGGGTCGATAGGTGCGTGTGAGTGATGTGTGATTGTGGGGTCGATAGGTGCGTGTGAGTGATGTGTGATTGTTGGGTCGATAGGTGCGTGTGAGTGATGTGTGATGGGCGAGTGTGTGCATGCGAGATGCTGTTGGGTCCCGTGGAGGAGGCCAGCCTGGCCGGGCATGCCATCGAGCGCATAAGTCCCACCAGTGTGGGTTTGCAAGTGAGTCATGTGTGATGGGTTTGTGTATGGGTGATGCGTGATGGGTGCATGTCTGAGTGATGTGTGATGGGTGCATGTGTGAGTGATGTGTTATGGGTGCATGTGTGAGTGATGTGTGATGGGTGCATGTGAGAGTGATGTGCCACGGTGCATGTGAGAGTGATGTGCTATGGGGTGGCACACATAGTACTGTTCCTGGCAATCACTCTCTCCCCTTGACTTCCCAACCCCTCCCCTCTCCCCTCCCCCCTCAGGCCCTCACGCTGCATTTCCAGACGTACAATGGGGCGGCACACATAGTGCTATCGGGCCTGAGGGAGAATGTGCCGGATCCAGCCTTCCTCATGCGCTGCTGTGAAGACGCCTTCGCTGCTCTGCAGGCATCAGTGCACTGAAGGTGCTTTATATCTGAAGAAATACTGCTCGCTGATTCTCGCACAAGCCGCTCTGAGACGCTGTTTTGTCTCGCCGCAACCAAAGTGGGGTTTGTGAATTGATTACATGTGGCGACATTTTGTCTTACATGCCTGTGCTTTAGGGATGGTTGCATAAATGCGTGCTCGTGTAAGTACAATAATATCTCATCAATAATCACCAACACTCGCTTCAATTCAATGCCGGTTTCTTACTCATGTCGAGAATCTTGGGATATTTTTGTTGTTGTCCAGGTTCACTTATTGGTTTATGGTATTTGCCGCACAATCATACTGTATATCGTTTGTTGTCAATAATTGAACAAGGATTGCATAGCATCACAGATGTGCATACTACAACACCCAATCTTGGCTGGCGAACAGTACTGCCCGAGTATATATTATGTTGAAGAATGTAATGCAGATTGTATGAATACTGTTAATTTGTGAGAACTGTACCTCGGTGTTGCGCGAGAATCAAGACCCGTTGATAAGGAAGATGCGAAGCATGGGATAATATCTAGGCGCTTTTCTGCAGCATGCTTTGGCGGCTGAATCTATGGCACCCATTCATTCACTGCCTAGTTTCACACATCTGAGGTCGGTCACCTACGTAGGAGCAGCTTTGATCAGAGCTAATTTTCCGCTTAGTTTCGATAATGGGAGATCCGGTTTAAATTCTTGCTCATAGGCTCGCGAACAGGTGCGAAAGGCTTTGTAATTCGCCATGGACAGCCGGCCCGCAGCACGCCGCTCGTCAGAAGCGAAATCGGGATCGGATTTGGAAGGAGCGGACGACACGCGCGACGAGGAACGCGGGTGGAGCCCGTCGGATGGAAGCGAGGGGTCGAGCGACGGCAGCAGAGGCGCGGAGGAGGCGGCGCAGCGCGGAAATAACGCGCGGAGAGCGGCGGCGGAAGCTGTAGCAGAGGCGGAAGAAGATTCAGACGTGCGGGAAGAGGAGGAAGAGGAACGAGGGGACGAGGCGGAGGCGGAGGAGGGGGAGGAGGGGGAGGAGGGGGAGGAGGGGGGAGGAGGGGGACGACGATGCGGTCGGGCCTCCTGAGGAGGGTTTTGAGCCTTTTCAGTGGCCCGAGTCCCCTCCCGGGCCTCCCCCCGTGGTTATTCCGCTCCCCGAGATGTCCCCCACGCCCTTGGAACGCGCGCGAGTCACGACCCCATCTGACGACGACGAGGATGATGATGACGCGGCGGATGACGACGATGACGTGGACGAAGATCGCCGCATGGGCCCGCGTCTGCCACGTCGGCCTGCGAGAGCCGCAGGATCCACCCGGGCTGTAGCGCGGGGGGCGGCTGTAGCGCCGGAGATGACTGTAGCGGATCTGGAGTTCCCAGGGTCGCTGCTGGGGACGATCATGGACGGGTTGGGCAAGTGGCCTTGGACGGTTTGGCCTAACCACATGCGCTCGTGCCTCGCTGCCGCTGCTCGCTTACTCCACGCTGCTGGTGATGCGGCTGGTTCAGCACCCGTCGCAGCAGACCCGGACGAGTCAGGCTCCATAGTGAGTCCCGCGGTGCGAGAAGAGGCTCAGCGGCTGATGAGGCGCGCTGTGCTGAAGCGCAAGCTGGCGACTCTCTTCAGGGAAGCCGCGCCGAGCCTGTTTGAGAAGTGCCTGGATGATAGGGCGATCTGGAAGTGGGGAAGAGATGTGCATGGGAATATTTTCGAGGCGTTTTTTTCTCTTATGGATGTGATTGTACTGAAGCTGCCTGAGTTGATTATAGCGAGGGAGGCTCTGGCGGATGCAGTGGGTGCTGCTGCTGGAGACGGGGTGATGCTGGGTGGGGGGGAGGGGGACGGGCAGGGGGAGAGAGTGAGGGAGAGGAAGGAGGAGGTAGAGGAGGCAGAGAGGAGGAGTGTGGAGGTAGAAGAGGAGATAGCAGGGCTTCTAACAGCCATGGCGCAGGGATGGGACAGCACGTGTCAGTTCCACTGCAAGCACAAGAACGAGCAGCTGCCACGTGTCGCGCCGCAATTGGACCGCCCGTGCTTCTATGCCACCTCCCAGCCTCTAGACCCCGCCCCTATCGGCCCCTCCCTCCCCGGATCCCAGGCGGCTGGGGGGAGGAGAGGAGCGGGGGAAAGGGGGGAAGAGGGGGAGGGCGGAGGCGCGGGCGCACACCAATGGCTAGTGTGGTTTTTGAATTACTTTGGGCAGACGGCGTATGGGAATGGGTATGAGCGCGTGGTGCAGGTGCTGCTGAGGCTCACGGCAGGCTTTGAGCGGCAGTTCGCTGCCCATGCTGCCAGGATAGAAGTATTTAGACTAGAGCAGGAACTGAAGCAAAACCAGGAGCGGGAAGGTGGGGAGGATACCGCGGGCAGGAAAGCGGGGTCACCACCCCCATCGCCATCCCCATCTCTCCCACGCCGGCCCCTCCCGCGTATGCCTCTGGTGGTGGTGGAGGCGCTGCTGCGTCCCCTGGCAACGGCAGCTGAGTTTCTCACTCCTCATGTCGGCAACATGTTACTGCGGGTAGGTGCCTTTGAGTGACTCAAAAGTCCTTCCGTCCTTCGCCATCTCTCCCACGCCTGCCCCTCCCGTGTATGCCGCTGCCTCTGGTGGTGATGGAGGCGCTGCTGCGACCCCTGGCAACGGCAGCTGAGTTTCTCACTCCTCACGTCGGCAACATGTTATTGCGGGTAGGTGCCTTTGAGTGACTCAAAAGCCCCTCCCCATCCGCATCTGTCTTCTGCCTGCCCCTCTTGGGCATGCCTCTGGTGGTGGTGGAGGCGCTGCTGCGACCCAGCGGAGCAGCGGAGTTCCTCACACCACACGTCGGCAACGTGCTGCTGCTGGTAGGTGCCTTTGAGTGTGTTTGAAGAGGTGTTTTGAGACGTCTCAAAACACTTCTTCAAACATCTGCTGCTGGTAGGTGCCTTTGAGTGTGTTTTAAGTCGACTCGAAACACACGTTGGCAGCGTGCTGCTGCTGGTGGGTGCCTTTGAGTCGACTCAGTAGTCCATCCCCATCCCAGCATGCTGCTGCTGGTGGTGGTGGGTGGGGATCGGGGCTCGGTTCGTGCCTGTTGTCTAGCCTAGCTTGTGCCTGTAGCAAGCTTTGTGCGTGATCTGATGTTGTGTTGCTTTTTCGTTGTGCGTACATTTCGTCTGGCTACTCATGTTGACTTGTAAGTTTGCTGCGCTCCCTGGTAACAAGGGCTGACTTCCTCTACTCCACACGCCTGACTTCCTCACTCCACTCCACGCGCCGGCACCGTTCTGCTGCGGGTGGGGCTTGTTGCGTTTTGCTTCACACGCTTGATAGATATTTCCTTGCTGCACAACGTATGTCCCTTTACCCTCCCTGCCTCCCTGCCCCCCACCAGCCGTGCAGGGCCGTCCTGCTGGCCCCCGGGACGGCTCCTATCAGTGCCTCTTGCGCGCCCTGCGCCACCTGCCACCTCCGCCCTCCCTCACCCTCTTCTCCTTTCCCCCCCCTCCCTGCCTCCCTGCCCCCCACCAGCCGTGCAGGGCTGTCCTGCTGGTCACAACTCGCGGCATCAGCGGTAACCGCATGGATTCACTCAACGAGGGCCCCTGGGAGGAGGCTCCTTTTACTGCCTCCCGCTCACCCTCTTCCCCCTGCCCCCTCCGCCCTCCTCACCCTCTTCCCCCTGCCCCCTCCGCCCTCCCTCACCCTCTTCCCCCTGCCCCCGCCGCTCCCCCTCACCCTCTTCCCCCTGCCCCCCCGCCCCCCTCACCCTCTTCCCCGTGCCCCCTCCGCCCCCCCTCACCCTCTTCCCCCTGCCCCCTCCGCCCTCCCTCACCCTCTTCCCCCTGCCCCCTCCCCCTCCCTCACCCTCTTCCCCCTGCCCCCTCCGCCCTCCCTCACCCTCTTCCCCCTGCCCCCTCCGCCCTCCCTCACCCTCTTCCCCCTGCCCCCTCCGCCTTCCGGAACGGCTCCCGGGACGGCTCCTTCCTCTGTCTATCTCTCACCCTGCGCCACGCCACCTGCCACCTCCGCCCTCCCTCACCCTCTTCCCACTTTCCCCCCCTCCCTCCCTCCCTCCGTCCGCCCCACCAGCCATGCAGAGACTTGCTAGTGGCCATAACGTGGTGCATCACTGGTAACCGCATGGATTCTCTCAACGAGGGCCCGCGGGACGGCTCCTTCCAGTGCCTCTCTCTCACCCCGTTCCCCCTGCCTGCCCTCTCCTCCCTCGTGTGTCATGTAACCCACCAGCCATGCAAAGACCTGCTAGTGGTCATAACGTGGCTCATCACTGGTAACCGCATGGATTCACTCAACGAGGGCCCCCGGGACGGCTCCTTTCAGTGCCTCTCGCTCACCCTGCGCCACGTGCGCACGCTGCTCGCCCTGCCCTCCTCTGCTGACCGCGTTTACGACCTTCTCATGAACATTGAGATGGCAAATGAGGAAATGGATGTGGTGGAGGAGGAGGAGGAGGATGAGGAGGAGGAGCGTGTGGGTAAGAATAAGAGAGTGGAGGGGTATGATGATGTGGAGGTGGCAGCAGGGGCGGTGGTGGGGAGGGTGCAGCAGTTTATGGTTCAGCGCATGCTGGGAGCGCCGTCGTTCAGCAAGCAACTGTCGGCTGCAAGGGAGATCAACCGCATGCTGGAGAGCGCGGCAGCACTGGAGACGAGGTGAGTATGGGGGAGCAAGGGGGAGCATGGTGAGGCGCATGCTGGGAGTGCCTTCTTTTAGCAGAGGTGCAAGCAGTTATCGGCAGCCAGGGAGATCAACCGCATGCTGGAGAGCTCGGCTGCACTGGAGATGAGGTGAGTATGGGGGAGCGTGGGGGAGCATATGTTGTAAACATGTTACGTGCCATGCCATGTGCTGCTGTGTGTATGTCATTTGGCTTCTGATACAATTACAAGTTTGCGTAACGTCAGGGATATTTTTTCCGGTCCTGTTCCCTGACGTGCCATGTGTGTGTGTGTGTGTGTGTGTGTGTGTGTGTGTGTGTGTGTGTGTGTGTGCGTGCGTGCGTGCGTGCGTGCGTGCGTGGGTGGGTGTGTGTGTGTGCGCGCGTGCGTGCATGTGTGTGTGTGTGTGTGTGTGTGTTTGTGTGTGTGTGTGTGTGTGTGTGTGTGTGTGTGTGTGTGTGTGTGTGTGTGAATGCAGGGACAAGGGAGCAGCCCTGGCGTCAACAATCGACTGGCTGGAAGCGGAGGACATTCTGCCTCTTGTCCTGCGCTCCAACCTGCACCACAAGCAATATGTGGACCAGGTGTGTAGTCTCGCCTCTTGAGTCGACTCAAAGGGAGCAGCCCTGGCGTCAACAATCGACTGGCTGGAAGCGGAGGACATTCTGCCTCTTGTCCTGCGCTCCAACCTGCACCACAAGCAATATGTGGACCAGGTGTGTAGTCTCGCCTCTTGAGTCGACTCAAAGGGAGCAGCCCTGGCGTCAACAATCGACTGGCTGGAAGCGGAGGACATTCTGCCTCTTGTCCTGCGCTCCAACCTGCACCACAAGCAATATGTGGACCAGGTGTGTAGTCTCGCCTCTTGAGTCGACTCAAAGGGAGCAGCCATGGCGTCAACAATCGACTGGCTGGAAGCGGAGGACATTCTGCCTCTTGTCCTGCGCTCCAACCTGCACCACAAGCAATATGTGGACCAGGTGTGTAGTCTCGCCTCTTGAGTCGACTCAAAGGGAGCAGCCCTGGCGTCAACAATCGACTGGCTGGAAGCGGAGGACATTCTGCCTCTTGTCCTGCGCTCCAACCTGCACCACAAGCAATATGTGGACCAGGTGTGTAGTCTCGCCTCTTGAGTCGACTCAAAGGGAGCAGCCATGGCGTCAACAATCGACTGGCTGGAAGCGGAGGACATTCTGCCTCTTGTCCTGCGCTCCAACCTGCACCACAAGCAATATGTGGACCAGGTGTGTAGTCTCGCCTCTTGAGTCGACTGAAAGGGAGCAGCCATGGCGTCAACAATCGACTGGCTGGAAGCGGAGGACATTCTGCCTCTTGTCCTGCGCTCCAACCTGCACCACAAGCAATATGTGGACCAGATGTGTAGTCTCGCCTCTTGAGTCGACTCAAAGGGAGCAGCCCTGGCGTCAACAATCGACTGGCTGGAAACGGAGGACATTCTGCCTCTTGTCCTGCGCTCCAACCTGCACCACAAGCAATATGTGGACCAGGTGTGTAGTCTCGCCTCTTGAGTCGACTCAAAGGGAGCAGCCATGGCGTCAACAATCGACTGGCTGGAGGTCATGTGTATGCATGCTACTCCTCCACCAGTGCCACCTGCAAAGCGTTCCCCTCCTACTTCCCCACGCGCATCCCATGGAACACATCATGCATCTTGTGCGTGATGCCCCTCTTCTCAGCCAGTGGAACCTTGTTGAGTGGACTCTGAAGAATCTGAAACACCAGCTAATGACTTCTGAGTCGTCTCAAAAGTCAGCCAGTGCAGTGGAGCCTTGGGGATATTGAAGAATCTGGAGCACCAACTAATGACTTTCGAGGCGCCTCCGCCGCTGGCTGGATCCAGAAAGTTCCATCAAGGGAGGCGCCGCCTTCAAGGGAGTGAAAGAAAAGCCATTAAAGCTGGTGCGGGTTATGAGAGCCCTGCTATACCAGCAGCGAGGGCAAGCACCTGCATGCTGTGTGGGCCGCCACTGAGAAGCAGAAGCCTCGTCTTATCCACTTCCTCCTTTCCCTTCCTTTTCCCCTCCGAACAACACCCCAATCGCAACAGGTAGTAAAGATCATGCGTGCGCTGCTCAACCAGCGGCGGCTGCTGGGCAAGCACCTCGACGCCGTGAAGGCTGTTACTGAGAAGCCTTGTCTTATTTCCTCCCCCCTTTCCCCCATTCTCCTCAGGTAGTAAAGATTATGCGCGCGCTGCTCAACCAGCGGCGGCTGCTGGGCAAGCACCTCGACGCCGTGAAGGCTGTTACTGAGAAGCCTTGTCTTATTTCCTCCCCCCTTTCCCCCATTCTCCTCAGGTAGTAAAGATTATGCGCGCGCTGCTCAACCAGCGGCGGCTGCTGGAGAAGCACTTGGACGCCGTGTGGGCCGCCACTGAGAAGCCCGACCAGTTTGAAGCAGTGAGACATGGTTTTGAAGCGGTGAGATGTGGTGAGATGCGGCTAGTGAGACACTTGCAGGTAGTGATGCTTCCGTCTCTTGAGGCACCTCAACCAGCGCAGCCTGTTGGGGAAGCACCTGGACGCCGTGTGGGCCGCCACTGAGAAGCCCGACCAGTTTGAAGCGGTGAGGCGTGGTGTAAAGCGGTAATGCGCAGATTGTTAGCGGTGAGATGTGGTTTCAGTGTGGTTTGTGAGACGTTCGCAGGAAGCGAGGCTTACACTTCTTGAGGCACCTCAACCAGCGGCTGGTGTTGGGGAAGCACCTGGATGCCGTGTGGGGCGCCTCCGAGAAGCCCGACCAGTTTGAAGCGGTGAGGCGGTGTAAAGAGGTGATGCGCAGATTGTTAGCGGTGAGATGTGGTTTCAGTGTGGTTTGTGAGACGTTTGCAGGAAGTGAGGCTTACACTTCTTGAGGCACCTCAACCAGCGGCTGGTGTTGGGGAATTACCTGGACGCCGTGTGGGCTGCCACTGAGAAGCCCGACCAGTTTGAAGCGGTGAGGCACGGTGTGAAGCGGTGAGGTGTGGTTCGAGTGCAATGAGTGAGATGTATGGTGGCCATTGGGCTTATGCCTTTTTAGGCGCCTTAGCAATTGTCACGTGCTGGGGAAACACCTGAACGGGTGGGATCAGGCCGCTGAATGAAAAAGCTCAGGTGACCCGAGGCCGTGCAGGCAAGCCCGGGAGAAGCAGTCGACAATCTCCAGGAAGTGAGGCATTCATAGTCGTAGAATGTCACGTGCTGGGGAAACATCTGGATCATAGAGCAGACGGCAATCTCCAGTCATAGAGCATCATAGCGTGGCAAAGCTCAGCTTCTCCTTATTCCATCCTTCCTCTCCCCGGCAGGGGAAGAACATGTTCGACCTGCTGGCGGAGCTTCCCCAGTCGTGTGAGTGACGTGCCTCAAAGTTCATTCCCCTCTTTCACCCGTTGTCTATTGGCGCTTGCCCCTGCGCTGTGCAGGTGAAGAACAACATATTCGACCTGCTGGCGGAGCTGGCCTGGTCCTTCTCAGACGAGCAGCTCGACTCGCTCTTTTCCCGCCTGCAGCACATCCAGGTGACCCATGCGCTCTGATGGCATGGCATGAAATGAAACATCACACGGATAGCGGGACGCACGCATGATAGTTGGCAAGGTATGGACTGGCATGAGCTGCTCCACTCGCTCTTCTCCCGCCTGCAGCACATCCAGGTGACTGCTGCTCTCACGCCTTCCTTCTTCATGCACTTGCATGACATGACATGAAAATCACCACTCTGCCAGTGTCCCGTGGTGGCATGGCATGGCATGGCATGGCATGCACTCTTAATAGAAAAAAATGCATTTGCTTGTGTACTTTAAGCCAACGCATGTGGTCACTCACATGTGTGAAGCTCGGTTCTGACTACTGTGTGCGGGCAACAAGTCTGCACTCTGCTTCCTCCCCATCGTTCCTCACCTGTCGGGGTCACTTGACAGTTAATCGCTGAGACTTGCAGGCTTGCAGCTTCTGGAATGAGCCAACTTGATTTCTCTCTGTTGTTCCTTCCTCCCTCCCTGCCCCACCATCTCGACGTGAACTTCCTGAGTTGATCTTAGTCCACTTTGTCGCTCCTTCCCTCCCTGCCCCACCAGGGTCGCTCAGCGGCTGACATAGCAAAGCTGATGCAGCTGGTGAAGTGAAGAAGCCAGGCATGTGAGGAGAAGTCCTCACGTCTCGGTGAACTTCCTGAGTTGAGCTTAGTCCACTTTGTCGCTCCTTCCGCCCCGCCCCACCAGGGTCGCTCAGCGGCAGACATTGCCAAGCTGATGCAGCTGGTGAAGAAGCTTGCACGGTCCGACACCCGTGGAGTCATGGCCTCCAGGTGAAGTCTCGTTTTCAAGTCAACTATCGTGGATTCCTGGTGATTTCTTGCTTTCCAGTCGATTTTATTATTTTCAGGTATTTGTTTTTGCTGTCAGACCAACTTTGTGGTTTCCCGGTGATTTGCTGAAAGTGCAGCAAGGTTTAGCACTTTCACTCTTCACAGGATAGCCTCTGGATGATGTTTGTCAGAGCGACAAATCCCACCATCTGTGCGTACTTGCAGGCTGCTGCAGCTGCTCTGGACGCTCGTGTTCGACCTGCCCCACACCCATTCAGTCCCAACAGGGTCATCGTCAGCGGCACGCATTGGCATGGCATGCATCCATTTTTGTGTCACACTTTCCCCCTATTGCCCTACTTACAGGCTGCTCCAGTTGCTCTGGACTCTCGTGTTCGACCCGCCTCACACACATGCAGTCTCAACAACAGGGTCAGCGTCAGGATCAGCAGCATCGGCACCGGCATCAGCAGCAGCGTTGGCAGCAGCAGCAGATGTTGCGTCGGTGAACGTGCTTGAATCGAAGGCCCTCACGGAGGTGTTGGGCCACTATGCCTCCGTTGGATGTGCTAATAAAGAGGTGAGACTCTTCCAATGATGAATACCTGTTTCTTTTTTGCCTGTTTCTTTTTTTCGTTAGTTTGTTAGTTTGTCTCAGTGTTTGATCCGTTTCTCCAACCCACCCCCTCCTCCCCCCCTTTTCTGCTCTTCTCAGGTGTACATGCAGCGCTCTTCAGGCCATCTTATGGGAGAGAGTGTTCCACCGTCTTCCTTCCCCTCCTCCCCTGAGTGATTTTTGAGAATTCTAAAAAACAATCTTCCTTCCCCTCCCCCCCTCTCCCTCCCCCTCATTCCCCCGCCCCTCCTTCCACCCCATTCTCCCCTATCAGGAGTACATGCAGCGCTGCCTGCAGGCCATCTCGCGGGAGGAAAGTGTCATTCCGGCCCTCCAGCTGCTGCGAGAGATCATCTCTCTGCACCCCAACCCCGCTCCACCTGCTGAGGTGCTGCTTTCACCCCCTTGCACTCCTTCGTTTGCCCTTCCAATCATTCGGAAAATTTTCTCTCTGCACCCCAACTGCGCTCCATTTGCCAAGGTGCATTTGTATTCCTGTGTTTGTCTGTGCGGTTTGTTTCCGTTTTGTTATGTGCACGTTAAAGTTGCTGCTAGTCATGTTAATCCCTGCCTCACTGCTGCATGCCTGTAATTTCTTTCATGTCCTCACTGCATGCCTTCCTCAATCCGTGTATGCTTCATTCCTTCATTGCTCGTCTCGTGTGCTGCAGGAGCAGCAGATGCTGCAGGCTCAGCTGCAGTCGCTGAATGCAAACCATGAGCTTGAATACACTGTAAGCTCAAGTACACTGTTAGCATTCGTGCATGCATATTGAGAATTCTCAAGCGATGTCCATACAGCTGCAGTTGCTGAATGCAAACCATGAGCTCGAGTACACTGTAAGCGTCCGTGCATGCAATTCGTCGTATTGTTTTAGTATAGAACACTACAATGCACGAGGTAATTGGTACGAAATGCAGTACAGTACACTGTACTGTAAACATGTGTGACGTGGAATGGTTGCATGAGCAGGTTAGGTTGTATTTCAGTTGCATGTTTTAACCAGTTCTTTATGACTTCAAGGTCTGCTTGTGTCACTCATCTCATTAGTGGCACGCTAGCATAGGGAGCACAAGAAGCACACATCGTCCGTTTCGGTTGAGACCTGAACCCCACACAGTCTGAGACCCTGTCTGCCTCTCTACGCCCTTCCAGCCTTCAAAATCTCCCCTTCCCCTCTCTTCCTTTCCCCTCCTCTCCTTTTCCTTTCCCTCCACTTCCCTTCCCACTTCCCCCTCCCCCTTTCAGGTTCTGGATAGTCTGCAGACTCACAAGGGCCTGGCCCGCTCCCTGTTCGCCTCAGCACGCTCTTTCCCTCTGCTTGACTCTTCTCCTCCCTCCTCACTTCCCCCCATTCCCCACTCCCCCCCCCCCCCCCTTGCAGGTACTGGGCAGTCTGCAGACGTACAAGGGCCTGGCGCGCTCCCTGTTCGCCTCAGCACGCTATTCCCCTGCGCTCAACTCCCCTTCCCCTTTTGTCCTTTTCTCCCCTCCTCCCTCCCCGCCTCCTCCCTAGCAGGTACTGGGTAGTCTGCAGACGTACAAGGGTGGCGCGCTCCCTCCCTGTTCGCCTCAGCACGCTCTTCCTCTTTGCTTGGCTCTTCTCCTCCCTCCTCACTTCCTCCGCCCGTTCCCCCCTCTTTCCCTGCAGGTACTGGGTAGTCTGCAGACCTACAAGGGTCTGGCGCGCTCTCTGTTCGCCTCAGCACGCTCGGCCTCCCCCCACCAACCACACCCCGTTGCTGCTCCAAGCAAGCCTTCTCCACCCAGCCCCATTTCAAGCAGCCCCATTCCACCCAACAGCAGCAGCCCCCTACCAGTCCCAGATGCCAGCGCCCTGGCTAGCAGTGACGGCAGTCCCATGCATGGTGTGGTGGTAGCAGAGGAGGCAATGAAGCAGGAGCGCAGCAGTGGGGATACAGCGGACGAGGAGAGATCGTCCCCCACTATGGACTGTGACGAGCCGCAAGGGCAGCAGCAGGAGGAGCTGAAGCACGGGCAGGAGGGGCGGCATCAGCAGCAGCAGCAGCAGCAGCAGCTGCAGCGGCAGTTGGAGCAGTGCACGTTGGTGGATGGCAGGCACTCCCACCGCGACAACATCACTGCCCGCCTCTCGTTTCTCCTCTGGGCACTCCAGGTGCTTCCCCTCTTCCTTTCGTCATCCTTTCGTCGCCCTTTTGTTGCCACACATTCTTCCCAACATGGACAGACTGAGCGCGGCACCCAGCATCCCTTTCTTCCTATGTGGCGCCTCAAGCTCCCACGCCTGCTTTCTCATCACACCACCCTTCCTAAACCCTGCTTTGATTCTTAAAACCTGAATTTTCAGACCCTTAGTCTCATGGAATGAAGTTACTGCCAGAGGGGCAGCGGGTGATATGGACTGTGCTAGTGGAGCACCCGCACCACACCACACCTGCCTTCTTAGCATTCTTTCTGAACCCTTCGTAAACCCCTCTTAAACCCCTCACAAACCCCTGTTCAAACCCCTCTGAACCATTCTCAAAACCCTTCTAAACCCCTTTCTAGACTCTTCTTTGACCCTTACCAACCTGCAGGCAGGCGGCATGGAGCTACAGACAGCGGGGCTTGGGTGATTTGGACGGAGTTAGTGGAGCAACCAGGATGTCTTCGCAGCTCGTCAAGGATCCGTGACTGATTTCCTAGCACACTGTTCCAAACCCCTTTCAACACCCGAAACCTCTACAACCCTGCAGGCACGTGGCATGGAGCTACAGCCAGAAGGGCTGTGGTTGATCTGGACGAAGTTAGTGGAGCACACACGCAGCGTGCCTTCTCAACCCTCTTCCCAAATTCCTTTTTTTTAACCCCTCTTCAACCCACACCAACCTGCAGGCAGGCGGCATGGAGCTACAGCCAGAGGGGCTGCGGGTGATATGGACTGAGTTATTGGAGCACGCAGCATGTCTGCCCGGCTCCTCGAGGACCCATGCCTGCTGCACACCTTTCTAAACCCCTTAATAAACCCGTGATACCTTGAATCTCTACCAACCTGCAGGCAGGCGGCATGGAGCTACAGCCAGAGGGGCTGCGGGTGATATGGACTGAGTTAGTGGAGCACGCAGCATGTCTGCCCGGCTCCTCGAGGACCCATGCCTGCTGCACACCTTTCTAAACCCCTTAATAAACCCGTGATACCTTGAATCTCTACCAACCTGCAGGCAGGCGGCATGGAGCTACAGCCAGAGGGGCTGCGGGTGATATGGACGGAGCTAGTGGAGCACCCAGCGTGCCCTGAGGACCGCCAGCTGGCGCTGACGTGGCTGTGTGACGCAGTGGAGGGGAGGGAGGGGGGGGAGTGGAGAGGAGAGGGGGGTGGGCGGATAGGGGTGGTGGGGGGTGTGGGCGCAGGGGTCGGGGTGGTGGGAGGGGCTGTGAGTTCGACGGGACAGGTGGCGCTCTTGGATTGGTTGACACAGCTCCCTCCAGAGCAGTTCTCGCCAGTTGCTTGGAGGTGGGTTCGTCAGTTCCATGCCATGCATAAAAATTCTCATGTTTATTTGGCTGGTCGCTTCGCTTCTTGATTCTGCAGCGTTTTGCCTCTCCTCCTGCTCTGCTATCCCCCCTCTCCCTCTCCACATGTCTGACGCCTCCCTCTGTTTCATTCCCCCTTGCTTTCCCACAGCGCCAGGTCAGCACAGCACCGTGCATTTTGGTTTGTCTCAAAGCCACTTGCCGCTTCTTCCCCCTCCCCACTTCAGGCTGTTCCACCCACCTCACATCAGGCTGTTCCACCCACCTCACATATTCAGTTTTCCCAAAAGGTCATTTTCTTTCCGTCCCTCCCCCAACCAGGCTCTTCCACCGCATATTTATCAACATAAACACAGCACCAGGCGTGCTCGCTGCGGAGTCACCTCAGCAGCAAGGTGACATTTCAGTTAGCCTAAGAGGTCTTTTCCTTTCTCTTCCTCCCCCAACCAGGCTGTTCCACCGCATATTCATCAGTGTAAACACAGCGTCAGGCGTGCTCGCACTCACCTCAGCACCACCCGGAGCAACACCAGCACCAGCGCTGCCAGTGGGGCCAGCAGCAGCAAAGGCAGTGGCAGAGGCAGCAGCAGCAGCAGCAGCAGCGGTAGTGGCAGGGGCGGCGGCAGAAGAAGCAGCAGCAGCAGCAGCAGCAGCAGCAGCAGCCGCAGCAGCAGCCGCAGGGGTAGTGGCAGGGGCAGCAGGGGAGGGAGCGCAGGTGGCAGTGGCGGGGAATGTGGGGCAGTTGAAGGGAGTGGAGCTCGTGTGGTCGCTGGCTCTGCGCTGCCCCTCCCCTGCCATCTGGCAGCCCTGCATTCAGCTGCTCAGGGACTTACATTCCTTGCTTGTTGCTCCAGAAAAGGTAGGTGCTGCAGTGTTGCGTTGCGAGGGAGGGCGTGCACGTGGCAGTGGCAGGGGATGTGGGGCAGAGTTTCATAGGCGAGTGCATGCCCTCCCCTCCCTTCCTCCCCACCAACCCCAATTTCCCCTCACCCCTTCCTTTCTCCCCAACTTCTCCTGTTCTTCAGGCCAAGCTGGTGGCGGTGCGGCAGAGCTTCATAAGTGAGTGCATGCGGCGCCTTGCTGGTGCGATGCGGCAGCTGGAGGGAGGGACAAGTGCGAGTGTATCGCCACCCTAATCCCCCCTCTCCTCCTTTACTTCCCAACCCTCTTTAACCCTTTCCATTCAGGCCAAGCTGGTGGCGGTGCGGCAGAGCTTCACAAGCGAGTGCATGCTCTCCCTTCCTTCCTTCCCACCAACCCCAATTTCCCCTCACCCCTTCCTTTCTCACCAACTTCTCCTATTTTCCAGGCCAAGCTGGTGGCTGTGCGGCAGAGCTTCATAAGCGAGTGCATGCGGCGCCTTGCTGGTGCGATCAGGGGTGGTAAAGGGCAGGGCGAGTGCATCAACTAATTCCCCCCTCTCCTTCCTTACTTCCCAACCGTTTTGAGTCGACTCAAAAGTAAAGGCCGAGTGCATCATCAATTTATCCCCCTTCTCCTTCCTTACTTCCCAACCCTCTCTACCCCCTCCCTCCAGGCCAAGCTGGTGGCGGTGCGGCAGAGCTTCATAAGCGAGTGCATGCGGCGCCTTGCTGGTGCGATGCGGCAGCTGGAGGGAGGGACAGGTGCGGGGCATAATGGGCAGACGTTGGGAAGGCATAACGGGGAAGTCGAAGGGAGAGGTGCGGGAGGAGTGACGGTACCAACTGGGAGGGATGCTCTGCCTATGGAAACGAGTGCGGAGGAGAGCGATGGTCGGGAGAGGACGGGTGATGCGAGGGATGGCGGTGGTGATGTGGCAATGGCCGGACAGGAGGACGAGGGTGGCTTGGAAGCAAGGGAGCAGGAGAGGGAGGGCGGGGGTGCAGGGAGTCGGGAGATGATTGGCGACGGCAGCAGAGGAGGCGAGGGTGGCAGGGGTGGCGAGGGTGACAGGGGTGGGAAGGGTGACAGGAGCAGGGAGGGTGGCAGGAGCTTGGAAGGGCAGGCGTCAGCAGAGGAGCAAGCACAGCGCTGCCTCTTGCTCTTGACAGTAAGTTCGTGTTGAGACATCTCAAAGCACACACTGCCTCTTGCTCTTGACAGAAAGTTCGTATTGAGATATCTCAAAGCACACACTTTGCCTCTTGCTCTTGACACTAAGTGCGAGAGCAGAGCAGCTCATAGTTGGGTTGGGTGACTGAGAATGGCTGAACAACTCGCAAGTGTGCAAGGAAAGACACACCTTTCATACACATGCACACGTGCAAGTTACAACTAGGACCGGTCGGGCCGCATGCACTGCTCTTCTATCAGCAGGACCACTCATGGCACATTCTATCAGGCAGACGGTCAGAACCGCTGTTCTCCTCCCATTGCATCATGGTGGTTTTTGAGGCGCTTAAAAAACCACTTCAATGCACACAGGTACACTCATGGTACATGCTATCAGGCAGACGGTCAGAGCCACTGTTCTCCTCCCATTGCATCATCTCATCACCTCCTCCATGCCCCGTGCCCCTCTCTCCCCCGCTTCCCCTCCCAGCAATTCCTCACGCGCTGTGAGGCGTCCTGCCCGTGCAAAGTGCCACCCCACGGTGCTACCTACCAGGGCAGGCCGTCAACCAAGGGCCTGTCCCCCTCTCTGCCTCCCCCATCAAAAACCGCCCTCCACCCACACACCCTTCCCCTCCGCCCACCACACACCCCCTCTTCCCCCCTCCCTCCCAGCAATTCCTCACGCGCTGTGAGGCCTCCTGCCCGCGCAAAGTGCCACCCCATGGCGCTTCCTACCAGGGCAGGCCGTTACATATGGAGGTGAGATCTGAGCCAGGCCGTTTCAGGTGGAGGTGAGACCTGAGCCAGGCTGTTTCAGCTTGGGGTTGAGCAAGTGAAAGTATTAATTAACCTAGTGATTCGTTTGTAATATTGTATTTGCGTGTTTGTGCTTCTATCTTCCCTTCGACAAGGCATGGTGCTTGCATGCTGGTTCAATTCTGTACCACCACATATTTCACTGTCTATCGATATCTAATCATTTTCATTTTACAGGTGTTCGTGTGCCATGTTTCGAACGGGTTCGTAGTTTTTTTCAGACCTTGCGTGGGGCGGACCGGGGGGCGTGGCACACAGCAAGCATATCAACCTCTTCGTTCATGTCCTATCTCCCGTCTCCCATCCCATCCCATCCCATCCCATCCCATCCCATCCCATCCCATCCCATCCCATCCCATCCCATCCCATCCCATCCCATCCCATCCCACTGCATCCCATCCCATCCCATCCCATCCCATCCCATCCCATCCCATCCCACCCCATCCCATCCCATCCCATCCCATCCCATCCCATCCCATCCCATCCCATCCCATCCCACCCCATCCCATCCCATCCCATCCCATCCCATCCCACCGCATCCCGTCCCATCCCATCCCTGCCCTGCCATCAAGCAGGTGACAGTAGCGCACAGCAAGCACGTGAACTTCTTTGTTCACACTCACACAAACGAGTACCTGCGCTTGCTGCGACTCAAGGTCGGCTACAACATACATGTGCATACAAAAACGTTTGCTTGATATTTACATATATGTGTATGTACACATTTTTTCCCATTGTGGGATTTCTTTTCTCTGTTCTTTTCCTGTTCCGCCCTTTCTCTCAGCTTGCCAAAACCATTGCCCTGACTCACGTTGACCTGCCTTGACTTGCATTTACCTGCCTTAACTTGCGTTGACCTGCCTTGACTTGCCAGGTGGCCCGCAAGCTCGAGTGTGACGTGGCACGTGTGCGGCTGCTATTGGACGGCCACGAGCTGCTCTCTGATTGGCTCGTGCTCCGCCAGTGCGGGATCGCAGACGCGCGGCTACTTATTGCTTCCGTCATGGTGTGTTTGTGACTGTAACAAAATATCGTCTTAGGTTCTTTTTGAACCGCCTAAAGTTTGTACGTTGTGATTGTAACGGAGGTGCCCTGTGGTGCGACTGCAGTCCAGTTCCGTTCTCGTATTTTCCTTCTGACTCTACCCATCATGTTCTTCATCACAACCCTCCAACCCTCTTCCTCCCTTGCCATGCTCCCCCTCTCGGCAGTTGAATCCCCGGCCTGGCAGCAGGCAGCAAGGGGAGGGAGGGGAGACGGAGCTTCCGGGAGTGCTCATGGCACAGCAGGGGGAGGTGGGTTTTGGATTTGGGAGATGCGGTCTGAAGGAGGGTGGAGTTGAATGGGAAAAGACGAAAGGCGAGAGGGGAGTGGCATGGCTTCAGGGTGTGGTATGGAGGGGGACGACTTTTACAGTTCCGTGACCATCCTTTTTTCCTCAACCCTTCATTCTTAGACTTCAGTTTTTGGGAATGGCTCATGCTTGATTGTTCACATACTTCAGTTGCGCCGGCTCTGTTGTTTATTGTCGGCTGAATTGTCCCCGTGCCTGGCAGGCTTATGACACTCTTTTCCAGCTGCTTCAGTCTGCCAACCATCAAGTGCAGCAGGTTCGTCTTCTTTCCAAACAGGTTCATGTTCATTTTTGAGTCGACTAAAAGTTCGACTCGAAATTTGACCAAAAAGGTTGACTTGACCCAAAAGTTGACTCAAAAATAAATTCCTGACAGGTTCATGTTTTTAGCCCGGCACCTGCGTCTCTTACTATCTTGACTGTCTGTTGTTCCAAAGGAGGCCCTTTTGAAGCTCTTCTTGTTCAAAAGGGCCTTCTTCCTCTGTTTGAGGCTCTTCTTCTCATGCTGCCGCATGCTTAAGGGCCTCAACGAACGCCATCCCTCTCCCTTCCCCTGCGTCCCATGCCTCTCCCCTCTCTCCCCACATGAAGGCAGCGGGTGAGCTTCTCATGCTCGTGTGTATCAAAGAGACAATTCACCCCTTCCCCTGCTTCCCATCTGCTGCCCCTCTCCCCTGCCTCCCCTGCCTCCCCTGCCTTGCCTCCCCCGCCCCCCTGCCTCTCTGTGCATGCGAGGCAGCGGACGAGCTGCTCATGCTGCCGGGTCCTTAAGGGCCTTCACGAGCGCCATCCCTCTCCCTTCCCCTGCTTCTCATGTCTCTTCCCTCCCTCCCCACACACTAGGCAGCGGACGAGCTGCTCATGCTGCCGGGTCCTTAAGGGCCTTCACGAACGCCATCCCTCTCCCTTTACCTGCTTCTCATGTCTCTTCCCTGCCTCCCCACACACCAGGCAGCGGACGAGCTGCTCATGCTGCTGCCGACACACCGCGCTATTCTCGACGATTTCATGGTCAGTCAGTCAGTCACACAGCTGTTCGGCCCTTGTCCGTTCCACAAACGTTTGCCATCTGATTCTGGTCACTTGTGATCCGTCTCAGATCGAAGCTGCACATGCACTCGCATGGGCCTGTGCATAGCTGACAGCAGCATACACCGCCACACACCACACCGGGTCCAGTCGCATTCTTTCGAATTCTTTCATTCTCTCTCTCGCCCCATCCCCCCCCCCTTGCTGCAGCCCCCCCCCTCCCCCACCCCTCTTCCCCCCCCCCCCCCCCCCTTTTTCCTCTTATTACTCTCATTCATCGTCTCCCTTTTTCGTGGTCTCTCTCTTTCACCCATGCATGACTGAATGTGGACCCTCCTCAGAGCATCCAGTCAGCGTCATCAGCAGCCGAGGCTGCGGCCATTCTGGCTCGCCTCCTGCGGCCCTCACCACGCCTTGTGTACACGCTTCAGGTGATAAGGTTTCAGGGTCTAGGGTCTAAGGAGTGATTGCCATACAAGCTGCAGGTGATAGGGTTTCGGATTTTGGGTTTATGGAGTGATTTCCATACTCGCTGCAGCAGATGAGTATCACGTTGGCACTTGCGACTCCCATCGTCAACCTGACACCTCAACTTTGTAATTGCTTCGTCTTCACTCTCCGGCTGATTGACTTGCCTCACGCCCCAAGCTCCCATGCGTTTTCCATTCACATGCATCCATCCTGCGTCCCATTCCATCATCATTCCATCCATCATCATTCCATTATCCTTCCATCATCCTTCCATCTGCCCCATGCTGCCATCCACCAATCAGGTGCTGGACGGGCTATTGCTGCCAGTCAACTGCCCGCCCTCTCCTGCCACCACTCGCTTCCGAGCGAGCTTTCTCCAGTCCAACGGGTTCAGGTGACCTTTTGATGGAATTCAGGTGACTTTTTGATGGAATTCAGGTGACTTTTTCAACTTGTGTTATCTGCTTGATGGGATTCATGTTTTTTTCCTGACTATTGGCTTTGGTTATGATCTTTTCAACGCATGACGTGTAGTTTGGTCCGTTTGTAAGGTGTACATGCCCCTGTCTGCTTCTCTTTCTCTCTGCTCTTCGCCTTCCTCTCCCATACCCCTTCAAAGACCAAGCGAATCTTCTCTTTTGGTCCAGCCAACAACTACTGACTACCTCTCCCTCTCTCCTCCTGTACACTCCCCTCGTCTCGGCCTCATTCTTCCTCAGTGCCCTTGTATCGGTCTTGCAGTGCCAACGCTGCCGCATGCAGCATACTATCCCATCAGCAACCGATCATCTTCTTGTCCTACAAACCAACTCCCCCTTCCCGTTCTCCCCTCCCTTCCTGTTCTCCCCTCCCTTCCCGTTCTCCCTCCCCTTCCCGTTCTCCCCTCCCTTCCCGTTCTCCCTCCCCTTCCCGTTCTCCCCTCCCTTCCCGTTCTCCCTCCCCTTCCCGTTCTCCCTCCCCTTCCCGTTCTCCCCTCCCTTCCCGTTCTCCCTCACCTTCCCGTTCTCCCTCACCTTCCCGTTCTCCCTCACCTTCCCGTTCTCCCTCACCTTCCCGTTCTCCCTCACCTTCCCGTTCTCCCTCACCTTCCCGTTCTCCCTCACCTTCCCGTTCTCCCCTCCCCTTCCCGTTCTCCCTCCCCTTCCTCCCCCTTGCTCCCCTTGTTCTTCCTCAGCGCCCTCATGTCGGTCTTCCAGCCCCAAGCCTTGCCACCTGCAGCGGATGACAGCACGAGGCGCAAATGCTACATGAGCGCTCTGCACATTCTCAAGCTCACGGTTAGTCCCTCTGTTTACCATGCCCATTGACTTTCTGAGTATGCTCCTGTGCAAATGCCTTACAAGTTCCCTGCACATTCTCAACCTTATGGCCGTCACTATCTCGTCTTGCCCTGTGACCTTGAGTCCTCATCCCTCACAAAGGAAAATGGCATGTGAGGAGAGGGTTTCACTGGTTCCGGCTGTTGTAAATGTATCTTATATATACAACATACATAGGCTAGAATAGGTGTAGCTCTTTAAGCCATTGGGGGGTTGGGTGTACACTCCAACCACACTTTGTGGTTGGGTCAAGATTTGGTTTGGTCTTGGTCCTTGGTTGGCACTTGCCAACATTTGGTCCTAAGGCCAACCAATCACAAGCTAGCAACATTGTGGGGTTCCCTACTCCACAAGGCAACTCACCCATTGGCCAACTTAGTGGCCAATAGGGTTGCACCTTCTTCCAACCTCTCTTCCTTGCATGCTTGTACTATAGAGCCTCCTTGGCTCATTACTCAACCATTCTTGAATTCTATCATGGTATCAGAGCTAAATGGCTCACGCCACCTCCCTCGATCCTTAGGCCGTAATTTCCTCTCCGCGTCTTAGATCTAGCCTCCCGCGGCCTCAATCCTCCCTCCCGTACCTCAGATCTAGCTTTCCGCGGCTCAGATCTACTCCTCCGCGGTCTCAATCCTCCCTCCCGCGGCCACAATCCTCCCTCCCGCGGCCTTAATCCTCCCTCTCGCGGCCTCCGACCGCTCTCCCGCGGCCTCAATCCTCCCTCCCGCCGCCACCCCTCCCTCACGCCTTCCGTCGCGGACGGCCAGCACACCGTCGCATCCGCGCCAGCAAGCCGTCGCGGACGGCCAGAAAGCCGTCGCGGACGGCCAGAAAGCCGTCGCGGACGGCCAGCAAGCCGTCGCGGACGGCCAGCAAGCCGTCGCGGACGGCCAGCCAACCGTCGCGGACGGCCAGCGTGCAGCCACGAGCACCCCGCGCGTCGACGCGGACGGCCAGCGCGGAGTCGCGGTTGACCTGTGCGCCATCCCGAACGGCCGCCGCGCGATCGCCGACGACCTCCGCGCCGACGCGGACGACCGACGCGGAGCCGCGGCCGACCCTCGCGCTGACGCGGACGGCCGACGCAGAGCCGCGGCCGACCCTCGCGCTGACGCGGACGGCCGACGCAGAGCCGCGGCCGACCCTCGCGCTCTCACGGGCGGCCGACGCGCCGCCGCGACTGACCTGCGCGACCTCCCCCCTTTCATCCGCGCCCTGCCCCACACTTCCGCGCCATCCTCCCTCTCCCCTACCTCCTCCCCCCCCCTACTTCACCCTTAATCGCACCAGCAACGGCACCAGCAGCGGCACCCTCAACGGCACCAGCAGCGGCACCTTCAACGGCACCAGCAGCGGCACCTTCAACGGCACCAGCAGCGGCACCTTCAACGGCACCAGCAGCGGCACCTTCAACGGCACCAGCAGCGGCACCTTCAACGGCACCAGCAGCGGCACCTTCAACGGCACCAGCAGCGGCACCTTCAACGGCACCAGCAGCGGCACCTTCAACGGCACCAGCAGCGGCACCTTCAACGGCACCAGCAGCGGCACCTTCCCGACTTCGCCATCATGGCGTCCGCAGACTCATCGGTCGACCTGGCGACCATTGACTCTCTCGAGTTGTTGGGCGACAACTCGGCCGCCAACTGGCACTCTTATGCCCACTCCGTCGAGGTGTTGCTCTCCTCGGTTGTCGTCAGCGGATATACCCTCCGTTCCGTCGTGTTCCAGGAGGAAGGCGGACTCCAGCCCATCGCCCCTTCCGCCCCCACCGGACCTCCTCCTGACGAGCCCGGACCTGAGCCCGAGCCTCCTGGTGATCCTCCCACCTTCGCGCCGGATGTCAACAATCCTCAGAGCATGGAAACTGCCATCCGTACCTACCGCACCGCACTCAACGACCACCTTCGCCGTCAACTGCGCTATGAGGACGACAAGCGCGCCTACGACGAGGCTGCTGCCCGCCACCGCGATTACCAAGCTCGACTCGCCACGTACACTACACGTCTCGCCAGCTACACCACCGACATCGCTGCGTGGCGCATTGCTGACCGTCGAGCTCTCGCCATCCTCCTCGCCACTATCCCCTCCTCCCTCAAACGAGAGCTTTCACCTACCTCCTCCTCCCACCTGTGGCAACTGCTTGTCGACCTCTTTGACCGGCAGGACATCGCCACCCTCTATGCCCTCATCAAGGAATTTGGATCCATCACCATGGATTCCACTGCCGGCGCAGCCGCCTTTACTCGCCGCGTCCTTGACCTTGCTCGCCGCCTTGCAGCACTTGGCGTTACCTACCCTGACACTGTCATCTGCTGCCACCTCCTCGAAGGCCTCACTCCCGCCTTCGATGCCCACAAGCTCGCATACATGCAACTCCTCTCCAAGCATGACACTCCCGCTCAAGTTGCCCAGTGGATTATCACCACTGAGGCTGAAATCCTTCGCCACTCCTCCTCCACTGCCGCGGTAGCACAGCAGCGCAGCGGCAAGGGCGGACGTGGGGGAGGGCGTGGAGGTGGGCGTGGTGGTGGTCGAGGCGGCTCTGGCGGTCGTGGTGGTGCGGGTCGTGGGGCAGCAGCGGCCTTCCCACCCTGTCAGTATCTTCCCCTCTATGGCCCCACCCGAGGCCAACGCTGCAACCAAACCACTCATGCAACTGACACGTGCTTCAAGGCACTCAGCGATGAGTGGTTCGCTCGTGGGAACTCTGGCACCCCTCCTCGCTGGTCCGCCCTTAATCCCCGCCCCACTCCCCTCGATGTTCGCACCTCTCCCCTCTACGCCCCCTCCTCCTCCTCCCAGGCCCACCAGGCCTTTGCTCTCCCCTCTCAGCAGCAGCAGCAGCAGCAGCAGCAGCAGAGTGTCCAGCAGCAGGGACCGCAGCAGTATGGGCAGCAGCTCGACCTCCAGCCCCAACTTCCTCTCCTCCCTCCTCCTCCTGTCCCCCAGCAGCAGCCGTTTCCCAGCTGGACCGCCGGAAATGCCGCCTCTGCGGCCCACCTCTCCGGTCCATCCCCTGCGCCGTCCACAGGTGGCAGTGTGACCCCCTTTCCCTCCTCTGGCTTTGTTGGTCTCCTTAGTCAGCCTCCTTCTGTTGCATCTCCTATGTATGCCCCTGCTATTAATGAAACCTCAATTCAGTATTCCGCCTCACCCTCCTCCACCCTTGAGTTCGTCTTGGACAGTGGAGCCACTGATAATGTCTTTCGAGATGCCGGCAAACTCAATCCTCTTCCCACATCCACGTCCCTCCTTGGCGCTGATAGCAGCTTTTCCATCCCCTGTCACAACACCTCCACCCTTCCCTGTCCTCTCTTTCCCTCAGGTACTGTCACAGGTCTTCACATTCCCTCCCTTCGCACCAACCTCCTCTCCCAAAGGTCCCTCCAACAATCCATGATCACCACTCTCACCCCAGGTGGTGCTAACCATTGTGATCTCTACCACACCTCCACAGGTCGTTTCCTCGCCCGTATTCCTTACTGTCCCCGCACCCGTCTATACACCCTTCGAGTTCCTCGCCCCCTCACCTTCCAAGTTGCCTCCCCCCCCCTCTTCCCCCCCCCTTCCCCTCCCCTCCACTAACCCACCCGTCCCCCCCCGCCCCCCTGACTCTGACTGCTCATGTCGCTCCCTCTCCCACCCTGCCATCCTCCTCCATCACAGGCTAGGTCACCCCAACTTCGCCACTCTGCGCTCCTCTGTATCCTCCGGTCTCCTCCACGGTCTCCCCTCTTCCCTCCCTCCCCTCCCAAAGTCCCCTGCCCCCCCTTGCGTCGTCTGTGTTCAGAGCAAGCTCAAGCAGCAGCCGCACCGGAGCTCCCCCTCCGCTGCTGCTCAGCCACTTGATCTTGTTCACATGGACCTCTGGGGCCCTAACCCTTCCCCCACTCGCCAAGGCCATCGCTACCTCCTCGTGCTCGTCGATGACCACAGTCGGTACTCGTCCGTCTCTCTCCTTCGGACGAAGGCGGATGCCCCGACCGCGATCATTGCTTGGCTCGAGCAAGCCAACACCCACTTTGGCCGCCCTGTTCGTCGCCTCCACTCTGATGGTGGTGGTGAGTTCCTTAATACCCAAATTTCCTCCTACTGCCAGTCCCGCGGCATTCTCCAGACTCACACCCTCCCTCACGGTGTCGCTGAGAGCCGTGTTCGGGAGATCACCAAAACGGCTCGGTGTCTTCTTGTCCACGCCTCATGCCCCCCTTCTCTGTGGGGCTACGCCCTCCTTCATGCCGCCCTCCTTACTAACCTCTACCCTCACCCCCTCCTCCCCTCCACCACCCCCACTGAGCTATGGACAAAGGACAAACCCGATGTCTCCCCTCTTCGAGTCTGGGGCTCAAAGGCCTATGTCCTCATTCACCCGTCTGACCGATCCCGCTCCCTTGGAAAGCTTGCCCCTCGTACCCTTCCTTGCGTCTTCCTTGGTCATAACCCCTCCTCCCCCGACTACCTTTTCCTCCACCCCCCTTCCGGTCGACTAATTCGCAGCAGAGATGTCGTCTTTGACGAGTCCACCCCGTACTATTCCTCTCCCCCGTCCACTGACCCACTCCCACCTCTGACCCGTCCCCTTGTCTGGTCTGACACCACCCCTCCCCCTCTCCTCCCTCCTCCCCCCATCCTCCCACCCCCTCCCCCTCCGCCCTCCCAGTCCCACGGTGCCTACCCCATCAGCGTCCTTGCTCGGTTCGTTGGCGCTGGCAAGCACACGGAAGAGCACTGGCAGGCCGCCAAGCGTGTCCTTCGCTACATTCGTGGCACCAAGGACTATGTCCTCACTCTTGGCGGCCCTTCCCCACCACACCTCAACGGCTACAGCGACTCTTCCTGGGCTGATTCTCGACCGGATCGGCGGTCCTCTCAGGGCTATGGCTTCTCCCTCGGCAGCGGTCTCATCAGCTGGCGGTCCACACGCTCCTCTGCCGTCGCCCTCTCCTCCTGCGAAGCAGAGCTCTATGCTGCGACCATGGCCGCGCAAGAAGCACGCTGGCTCACCTTCCTCCTTGATGAGCTCGGAGCCCCCCAACGCTGTCCCACCATCTGGTGTGACAACGCCAGCACCATCCACCTCACCAAGGACGCTGTGTATCATGGGCGCTCAAAACATATTGAGCTTCGCTACTTCTTCATTCGCGATCTCGTTGAGGCCGGCCACATTCGTCTTGGCAAAATCGACTCGGCAGCCAACCTCGCCGACATCTTCACCAAAGCTCTTCCCCTAGCGTCCCACTCCTTCCTGTTGCGTCTCCTTGGGCTCACCCCGCCACCAGTTTTGGCGGCCTCCTGATTACATTTTTTCTAGCCTTATGCATGTTGGGGGGTTGTGTTGTAAATGTATCTTATATATACAACATACATAGGCTAGAATAGGTGTAGCTCTTTAAGCCATTGGGGGGTTGGGTGTACACTCCAACCACACTTTGTGGTTGGGTCAAGATTTGGTTTGGTCTTGGTCCTTGGTTGGCACTTGCCAACATTTGGTCCTAAGGCCAACCAATCACAAGCTAGCAACATTGTGGGGTTCCCTACTCCACAAGGCAACTCACCCATTGGCCAACTTAGTGGCCAATAGGGTTGCACCTTCTTCCAACCTCTCTTCCTTGCATGCTTGTACTATAGAGCCTCCTTGGCTCATTACTCAACCATTCTTGAATTCCATCACCGGCATCCCGGCATGTGCTGTGTGACAACTTATGAGACGTCTCAAAAGTCAAGTGCTGTGTGACTGACTGACTCGTCTCATTGGTTCCACAAGGCAGAAACTAGGAGCAGCCGCCACATGCTTCAAGGATTCTTATATTTTCCACAAATCCTTACTTATTTTTTCCAAACCCCACCCTGTCTGTCAGCTGTTTGGTGATCTTTTCGGTGCCTCCAGCTCAGCAGCGTACCTCTGGAAGATGCAACGAGAAGCAGCTGCCACATGCCTTATAAGGCACTCAATAGCCATTTGCCTTTTCCTCATCCCACTCCCGATCAGCTGTTTGGTGATCGTTTCGGTGCCTCCAGCTCAGCAGCGTACCTCTGGGAGGAGTGGGAGGAGCAAGGCAGCGACGAGCAGCAGCTGCCAGACGCCTTTTGAGGCGCCTAACTACTCGTTAATTTCCTCCTCAACCCACCCACTCCCTGTTTGTCAGCTGTTTGGCGACCGCTTCGGTGCCCCTAGCCCGGCACCGGACCTCTGGGAGGAGTGGGAGGAGGAAGGCAGCGATGAGGAGCAACTGGCAGACGCCTCTGAGTAATCCGTCCATTCATACCCTCTCTTCAAAACCCTCCCTCTCAGCTGTTTGACGACCGCTTCGGTGCCCCTATCCCGGCACCGGACCTCTGGGAGGAGTGGGAGGAGGAAGGCAGCGATGAGCAGCAACTGGCAGACGCCTCTGAGTAATCCGTCCATTCATACCCTCTCTTCAAAACCCACCCACTCAGCTGTTTGGCGACCGCTTCGGTGCCCCTAGCCCGGCACCAGACCTCTGGGAGGAGTGGGAGGAGCAAGGCAGCGATGAGCAGCAGCTGCCAGACGCGGCATGCATGGCCGCAGCTGCGGGCACTGTAGCAAGCACTATAGAGAGCATCGTGGGGAGCACTGTAGCGCGTACAGTGCCAGTGGGTGCCGCCCCTCTGCTTGCCACGGCACCTGGCGATTCGTCTGAGCCAACCTGCCTCATCCGGTGAGTGGGTTTCGATTTAATTCGACCCAGGGAGAAAAAAAAAAAAAAGTCGCTTTGTTGTGGCTTTTCAGTGTGGCTGCCAGCAGCGCATCCTCTTTGAGGCGCTTTAAGAGCTGCCAGCAGCTGCGCGACCTCCCGTTGCCACTGAGCCAGCTTTCTTTGATCTGATAAATCGTGTACTGCTGAACAACAAACCATCTCTTTTGAGTTGGATTGAATCGCTACTGATCCAACCAGCTCTCCCATTCTCTCCTCTTTTCTTTGCTGAGGTGAATTTTGGATCGTCCTTACTGGAAATCCTGATCTTTTTGTGGTAGCCAAGCTGTCACATCTGGTGAGGCGAGTGATCTCTCGTAAAATCTCTCCCTGCGTCTGTTTGTGCCTTTGGTGTGTGTTCCCTGCAGTGCGGATGGGACGGTGGTGGTAGCGGAAGCAAAGATGGTGGGTGAGGGGATGGACGAGGGGGAGGACGAGGATGTGGAAGTACAGGACATTATCCTAGATAACACGGGAGTTACTGTAGATACTTGTGAAAATGTCGCCAATAGAGGGGTAGTTCATAGCGAGGACGCCTCATCTCCTCAACCTCCTGCAGCAAGTGCTGCTGCTGCATCTCAGACACCGCCACAGCAAGCAGCGATACAAGCAGCTGCTGCAGACTCGCCAGCAGTTGCAATGGTAGTCCCTGCGCCGGCAGCAACAGGTGCCATTGCAGTGGCTTCGCCAGTCCCTGTGCCTGAAAGGGACGTGCCGCCATTTGTAGCAGTAAGTCCCATCCTTGCCTCTTTAAAGCCCCTCTATTGGTGTCAGCTCTGTCCCATCTACGTTACACTTTGGCATCAGTTTTGTGTTACTGTGCCTGACAGGGATGTGCCTCGCCTCCTTAGTAGCAGTACGTCCCCTCCCTTGCTGCTTTCTCCCTGCTGCACCACACTGCAGCGTCAGTCTTTTCTGATGTGCCTCAGAAGTCTTGTTTTTTTAGAAGACTTAAAATTTCTCACGTGCTTTGATTTTTGCATGAGGAGAACTGTAATTTGGCTGCGTTCGGCGGCCGCATTAGCCCGCACCAATGTACATTGCACATTTTTTTCGATGTTCCAGGAGCCTTCCGTGATAACCAGCCGAAAGGCTATCAAGGTTCGTGATAAGCGCTTGGCTGCCGAGGCAGACCAAGCCCGAATGCCTGCAGAACGGTCTTTTTGGCAACCACAAATTTGCATGTCGCCGCTTTCCAGGAAATACAGCGTACTAGCAATCTGACGCATCCTTGATGCGCGCATGATGCAACGCCCTAAACACGCATGATGCGCGCATCAGCTCGAATTGGGGCAATTGAACAGCGCATCATGCATGTGGGGAAGGCGCCAGGTGCGTTCTTCCCCACTTCGATGAAAGCTCAACACCCTGGAATTCGTCGGAATTTTGGGGTCGAAATTTGACATGCCCGAAATTCGACATCCCCAATTTCCGATTTCCCGAACCTGCGTGTCCATTTTCCGAACCTCCATTTTCCAATTTCAATTTGGACATTACCGAGCCTCAATTTTTCAATTTGTCAATTTGCCGAGCCTAGGGCGCATCAGGCTCTGATGCGGCCGCCGAACGCAGCCTTGGTTTCCTCTCCCGACCACAGATCATGGATGCTCCATCAACCCTGCTGCCGGCTGATTGGTCAGAGCTCACCAATACCGTCATGATGCTCGCCTGGGCAGCATCCGTCGGCTCTTTGCAGGCCATGGCGTCACCCAATCCGCATGCCTTCGATACCGCTGCAGCCGTTGTTGTGAGTGGAGTGGATTGCAAAAGGTGTATGTGTGCGCAAGAGTAGAGAACGTATGTGCACATGCCTTCGATACCGCTGCAGCCGTTGTCGTGAGTGGATTTGAGACGTCTCAAAGCATCTTCGCAGGCCATGGCGTTACCCAATCTGCATGCCTTCGATACCACTGCAGCCGTTGCTGTGAGTGGATTGCACAAGGTGTTTGTGTCGTGTGCTCGAGAGAGTAGTGTACGTGTGCGCAGCTGCATGTGTGTATGCATGCATGCGTCCATGTATGTATTCATGCATCCATACCATATGTGCCGTGGACCTGCATGCTAAAGTGTCCACTTGTGCTCGTGGAAACGTGCCCTTGCAATGCATACACAGTGCATGTATGATATATTGTGCATCTATTATCTCTATGCATCCTGTGGCATGTGCATGCAACCCACACCTTTTAAGACCCACTCGGAATTGCTGCTCCGTGTTTCACCTGTAAAACTCTTTTCCAAGTCTCCTCCTCTCTTATTGCACTCCTCTCTCCCGCTCTTCCCTCCGGTCCCTCCTGTCCCTTCCCTGTCCCTTCCCTGTCCCTCCTGTCCCTTCCCTGTCTGTCCTATTTCTCCCATCTCTCCTCCTCTACCATCGCTCCGACCCACCAACGCCAGCAGCAGGCAGTGGTGCAGTTTGGGCTACAACGGCAGGTGGAGCAGGCCGGCTTGGGGAAGGGGGGCGGAGAGGAGAGCGATGAATCAGAGGACGAAGAGGAGGAGGAGGATGAGGAGGATGGGGCGGATTCTCTGTTGCATCCTGATGATGCGTGCCTGGCGTTAGAAGGAGCGGCGGTGCTGGTGAGTGTGGGGCTAGGGAAGCGATGAACAGAGGATGATGAGGATGATGAGGATGATGAGGATGATGAGGATGATGAGGATGATGAGGATGATGAGGATGATGAGGATGATGAGGATGATGAGGATGATGAGGATGATGAGGATGATGAGGATGATGAGGATGATGAGGATGATGAGGATGATGAGGATGATGAGGATGATGGGGAGGATGGGGATGATGAGGATGATGGGGAGGATGAGGATGATGAGGATGATGGGGAGGATGAGGATGATGAGGATGATGGGGAGGATGAGGATGATGAGGATGATGGGGAGGATGAGGATGATGAGGATGATGAGGATGATGAGGATGATGAGGATGATGAGGATGATGAGGATGATGAGGATGATGAGGATGATGAGGATGATGAGGATGATGAGGATGATGAGGATGATGAGGATGATGAGGATGATGAGGATGATGAGGATGATGAGGATGATGAGGATGATGAGGATGATGAGGATGATGAGGATGATGAGGATGATGAGGATGATGAGGATGATGAGGATGATGAGGATGATGAGGATGATGAGGATGATGAGGATGATGAGGATGATGAGGATGATGAGGATGATGAGGATGATGAGGATGATGAGGATGATGAGGATGATGAGGATGATGAGGATGATGAGGATGATGAGGATGATGAGGATGATGAGGATGATGAGGATGATGAGGATGATGAGGATGATGAGGATGATGAGGATGATGAGGATGATGAGGATGATGAGGATGATGAGGATGATGAGGATGATGAGGATGATGAGGATGATGAGGATGATGAGGATGATGAGGATGATGAGGATGATGAGGATGATGAGGATGATGAGGATGATGAGGATGATGAGGATGATGAGGATGATGAGGATGATGAGGATGATGAGGATGATGAGGATGATGAGGATGATGAGGATGATGGGGAGGATGGGGATGATGAGGATGATGGGGAGGATGAGGATGATGAGGATGATGGGGAGGATGAGGATGATGAGGATGATGGGGAGGATGAGGATGATGAGGATGATGGGGAGGATGAGGATGATGAGGATGATGGGGATGATGAGGATGATGAGGATGATGAGGATGATGAGGATGATGAGGATGATGAGGATGATGAGGATGATGAGGATGATGAGGATGATGAGGATGATGAGGATGATGAGGATGATGAGGATGATGAGGATGATGAGGATGATGAGGATGATGAGGATGATGAGGATGATGAGGATGATGAGGATGATGAGGATGATGAGGATGATGAGGATGATGAGGATGATGAGGATGATGAGGATGATGAGGATGATGAGGATGATGAGGATGATGAGGATGATGAGGATGATGAGGATGATGAGGATGAGGGATGATGAGGATGATGGGGAGGATGAGGATGATGAGGATGATGGGGAGGATGAGGATGATGAGGATGATGGGGAGGATGAGGATGATGAGGACATGGGGAGGATGAGGATGATGAGGATGATGGGGAGGATGAGGATGATGAGGATGATGGGGAGGATGAGGATGATGAGGACATGGGGAGGATGAGGATGATGAGGATGATGAGGATGATGAGGATGATGAGGATGATGAGGATGATGAGGATGATGAGGATGATGAGGATGATGAGGATGATGAGGATGATGAGGATGATGAGGATGATGAGGATGATGAGGATGATGAGGATGATGAGGATGATGAGGATGATGAGGATGATGAGGATGATGAGGATGATGAGGATGATGAGGATGATGAGGATGATGAGGATGATGAGGATGATGAGGATGATGAGGATGATGAGGATGATGAGGATGATGAGGATGATGAGGATGATGAGGATGATGAGGATGATGAGGATGATGAGGATGATGAGGATGATGAGGATGATGAGGATGATGAGGATGATGAGGATGATGAGGATGATGAGGATGATGAGGATGATGAGGATGATGAGGATGATGAGGATGATGAGGATGATGAGGATGATGAGGATGATGAGGATGATGAGGATGATGAGGATGATGAGGATGATGAGGATGATGAGGATGATGGGGAGGATGGGGATGATGAGGATGATGGGGAGGATGAGGATGATGAGGATGATGAGGATGATGAGGATGATGAGGATGATGAGGATGATGGGGAGGATGGGGATGATGAGGATGATGAGGATGATGAGGATGATGGGAGGATGGGGATGATGAGGATGATGAGGATGATGAGGATGATGAGGATGATGAGGATGATGAGGATGATGAGGATGATGAGGATGATGAGGATGATGAGGATGATGAGGATGATGAGGATGATGAGGATGATGAGGACATGGGGAGGATGAGGATGATGAGGATGATGGGGAGGATGAGGATGATGAGGACATGGGGAGGATGAGGATGATGAGGATGATGGGGAGGATGAGGATGATGAGGACATGGGGAGGATGAGGATGATGAGGATGATGGGGAGGATGAGGATGATGAGGATGATGGGGAGGATGAGGATGATGAGGATGATGGGGATGATGAGGATGATGAGGATGATGAGGATGATGAGGATGATGGGGAGGATGGGGATGATGAGGATGATGGGGATGATGAGGATGATGAGGATGATGAGGATGATGAGGATGATGGGGAGGATGGGGATGATGAGGATGATGGGGAGGATGAGGATGATGAGGATGATGGGGAGGATGAGGATGATGAGGACATGGGGGGGATGAAGGGGCGGACTCATTGTTGTGTCTCGATGATGCATGCTTGGCGATAGAAGGAGCGCTGGTGCTGGTGAGTGTGGTGTTGTTAGCCCTTTCTTCTTTGCTCCAACAAATACCCCCTCCCCCCGCAACCCCTCGCCCTTATCTTCCTCCTGCAAAAAACCCTCTCTCTGTATGTCAACTTCATTCTCGCCCCTTCCAGATTGCAAGTGCATGCACACCATTAGAAACAGATCTCCCAATTATTCGTTTTCCCCACTTCCCCTCACTCCCTTCCTTCCCCCCCCTCCCCAACCCTCTTTCTTATTCTCTTTCTAACCCAGTCCGAGTGCCTTGATCGTCGGAGAGAGATCGCAACCATCCTCTTCACCTCTCACTTCGTTTCCAGATTCATCGTTGTAAGTCTCCTCTCATTCAACGTACTCCGTCCCATTCCATTCAATTCCATCCTTGCTTCAGCTATTAGACATGTATTGAATGGATAGTTTTTCTACTTCTCCTTGCTCCCTCCCTGCTTCTCCTAACGTTTCTTGTTCCCGCCCGTCCATTCCTGATTCTCTGGCCGTTTCCTCCTCTTCTTCCCATGCTGACAAACCCCCTCCCCCAGGACACCTGCTTGCACTGCCCAGAAACTGAGATCCGATTCAAATTTGCGGAGCTCTTTCTTCACATAAGGTACTGCGCAGGTCTGCATACACGGTAAGTATCTTCCTATTTCCAGTTCTTTTTTTTTTTTTTTTTTCCCTACCCTAATGTTCACCCCTACGAAATTGTCATCTATCTGTAGCTTTAGTCTCTCAGTCTTCCTGCTAGCACCATGCCAACGCACACACCTCATGTATGTTATCGTGCCATGTCCTCCTATGAAGTAATCAACGCCTTCCCCCCTCCTCTCTTGTCTTGTTTGCTCCCGTTCGCCCGCTCACCCGTCCTCCCAACAGCCTGGAGAAGTGGCCGCCTCTCCCCTCCTCCACCACACAGCCAGCAGCACCACGAGCCACACCAGCTGCCACAGCACTACCAGCAGCAGCAGCAGCAACAGCATCAGCAGCAGCAGCAACAGGCCAGGCTGGTGCCAGTCTCGGCCTCCTAGGCCCTCCCACGCGCCCCTTCACATCCATCCACTCCTGCATCTTCCACTCTCTCGTCTCTGCCCGCGCTGCTGCTGACAAGCAACCGAAACACAACAGACCAGTGAGTGGCTGACAGAGCGGTGCAGAACGGTGAGAAGGGAATAGTGGGGAGTGCATTGGTGAGATGAGCCTGGAAAAGGGATTTTCCACTGTCCAGTCCCTCTCATGTTCTGCTTAACATCCATCCACTCCTGCATCTTCCACTCTCTAGTCTCTGCCCATGTCGTTGCTGACAAGCATGTAAAACACAACATGCCAGTGAGTGCATGCAGAGTGGTGAGAAGCGGTGGAGAGGGACATTGGAGCAAGCAATGTTTTCACTTCACTTCCCGTTTCCCCTCTTCTCCCACGTTTTCCTCACTCTACCCTACCCTCCTCCCTTTCTTCCCCCCCCTCCAGTACTGGGAGCTGCTATGCAAGGTGGTGCAGGGGGTGTATCTTATTTGTCGTTCCCCTCTCCCTCTCTTCTCATCCATCACCCGCTCACCCCCCTCCTCCCTTTCTCCCCCTCCTCCAGTACTGGGAGCTGCTATGCAAGGTGGTGCAGGGGGTGTATCTTAGAGACGAGGAGGAAGCTGTCAGGAAGCTTCTGGACGAGGAAATTCGCTGGCTGCAGAACGTGACATGGGGAACGGACGGCAGGGAAGAGGTGAGGGGAGAGGAGGTGAGGGGAAGAGGATGTGAGGGGAGAGAATGTGGGGGGAGAGGATGTGAGGGGAGAGAATGTGGGGGAAGAGAATGTACCATTGTTTTGTTACACACATAATACGTTTTGAGATGTCTCAAAACCGTTGTTCTGTCACCTACATATTTGAAATATTACTTGTCTCAGGTGGGATGTCCATCTATTTCTCCCTCTCTCCTCACCTCCTTCTCTTTCTCACCTCCTCTCTCCTTTTCCCAGCTGCTAAAGGCCCATCTGCTGCTGCTCTAAGTGCTCGTGGAGGTGCTGGAGTGCTCTGTTCACTCTTAACAGAACTCATCTTTGTCCTTCTGGAGTTGCACCAGCAACAGAACTCACCTTAGTCCTGTTTTCTTGCCACACCCCAGCTCTTATAGGCCATCTGCTCAATCTTAACAGAACTCATTTTAGTCCTTTTGTTTTCTGTTGCCACACTACACCCCAGCTGTTGGAGGGTCATCTGCAGCTGCTCAAAGTGCTTGTTGAGGTGCTGGAGTGTCGTTCTGTCGTGGCCTGCTCTCCACCTCACGGCCATGGGCTGCTGCACCTGGTACGCTGTGTGGTGGGAAAGTGGGAGGAGGCGGAGAGGGATTTCAAGTTTTTTTAAGAAAGATGAGTCCACAGTTTCACTTGCCTCAAACGCCAGGGCTAAAGCAAGTTTCCATCAACAGAGTATGTTTCTGGTTCTTCTGACCATCAGGCATGTTGTGTTGTTTCATCAATTTGCTTTCTTTCACTCTTCCATTGTTGCGCCCCGTTTCTCGTTCCCGCTCCTTCCGCAGCTCATCACTCGCTGCCTCTTCCCTGAGTGGCCGGTGGTCGTTCCAAGCCACCAACAACAACAACATCACCACCAACGACAACAGCAACACCAACAGCAGCAGCCACCTGCCGAATCCTCCCCCCTAACTACCTGGGGCGTTCTCTCCTCTGATCCCCATGATGCTGCAGTTTTCCGCCCCCTCTGCGCCTCCTCACCCTCCCGCAATGCTGCCTTTAATCTCCTCCTCGCGCTCTGTGCCAAGGTGTGTGCATGCGTGCGTACATGCCTGCTGTGTGCGTGCGTGCGTGCGTGCGTGCGTGCGTGCATGCGTGCGTGCGTGTGTGCATGCGTGTGTGCGTGCGTGCATGTGCACGTGCGTGGATGTGTGCATGCGTGCGTGTGCACGTGCATGTGTGCGTGCGTGCGTGCGTGCGTGTGCACATGCTTGTGTGCGTGCGTGCGTGTGCACATGCGTGTGTGCGTACGTGCGTGCGTGCGTGCGTGCGTGCATGCGTGCGTGCGTGTGTGTGCGTGCGTGTGTACATACGAGTGTGTGTGCGTGCGTGCATGTGTGTGTGCGTGCGTGTGTATGTGTAGCTGTTAAAGTTGAAACTGTCTCTTATGCAACTCAAACGCCCCTTCCGCTCACCCGTCTCTCCTCCACACAGGCCCCAGAAGCCCTACGTGAGCTCCCGTCCCTGCTGCTGCCGCTGCACTTTGCTTCGGAGGAGCTTTAAGATGTGTTGCAAGAACCCCCCCTTTGCCTGTTATCCTTCCTCCCCCCTCTCTCTTGCACACAGACCCCTGAAGCCTTGAGGGAGCTTGCCTCGCTGCTGCTGCCGCTGCACTTCGCTTCGGTGGAGCACGAGTTGCCGTCGTGGGAGTACCTCCCTAGCTGTGCCCCCCGGCCGCGCGTGGGATACGCAGGCCTCAAGAACGCAGGTATGCCTTGCATGCATTGTGTCAAGTCAAGCAGACCTTGCTGCTGCTGCTGCTGTTGCTGCCGCTGCACTTCGCTTCGGTGGAGCACGAGTTGCCATCGTGGGAGTACCTCCCTAGCTGTGCCCCCCGGCCGCGCGTGGGATACGCAGGCCTCAAGAACGCAGGTATGCCTTGCATGCATTGTGTCAAGTCAAGCAGACCTTGCTGCTGCTGCTGCTGTTGCTGCCGCTGCACTTCGCTTCGGTGGAGCACGAGTTGCCATCGTGGGAGTACCTCCCTAGCTGCGCCCCCTGACCACGCGTGGGATATGCTGGGCTGAAGAATGCAGGTATGGCGTGCAAGACTAGCAGACTTTGCTACTTCTATCGAATTTCGCTGCACTTCGCCTCGGTGGAGCATGAGTTGCCGTCATGGGAGTACCTGCCCAGCTGTGCCCCGCGGCCACGGGTGGGATATGCGGGACTCAAGAACGCAGGCATGTAGCAAGAATGTGCGGCATGCAAGAATGCATGTTTGTCTTGCATGCATTCCGTCAAGACTAGCAGACCTTGCTGCTGCTTTCAATTTCCAATGCACTCTGCCTCGTGGGAGTACCTCCCCACTGTGCTCCTAGGCCAGGGGGCAGGCTATTCTGGGCTAAAGAATGCAGATATGGTGCAAAAATGCATGTGCTCGTCTTTTCAACTGCCCATCTTCCTTCATCACTACCTTCATCGCGTCCTCAACTCATTCCTGTTTTTCCCAGGAACCACATCGAACTACATGACCAACGTGTTTCAGCAGCCTCCTCTTTTTTTTCCCCATTCGAACTTGCATGTTCTGTACCCCTCTGTCTCCCCCCTCAGGAGCCACGTGCTACATGAACAGTGTGTTTCAGCAGCTTTTCATGCAGCCTCAAGTGCGTCGCGCCCTCCTCGCATTCCCAGAGACGCCCGAGTCGGATCGACCACTGTCCGTGATCTACCAAGTGCAGGTAATGCATGGGATGGATGGGACTTATGCGTTACACTGGGGCAGGCTGTTGAGTGTGTCGTGGACCAGGGGGCGCGCGTGGGGGGAGAGAGAAGTTTGAGTGCTTCTCTTGCAGCGGTTTCTTCCAGGAGGCGTCGGTGGGTAGACCTTCTGGAGGAAACCGCTGCAATGGGTAGACAGAAACCCATTCTCCTTGATGTAATCAGTCTTCCAGTGATTTTCGAGGATTCTGATGCTGAAGGCGAAATGCTAGCTTACAAAGATGAAGAGGCTTGACAGTCAGGTTTTGATTCTGCACAGCTTCCGCACCAAGCTTGTTGAGTTCCAAATCAAGACTGTTTTGTTCCAGACAAAGTACGACTTTGTCTGGAATTCGACGGCCTTGGTCTAGAACTCAACAGGCTTGGTGCGAATGCTGTGCGGAATCGTACCCCGATTGTCGAGCTCCTTCATATTTTTCAGCTTTCTTTTTCACCTTCACCAACGTGTCGTGGAGGCCATGTGTTCTTAAAGTGTCAATTGCCCTCACTCAAAGTGGCCCTTTTAAACCTCTGTTTCACTCTCCTACAAGCAACAGTTGTCAGCTGTCTTCTAAAAGCATGTGCGGAGCTGCTTGCTTTGTGAAAGCAGCTCATTTGTCTGTGTGTGCTTGCTATAAGGGTTGAAGTTTGTTAAGGCAAGTGAGTTTGGGGGCTGTGTTTCGGTTTAAACAACGATAATCAGTCAGGGACCTGTGGGAGCACCGAGATGTGTTTGAGTCCTTCAATTAACCCAGCTTCACTGACCTCCCTTCCCTTTCTCCATGCCCGCCCCTCTTCTCTTCTTTTCTCACATTCTCCTTGCCTTCCGTTCTCCTCTTCTCTCGTTCTCCTCTTCTCCCCTCCATCCTTGCAGGCCATCTTCAGCTATCTGCTAGCCGGTTGTCCCGACTACTTCGTGCCAGAGGGCTTCTGGGATGCCTTCAGGGACTACGATGGGCAGCTGGTGAACCTGAGGGAGCACCAAGACGCGTTTGAGCTCTTCAACCCAGCTTCACTTACCTCCTTTCCCTTACCCTGCCTCGCCCCTCTTATCCTCCTCTCCCCTTATATCTCCTTTTCTCGTCTCTTCTCCACAACAGACCATCTTCAGCTATCTACTAGCAGGCTGTGCCGATTTTTTCGTGCCAGAGGGCTTCTGGGATGCCTTCAGGGACTACGATGGGCAGCCGGTGAACCTGAGGGAGCACCAGGACGCGTTTGAGTTCTTCAACCGTCTTTACGACTCGCTGGATGAGAGCATGAAGGCACAGCGGCACTCTCCTACCCTTACGTCCATATTTGGGGGTGCATTCGCCCAGCAGGTGAGCGGTGTGGTGCGGTGTGATGTGGTGTGGTGGTATTCTGACATTCGAGTACGATATGGCCAGTGTGAATTCTTCAACCGCCTGTACGACTCACTGAATGGCATGAAGGCACACCGGCACTCTCCCACGCTCACTTCTATCTTCGGAGGGGCCTTTGCTCAACAGGTGCGTGTGTGTGTGAGGATAGTGAAAGGAGCATGCGTGTCTTTCGCACGGGTGTGGTGTGGTGGCTGGTTTGGGTTTCAGTTTTCAACTGCCTCTACGATTCGCTGGATGAGAGCTTGAAGGTGCAGCACCTCTCCACCGCGCACGCTGTCTTCGATTTTTGGTGGACAGCAGCTGTGTGTGATCATGGTTCCTATTTTGAGACGTCTCAAAGTACGCACGCTGACTTCGTTTTTTGGTGGACAGAAGGTGTGTGTGATGGTAGTTCCTGCGGCATGCTTATAGTATGTATGTGTTGGGACGCGTTTGAGTTCTCCAACCGCCTCTACGTCTCGCTGGATGAGTACGTCTCGCTGGATGAGTACGTCTCGCTGGATGAGTACGTCTCCCTGGATGAGTACGTCTCTCCAACAGCCAGGCATAAAGGTGCAGCGGCACTCCGCTATGCTCACCTCCATATGCTGGTGCGTTCGCCTTCGCAGGTGAGCGATGTGGTGTGGTGCGGTGTGGTGCGGTGATGCGCTCCCACTTCTCTACTACTGCTCCCGCCCATACTTCCCCTTTCTCCCCCACCCCCACTGCCCCCCTGCTGCAGATCATCTGTCGCGGTTGCCCCCATCGCAGTGAGAGGGAGGAGCCATTCGCAGCAGTGAGTGTGGACGTGAAGGGAAAGCGCGGCCTGCAGGAGTCGCTAGAGGCGTTTGTGCAAGGCGACCTGTTGGAGGCAGATAATGCCTACTTCTGTGGGCAGTGCGGCAAGAAGGTGAGACGCAGGGGTTGCAGTGGTTTTGGTGGCAGCAGTGGTGGTGGTGAGTCAAAGAGTGCAGTGTGGCTATGTGCCTCTGTGCTGCTGCTGCTTGGCAAAGGGGGCGTGCAGGAGTCACTGGAGGCGTTTGTGCAAGGCGACCTGCTGGAGGCAGACAACGCATACTTCTGTGGGCAGTGCGGCAAGAAGGTGAGAAACAGCAGAGGGTAGGTGGTGGTGAGTGCAATGGGTTTGTGAGTTAACCCAGAAGGCATCACAGCACGCCACATTGCCTGTGTGCTGCTGGGCAAGAGGGGCCTGCAGGAGTCGCTAGAGGCGTTGTGCAAGGCGACCTGCTGGAGGCAGATGACCCTACTTCTGTGGCCAGTGTGGCAAGGGTGGGGTGTGGTTGTGGCAGTGGTTCTGAGGCATAGAACAAGCATAATGGCACCCTGCTCAACCAATATTCTTGTTCAAGGCCAACTCGTTGCTGTTGTGACTTTTGAGGCACCTCAAAAGTCTTTTGAGGCACCTTAAAAGTTGTGCAAGGCGACCTGCTGGAGGCAGATAACGCCTACTTCTGCGGGCAGTGTGGCAAGAAGGTGAGTGTCAGGAGGGGGTAGGGCGGTGGGTGGCGTTAAGCTGAGCGGCACAATGCCTGGCTGCTCTGTGCCTGAGTGCTGCTGCGGGGCAAGGGGACCTGCTGGAGGCTGATAACGCCTACTTCTGTGGGCAGTTTGTGGGGGGCAGTTTCTGCTCTTTCTTTGAGAATTCTTGACCACGCTCACCTTCTTTCCCCCTCGTTTTGACCATACTGCTTGCAGGTGGACGCGTTGAAGCGCGCTTGCATCAAGACCCTGCCCCCCACCCTGATAATCCACCTGAAGCGCTTCGACTTTGACTACGAGACAATACAGTGGCTGAAGCTGAAGGCGGACCTCTGCTCTCTGCCCTTGCCCCTTACTCCACCACCCTCCAACACCTCCGTTGCCCCCACTTCCTTCTCCCTTGCAGGTGGATGCATTGAAGCGAGCGTGCATCAAGACCCTGCCGTCTACCCTGATAATCCACCTGAAGCGATTCGACTTTGACTACGAGACGATGCAGCGGCTGAAGCTCAAGGACCGATTCACCTTCCCCCTCTCTCTCAACATGCGGCCTTTCACCCGCGAGGGGCTCGCTCAGAAGGAGAGAGAGCAGACAAGGGGGCGGGTAGGGAGTGCGGAGAGTAGGGAGGAAGGGAGGGCGGAGGGAGGAGAGAGTGGGCAGGGGGAGGAAGGGGGGAAGGGGGAGGAGAGGGCGCAGGGGAGGGGGGAGGAGGAGGGTAAAGGAGGAATGGGAGTCGGAAGTGTAGGAGATGTGGCGGAGAAGGGAGGTGAAGGTGGAGAAGAGAGGAGTGATGGGTACTATGAGTACAGCTTGGTGGGGGTTGTGGTGCATTCAGGGACGGCGTTTGCAGGGCATTACTACTCGTACATCAAGGAGAGGAGCGGGGACTTTCCGCTGCATCACGGCCGTCCATCTCAATCCATGCAGTCAAAGTGAGTCAAGTGGAGGGGCAGCGGGTGAGACAAAGTCAGAGGGTTTCAAGGGGATGTGTGGGTTGGCAAAAGCGACGAAACGAGTCAAACGAAATCAACGGGAGCGACGGCATCCGAAGGTATGGCAACCCATGCATGCATGTGTGAAGATATAAACTCACTCTCACCCCGCTGTTGTGTGCACCCACGGGCAGCGGTGGCTGTGCTTCGATGACAAGCAAGTGGAGGCATGCCACGGGAGGGAGCTAGAGAATACCGTGGCTTATGCGTTGCCAAGCTTTTACACTAATGCATGCTCGTGAACGCATCATGTCACCCCTCTGCATGCGTGCAGGCAGCGGTGGCTGTGATATGACTACAAGTGGATGGAGGCGTATGACGTGAGAGAGAGAGCTGGAGGACTGCTTGGGAGTTGACTGAACTTGCACATATGTGCATGACCATGTGCGTGCATGTATCCTGCGCCACAATTCACGATTCACGTCCCCCTCCTCCTCTTCTCTGTATGCGTGCAGGCAGCGGTGGCTGTGCTTCGATGACAAGTGGGTGGAATGGAGGCGTATGACGTGAGGGAGGTGGCGAAGGACTGCATTGGAGTCAACTGAACTTGCAGTTTTTGCTTGTATTCACGAATCCCATCTCCCTTTCCCCTGTGTGCATGCAGGCAACGGTGGTTGTGCTTTGACGACAAGCGAGTGGAGGCGTACGATGTGAGGGAGCTGGAGAAGGACTGCTTTGGAGGGAAATACTCCGCTGAGGTGTATGACAACCTCATCAAGACCTCGTCACCACAGGTGAGTCAATACCTGTCGTTGCTTCGGAGGGAGGGAAGTACCCCGCTGAGGTGTATGACAACCTTATTGAGACCACGTCGCCACAGGTGAGTGTAACCAAAAAGAGCACAGTTGATGTTCACGATTCTCCACCATTGAGGGGAAGTTTTCCGCTGAGGTGTATGACACGACAGCCTCATCAAAACAACTTCGCCTCAGGTCAATAATTATCTTCACCTTCACGTGCGTGCAAGGGAAGGAAAGTCGCCACAGGCTAGTGAAAGCGTATGCTGAGTCTTGCCATGCCATGCACCTCGTTTCCTTTTTGGGCTCGTTTGACACCCCCCCCAACAGCACCTGCATGCCCCCTTTTACCGAAAGAAGTTCCCACTGCTGCTGCTGCAGTGGGTACGTACACTCTCTCTTCTCTCTTGTGAATGTGTGCCATGCCGCCCCACGAGTCACGACTGCCTGTTTTCTCCCTCACAGGAGTTTGATCGCCCCAACAGTGCGTACATGCTCTTCTACGAGCGAAACATCCTTACTGCCTCTGTGCATACATTGTTTTTCTATTCCCATTTCCTCCCCCTCACAGGAGTTTGATCGCCCCAACAGTGCATACATGCTCTTCTACGAGCGAAATGCCCCCACCACTGCTGCTGGCGCCACCGCCACCAGTGCTGCCCCTGTGGCCGCCGATACCCCTGCCACCACCACTGCCACCAGTGGTGCTGCCAATACAGCTGCAACTGCAGAAGGGCTTAGGGCAACAGCAGAGGCGCCAGCAGCTGAAGCCGCAGCAGAGACAGCAGCAGGCGCCCCTCCCACCACAACCACTGCCACCGCCATTGCCCCATGCACAGCAGCAGAGGAGAGGGCGGATGGAGCAGTAGAGCCTTACAGCCTCCCCCCCAGCATACACCACTGCGTGTGGCAAGACAACCTCAGGTAGGAGGCGACGGGATTACGTAGGTCAAAAGCAGGATGGCTGCTGCCGACCCACATCCACATGTACTTGGACTCCCATGTGTCTTTCAGTCGACTGAAACAAACCACATTCGTCTCTTGCTACCTTTCCCTCCTCTGTGCATCCGTCTGTGTGCATGGCAGGTGCCAGCAGGAGTCACGGCTATTCGTTGGATCAGGCATGAGAGACCTTGAAACAAGCATTCTCGTCCCTTCCCACCGTCGCCCTTCCTCTGTCGATCCATTGAGCAGGTTTCAGCAGGAGTCGCGGCTGTTGGATCAAACCTACTTCCGCTTCCTGCTGCAGCTCGCACGGGTCAACCTCGACGTCTTCCAAATGTCAGTCCGCCCGGCCTCCCTTCCTTTCGCCGTCCCATCTCATTTTTATCATCGTCTGTCGCAAGAAAGACGATGTTCGAGGCACCCGAAGAGTAATTGGTGCCTCGCAATCACCACTGAGAAGTCGTTTTGCAACATGCCATGAGACATGCATGTGTCTTCCACATCCTGCCTTGTCAGAGCCTGCTTCCTCCATACAACCCTTCCCCTTACCAGGTGCCATGATCGAGGCAAGATGGCTGCGTTATCAGACGCAAGGGCGGGCGGGGTGAAGGCATCACCACAGCGCAGCGAAGCACTGCGGGTGGAGCGAGCAGCAGAGGAGATTTGCCAGGGAGCGGTGGGCTTTAACTGGTCTCACTCAGAGGCTATCTCTTACCACTCACACCTGCCTTCCCGCTAATACCAGGTGCCACGATCGAGGGAAAATGGCAGCCCTATCAGATGCGAGGGCAGGCGGGGTGAAGGCATCACCACAGCGCAGCGAAGCGCTGAGGGTGGAGCGAGCAGCAGAGGAGATTTGCCAGGGAGAGGTGGGCTTTAACTGTTCTCACTCACAGGCTATCTCTTACCACTCACACCTGCCTTCCCGCAACCACCAGGTGCCATGATCGAGGGAAAATGGCAGCTCTATCAGATGCGAGGGCAGGCGGGGTGAAGGCATCACCACAACGCAGCGAAGCTCTGCGGGTGGAGCGAGCAGCAGAGGAGACTGCAGAGGCGCTGCTGTCGCTGTTGCTGCCGTTCCTCTTCCGCGTCTACCTGCGAGCGCATGCCAGCCTCAGGACAGACGATCCTCCCTGGGCGGTAAGAGACCAATGTGGGGCGGAATAAAAGGGAAGTTAGTTGTTCTTCCTGCTGCTGCCGTTCCTCTTCCGCATCTACTTGTGAGCGCATGCCAGCCTAAGGACAGACGATCCTCTCTGGACGGTAAGGGGGTGATCGTGAGGGTCAGGATAGAAAAGAGGCCCCTTTCATCTGCTGCTGCTGCCACTTCTGCTGCCATTCCGCTTCCATATCTACTCCCTAGCGCATTCTCCCCTCGCACATTCTTCTCATTCCATTGCAATGCCCCACAGGACGTGCTATCTTGTATGCTCGACGGCAACAGCACGGCCTGCCGCCTCTTCAATGCGCGCATGGCGGGCAACATTTCTGATGTGTGTTGTGCTGTGTTGGCTCAAGTCAAACCACTGCACACGATGACAGGCAACAATCCCCCTCTCACCCCCTCTTCTTCCTTCCATCCATCCTAATTCCATCCACCACAGAACGTGCTGTCTCGCATGCTCGACGCCAACAGCACAGCCTGTCGCCTCTTCAACACGCGCATGGTGGGCAACACTCCTGATGTGATGCCATACCATGTTGGCTCAACACACTTCTCTCCCTTCCCACTTCCCCCTATTCCCCATTCCTTCATACTACAGAGTGTGCTATCGCGCATGCTCGACGCCAACAGCACGGCCTGCCGCCTCTTCAATGCGCGCATGGCGGGCAACAGGCGGTGGCTCTTGCACTTCCTCCTCAAATGCCCCATCAACGCCCTCTCCGTGGTATGTGCACTCCACATCCTTTGTTTTCCCTTGGGTCAATGCACAATCTGCCTTTCCCATCTCAGGGTAGCATTGTCAGCGAAATCTGTTAATAACCAGCTGTCACATCACATCGCTTCCAGAACCTGTTTAAATGCAACCCCACCCCTCTCTCCACCTCTCCCGTGCCTCCTTCGTTCTTCCTTTCCACCAGGCCGTAGCAGACCTGATGGCTACCAGATGCCACATCATTTGCACCAACTTAAGCACCTCTCCCAACCCAACCTCGCACCTCCCCTTGCCCTCCCTCCCTCCCCCTACTTCCTCCCATCTGTAGCAGACCTGATGGCTACCAGATGCCACATCATTTGCGGCAACTTAAGCACCTCTCCCAACCTCGCACCTCCCCTTGCCCTCCCTCCCCCTACTTCCTCCTAGCTGTAGCGGACCTGCCATTAACCGCCTGCTACAGCACTTTTGAGTCGACTCAAAAGTCTCCCAGCTGTAGCGGACCTGCCATTAACCGCCTGCTACAGCACTTTGGGATGTGTCGCTGCTCCTTTCCCCACCTGTTTCCACCTTTCCTCCTTTTTTTCCCTTCCCCCCCCTCCCCCCCCCCCCCCCCCCCCCCCCCCCGTCTTCTCCCCCCACTTTCCTACTTTTCCACCAGGCTGTAGCGGATCTGCTGGTAACCAGCTTACACAGTGCCGCGTGCTTCCTCAACGTACATTCGCTAGCGCCCGCTGCTGCAGTTCCTGCTGCTGCTGCAATTGGCGGGGCTCTTGAAGGTTCAGCAGGGGATGCTGGGGCATTGGGGGAGGATGCATTGAATGTGGACTCGTTGATTGACTCGCTGGTGTCGTTGCTGAGAGACGCCAGTGGCCCCTCCTGCCACGTGGACAATGTGAGTGAGCCTACTCTTCGGAGTTCTTAATGGGAAGATGCATTGAATGTGGACGCGTTGATTGATTCGCTGGTGTCGCTGCTGAGAGACGCCAGTGGCCCCTCCTGCCACGTGGAAAATGTGAGTGACCTGTTGGCTGGCATTGCTACTTACCTGATTACTTCTAATTACCCGAAATACTTCTGATTGGTTAACCAAATTCTGGGTGGCACTGGTTACGCATTCCTTCCAGGCAGAAGTTGTTGCTTTGGAGGCGTTTCCAAAACGGTTACGCTATACTAAGCGAAACTGCTATACTGCTTGTTGTGAGTACCCAATCTATGAAGGTCTTCCTTCAAATCTTTCCTTCTGCTCCCCTCTCCCCTTCGCACCCCTCCCGGAGCTGTGCATCATCTTTGTTAGATATGCCCGCATCGGCCTCTCTTTGAGTCCTCATAAAAATGTTTCACTCCTTCCATCCCCTCCCCTTCCCTCCCCCCAGCTCTGCAGCATATTGGTGGAGTATGCACGCATTGGCCCCACCTCATCCAGCAGCATCCATCCAGCCCTTCACCTCCCTGCCTTGTGCTTCACATTTCTCCCTCCCCTCCCTTCTCTCCTCTTCCTCTTCCCTCCCCCCAGCTCTGCAGCATACTTGTGGAGTATGCACGCACCCCGTCATCCAACCCTTGACCTTCCTGCTTGTGCATGACTTTTGAAAATTCTTTTGAAAATTACTTTTGAGAATTACTTTGAGAATTCTCAGAAGTATACATGCATCGGCCCCACGCAGTTCCTCCCACTCATCCAACCCTTGACCTTCCTGCTTGTGCCTGACTCTGCTCTCCTCCCACTCCCCCTTCCCTCCGCCCCTCAGCTCTGCAGCATATTGGTGGAGTATGCACGCATCGGCCCCACACAGCGCCTCTCCCTCATCCGCAGACAACTGCCCGCCACCTGTGTACGTTCTGTGCGGTGCTGTGAGGTGCTGTGAGGTGCTGTGAGGTGCTGTGAGGTGCTGTGAGGTGCTGTGAGGTGCTTCGAGTGCTGTGAGTGCTGAGAAGGCGTGTACCTTACACTGCCCACCACCTATGTACGAGTGCATGTGCCTTAAGTGCTGGGATTGCTGTGAATGCTTTCAGTGCTGTGACTGATGAGTGCTTTGGATGCTGTGATGCTGTGAGTGTCCCCAGTCTCTTGACTCGACTCATAATTGCCTCCATTCCCCCCATTTTCCCCGTCTACAGCTGGACTATCTAGACCGAGTGGGGATCGCAGCAGCAAGGTGACATCTGAGTCAACTCAAGAGTCACTCCCTCCCCCACCCCCCTTCCCTCTTACCCGTCCACAGCTGAACTATCTAGACCGAGTGGGAATCGTAGCAGCAAGGTGACACTTGAGTCGACTGATAAGTCACACCCACCCCCCTTCCCCTCTTCCCCGTTTGCAGCTGGACTATCTGGATCGAGTGGGAATCACAGCAGCAGCCAAGCTGCATCTCTCGCCCCTCCACTCCCTCCTCTCCATCCTCATCCGCTCCTGCTACCCCCGCCCTCCCCCCTCTCGCCGCCCCACCCCCGCTTCCACCCCTGCATCAGCGGGGGATGTGGGGGGGGATGATGAGGGGGAAGGAGAAAGGGACGAGGGGGGAGGGGAAGGAAGGGCGCATGGAAGGGGGAGAAGGAAGGGGGAAAAAAAGGCGCATGTGAGGGAGGAGAAGGGCAAGGGGAAGGCAGGGCAAGGAGGGGGAGAGAGGCGGAAGGGGCATGGTGGGGCTTCCGCAGGGGCAGCAGGGGCGGCAGGGGCAGTGGGGAAGGCGGAAGAGGAGGGAGGGGAGGAGGAGGACGCTGGGTTGCAAAATCCGGCGTTTTTTGGCCGCCCGGTTGCCATGTTGCCGCCCCGTGTCGCTCAGCTTGCATCAGACCCTGACTATGTCAATCTGCTGGTAATTGTTTCCTGTATATGCTGAGTCCTGAGGTGCCTCTTGAAATGAGGCGAGTTGTAGGCACCTCAAACCTCAGCTTGCATCTTCTGGTTGGTATTTTCTGTCTGTGCTGTGTGGGATGACTTGTGAGTCGACTCAAAACTCAACTTGCATCAGACCCTGATTTTGTCAATCTGCTGGTTAGTATTTTCTGTCTGTTCTGGTGTGGGATGGTCGTAAGGTAACCTTGCCATTTTGCTGGTATCTATGCCCTGTATATGCTGCTGTGGAATGTTGGTGTGGTAACCATGTCAAGTTGCCGGTAACGTGTTGAATACTCTGTGTGCTAGTGTGGGATGGACGGAGGGAGGGAAATACTCTGTTGCGCAATTTTCTGATTTTTCGAGTATCTGCTTTGCTGGTAACCTCCTGTCTCCCATTTCCCCTTTCCTCTTCCCACTCCCCTTTCCTCGCCCACTCCCCTTCCCTCCCCCGCCAGGTCACATCCAATCTAGACAACCACGACGTCATTCTCTCTTCCTCTACATCTTTTTGACAATCCACTCCCATCTCCGTTTCCTCTTACCACTCCCCTCACCCACCCCCCTCACCCACTTCCCTTCTTACCCCCCCTCCTCTCCCCCCTCCCCCTCATCTCAGATCACGTCCAATCTAGACAACCAGGACACCATCTCTCTCCTCCTCTACATCTCCTTTGCTTCTGTCTCCCATTCCCAATTTCATCTTCCCACTCCCCTCACCCACTCCATTTCACCCTCCCCCCTTCTCCCTCACCCTTCACTCCAGATCACATCCAATCTAGACAACCAGGACACCATCTCTCTCCTCCTTTTCATCTCCTATGGCAACGAGAGCGAAAGCATTGTATGTCTCTCCGACTGTCCTTCCGTTCCTGTTAGCTTATGCAATGCCACTGATTTTGCTGCAGTATGCAGCTGTCTCCTTGTAGCATTGCTCCCAACCCTCACCCGCACCACCATTTGCCTCACTGCTTTTTCCATCACTGCATTTTCCCGCCCCCCCCTCTTTCCACGTGCCTGTCTGTGGTTTGAAAACACATGCTACATGAGGTCATGCTACAAGAGGTCATGCTACATGAGGTCATGCTACATGAGGTCATGCTACATGAGGTCATGCTGCATGAGGTCATGCTACATGAGGTCATGCATTCTCTGTAGCGTGCTGCTTTCACGTCCTCATTGTTCGCAAGCCCTTTTCTCTATCGCCCTGTCGCCCCCTCCCCCCCTCCTCTAACCATTCCCTTCTGTTGATCCATAGACTGTTCTCTGTGAGGCCATGAGCTCTCTGCAGTGTGCTGCTGTTACATCATCCCATTGTTCTCAAGCGTCACCCTCTTCTGTCCTACTCTCCTGTCCCCCGACCATGCCTGCAACTGTGCCTGTCTCTCGTTCCATAGACTGTGCTACGGGAGGCCATGAGCTCGCTGCAACGAGCAGCAGTCACGTCGTCCCGTCGCATTCTCTCACTGCTGCTGCACCTGCTGAAGCTCCCAGATGCCCTTCAGGAGGTATGCAATGCACACACTCAGACACAAAGAGTCACATGCACACACACCCGCGCGCCTCCACACACATATACTCAAACCCCTGTTCGTTCCACAAACGTATCTCTCACACACCGAGTCTACGGGCACAGCACCTCCTGTCCCATGCATGTCTCACACTCTTTCTGCATCTGTCTGCGCATGTGTCCCCACAGGCGTTGCATGGTAGGAGTCGGTCTTGAGCAGCTGCCAGTTCTTCCACCCAGCCGTTCCTGTCCCACACATCTGTTGCATCTGTCTCTGCATGTGTTGTTGCTCATGTGTGCCCCCACAGGCACGCCAGGAGTCAGTGGTGAATGGCTGTCAGTTCTTCCGCCCAGGCGTCTTCGACCTCCTTCTTGCCAAGGTAACTCTCTCTCGCCCCTTGCCTCCAGATTGGCTACTCTGCATTTTTGAGTCGACTCAAATACGTCATCTTGGCTGGCACCACGTGTCCCCTCAGAAGCGCTACACGCTCCTCAAGTTCCTGCTGGCACCAGTGGCCTTCAGCACCATGTCATGTCCCACCCCTAGCCCCCAACCCGTTCCCTCCTATCCACCACTCTGGCCATCCCCTTCGTCCCCCCTCACCCCACCAGCAAGTGTCCCCTTTAAAACGCTACGCCCTGCTCAAGTTCCTGCTGGCAACAGCGGCCTTCAGCACCATGTCATGTCCCACTTCTAGCCATCAACCCTTTCCCTCCTATCCACCTCTCTGCCGATCTTCTTCATCCCCCCCTCCCCACACCAGCAAGTGTCCCCCCTAAAGCGCTACGCGCTCCTGAAATTCCTCCTGGGCAACAGCAGCCTTCAGCACCATGTCGCGGCGCCACATCGCGGTGCAGAGAGCGGGCCTGAGCGCCGTGCTGCAGTGGCTGCAGGAGGAGACAGCCTTCCCCTTGACCTACCTCCCACAAACCCTCTCTCTCATCCTGTCTCCCCTCTTTTCAACCCCTCTTTTTCCTCCCAAATCCCCACCCTTTGGCCCCCCTCCCCTCCACCTCCCCCCACCAGCAAGTATCCCCTCTAAAACGATATGCGCTGCTGAAATTCCTCCTGGCAACAGCAGCCTTCAGCACCATGTCACGGCGCCACATCGCGGTGAGGCGGGCAGACCTGAGCGCCGTGCTGCAGTGGCTGCAGGAGGAGACTGCCAACGCGCCCGGGCACGATCTGTCCAATGAGGAGCTGCCATCTGGCACGCTGCGCCGCACTGCCACGGTGGATTCGACCATTGCCACGGGGCTGAGTCTCATCAGCCTGCCGCACGAGCCCAACGCATGAAGTCAGGTGCTGGTAACGTGGTAACAGCGTGGGGTGTGGCATGTACTGTGCCGCATTGCCACTGTTGACTCGACTTTTTCCACGAGACTCATCAGCCTGTTGCTACTGTGCACTCCATTGCTGTCGGCTGAGTCTGTCGCATCAGCCTGCCGCAACGAGCCGACCGCCTGAAGTGAGCTGCTGGTAACGGAGTAATGTAACACCATGGCACCATGGTGACTGGTAACCTGGTGGTTTGGTAACGGGCTGCTGGTTGCAACTGAAGTGAGCTGCTGGTTACAGCTGAGCTGCACTGCTGTGCAAAAGCGAGCTTGTGGCACTGCTTGTCTGCACATTTGCATGAAGCGGTGGTTTTTTTGGACCAGATTTTTGTGAGGTGATGCACTCATGTGTATGCTGGTATTTCAGTTTGGTGCTGTGTATAGCCCATGCGCTGTGGTGCATTGCAGCAGGCCTGATATGGCACCACAAGATGGTCCGAATGCTGATTCTGTATTCACTGTCCATATTGGTAGGCTGTTGCTGAAGCGAACTAGGTACTAGGTGTACCATCCAAGCATGCTTTGTAAAGTTCTGCATTTGTGGTTTTATTTCAGGTGTATGATGAGCAATGGTATCCCCATTCAGCTATCCTAGACAGTTCACCAAACAGTTCACTTTCAAAAAGGAAGCGTCCTTCAGCCTTCATTTGCAGCATGTGTCCTATTGTGATTAGGCAACGCTCGATTATGTAACTTTTCTGAAGGAATCGAAAAAAGGAATCGGGTTACGCCATGCTCAGCGTTCGCTCAGGTATAATTTCGTTCGCAGCACTCCGATTTCGCTTGAACGAACTCCCCACCAACCTCCCCACCACCCCTTCCTCACGTCCCGTCTTTTTTGCGGTTTGGACGAATTTCGATGGGTATTGTTGTTACACCCAAATAACGATATAATCCGGAACAAAGGCCCTCACAACACCGGCATCATCCAGGCTTGCTCGGCCCTAGCAGACCAACGAACCACAGAGATAGCGCGTAATCTCGACCGCCTCCCGCAAGTTACGTCACCGTAGTTACCACCAATTAGCAACATTGTTTGCCGTTGAAAGCCTGCAATTTCGAAGCGGTCATGAGAGTGGTTTCGCGCGACGCGCTTTTGCGACCGGCCACCAACCCCGCTCTCCCCCCACTCTCCCAGAAGCCTGTACTGAATCCGTCTCTATCGAATCCATCCTTGCAAGGCCCGTTATTCGTTCTCGCGTGCGTCGTCCTCGTCGTACTCTCCCTGCAACTCCTCTCGCCCCCTCGGGAGTATCCCAACGGTCATAATTATGGCGGCGCGGCTGGTAGCGGCGGCCCGTACGGCAGCAGCGGCGCGGTGCGCAACGTTCCGTCGCCGCCAGAAGATAAGGACTACAGGGCGTTTATAGCGGAGCAGCAGATGCTTGCGCATGCTAATAACGTGCACAAGGTGACTGCCACGTGGCGCTCTGCGCGTTTTGCTCTCCTTATCTTCCCTTTTTATAATCTTTCCAGCCCAATCTGCACATGCTGCACAGCCAACTGTCCGTTCTCGTGCCCTCCTGTCATCTGCTCTAGGCCCAGACCCACCATACCTTCCCACTCTTCCCGTTTCTCTCCTTCAGATGAACCTCCGCCGTCGCCTCGCACACCTCAAGGTGATGCAGCCCAATCTGGACATGCTGCAGAGCCAGCTGTCCGTGCTTGTGACACCTGTGCTCTTATCTCCCTACCACCATACCATTCCCAACCGTGCTTCACCACTCCGCTGCCCCGCTCATCCCATGTCTCGCCCTCAGATGAAACTACGCCGTCGCCTCTCACACCTCAAGGTGATGCAGCCCAATCTGGACATGCTGCAGAGCCAGCTCTCGGTGCTCGTGAAACCTGTGCTCTTATCTCCCTACCACCATACCATTCCCAACCGTGCTTCACCACTCCACTGCCCCGCTCATCCCACGTCTCGCCCGCAGATGAACCTCCGCCGTCGCCTGTCACACCTCAAGGTGATGCAGCCCAATCTGGACATGCGCAGAGCCAGCTGTGCTCGTCAACACCTGAGCTGAGCTCTAACCTTCCACCATACCATTACCAACCATGCTACACCACTCCCATTCCTTGCCCTCAGATGAACCTACGTCGTCGCCTCTCTCACCTCAAGGTGATGCAACCCCAGCTGGACATGCTGCAGAGCCAGCTGTCCATTCTCGTGCCCACCTTCCCCTGCCCCAAGGAGGAGCGCGTGGGCGTGTGGGCTGATGGTCGAAAGGTGAGGTGGGGGAGGCAGGGAGGGAGGGGGGGAAGAAGGGGAGTGTGGCCAGGTGGCAGAAGGCATGGGTCACAGGGGCTGGGCTGAGGCGTATTTGAATCTGAAGCTGTCTGTGCTCGTGCCCACCTTCCCCTGCCCCAAGGAGGAGCGCGTGGGTGTGTGGGCGGATGGCAGAAAGGTGAGTTGGAAAGTGCTGGGAGCGTGGGGAGTGGAGGAGGGAGAGCAGCAGCATGTCAGTGCAATGGGTCTCTTGCTGCAGTGCAGAGCAAGCCAGCTGTCCATTGTCGTGCCCACCTTCCCCTGCCCCAAGGAGGAACGCATGGGGGTGTGGGCGGACGGGCGAAAGGTGAGGAGGAAGTGACGGGTGTATGGTGAGTGGCAGAGTATAGCGCGTCACTGCAATTGGTCCCTTCCCATCGTCTCTTCACCTTTCCACCTTCTCTTACCGTCCCCATCCATTCATCTCCTCTCTTCCTGCCCCATCCATTCTTCTCTTCTCTTCCCGCCCCATCCATTCTTCTCTTCCCCCATCCTGCAGTGGCTATGCAACATGAAGACCTTTCTGCCAGATAATCCCGTAGTGTACAGGTGAGAAAGGGGTGTGCAGGTGTATAGCAAAGGGTATTGAGAACCCGTAGTGAGTAAGGGGTTTGCAGCGCACTTGTTTGACATACGTTGCCAACATCTTTCCTCCCCTCCCTCACTGCCTCCCTGCAAGCCCACTTTTTCTCTCCTTCCTCCCTCCCCCTCCCCTTCCCCGTCCCCCCCCCTTCCCAGCATAGGGTCAGGAGGCGAGTACTCATTTGAAAAGGACATGTTCTTCAAGTTCCCTCTCACGCGCCCGCTCACCTTAGTTGACTCACAAACCACTCTCCTCCACCCCCATCCCTACCTCCCAGCATAGGTTCGGGTGGGAAATATTTATTTGAAAAGGACATGTTCTTCAAGTTCCCTCTCACGCGCCCGCTCACCCTTTTTGAGTTGACTCACAAACCACTCCTCTCCATCCCCCTCCTCCTCTCAGCATAGGGTCAGGAGGCGAGTACTCATTTGAAAAGGACATGTTCTTCAAGTTCCCCCTCACGCGCCCACTCACCTTCGATCCATTCCTCGATCCCTCCCTCTCCTCCTCCATGCAAGCCCTCTCCTTCCTCCGCCTGCTCCCCATCGGCCTCGCGGGTGCCGGGGTGATCGAGAGAGCGAGGGTGGACCGACCGGGAGTGCAGTTTATGACTGTTGGGGAGGTCATGGCGGCGAATAATCACTCCTATGTGGATGTTTTGAAGGTGGATTGCGATGGGTGTGAGGAGGGGTTGGTGTATGATATTAAGCCGGGAAGGAGGGAGGGTGGGGGGGAAGGGGTGGGGGATGGGGTGGGGGTTGGGAGTGGAGGAGGGAGGGGAGAAGGGGGAGGAGGAGGGGAAGGGAGGGAGGAGGAGGTGTTGGAGGAGTTTAGCCGAGTGAAGCCGTTTGGAGACCCTGCGATTGGCCAGATATTGATTGACTTGCACCAGTGAGTGGGAGTGGGTGGGTGGGTGGGTGGTTGGGGGGATGGGTGGGTGGGGCAGGTAGGCAGGTGGGCACGGGTAAAGGTGGATATACATGACCGAAGCTCCTTGCTAGAATTGGGATGTTAGACCCTGCGATTGGTCACATACTCATTGACTTGCACCAGTGAGTGAGAGGGAGCGGGTGGGTGATGTGGATTGCCCGCGAGAGGATACTTCTAAGGGGTATAGACGGGTGCCTTGATCAATTTAACACTCAATCATCCGGTCTTAGGATAATCGTATGACTGTTATGTCGTTGCTTTCCAAACCCCCATATTTGAACCCTTCTCACCTCCCAGCGTCAACAACCCCGGCATCACCCTCCCCATGGTCTATCACCTGGAGAGCGTGGGCTACTTGCTGTACCACGTGGAGCTCATGTATCTGGAAATGGCCCTTACTTCCCCAGTCTTCATCCCTTACCCCATCAGTGTCAACAACCCCGGCATCACCCTGCCCATGGTGTACCACCTGGAGAGCGTGGGGTACCTGCTGTACCACGTGGAGCCCAACGCTCATGTCCGTGCCATGCAATCCCTGTGTTCTCTCCCCCCCATCTCCCAGTGTCAACAACCCCAGCATAACCCTGCCCATGGTCTATCACCTGGAGAGCGTGGGGTATCTGCTGTACCACGTGGAGCCCAACGCTCAGCACCCCGAATGCTGTATTGAGCTGGCCTTCATTCACCAGGCGCTGCTGCAGCCCTGGGGCACGTCAAAAAGTGATTTCCAACGATGGAAGAAAGCAAGGGGCAAGTGAAGCATTATCATAAGAGTTTATCTTAGCGAGTGGTAGTGGGTTATCTCCCAGCCAACGCCCAGCACCCCGACTGCTGCATTCAGCTGGCCTTCATTCACCAGGCGGTGCTGCAGCGCTGGGGCACGGACTATCAGATATAGAGAGAATCAAGGGGGATATGACATGCTTATTCATCTTTGGTACTACGTGCAAGGCATTTTATATGCACCTTATAGTCCTTGGGTCTTTATTAAGCCAAGCATACACTTCAGCCTTCACCCGCTAACACAGTTCATTGCTATCATTTAGCGGGTGGGGACTATTTGTTTATTCACTTTGTTGGTTACGCGTTGTAGGATTCGCATTCCCTGCTACAATCGAAGCGTGACCCCAAACGTCAGTCAGGCGGCATTTCTAAGGGGCTGTGCGTGCATGCTCATGAAGATTCACACACGAACAAGCTGGTTTCATCAGTCCGTAGCTCCGCCACCTCAATCCTGAATGCTGGCAGCCGGAACAGAAGCGGCCTGGGCTCGGAGAATTGACGACGGCCGTCCATTCCTCCGTGCGGCTGAGTCACAACATGCCACGTTGCTTCGCGTAGAAGCGTTTTGAGTCGACTGAGTTATTAGCGTAGCGTCTTTCGTCTTGCCATGAGCTTTAAAGCTCGATCGTCGCCGCGCGTAGGCTCGCGTTCGCCTCCTTCGACCTCCTCGCTCTCGCCTAAATCGCCGTCGACGATTAAAGCCGTCGTTGCTCGCGTCGCGTCATCCTCTCGTTATACTAGTAATCTCAGGATTGACGTCATGTGGTCATGGTGGAAGGACGTTCGGCTGCGCACCCTCGTTTTAGTCAACATCGCGGCGATTGTAGAGAGGGCGGACGAGGCGCTTCTTCCTGCCGTTTATAACGAGGTGTGCAGATTTTGCTACATGGATAGGAAAGCATTTCTCTAGATATCGACTCCATATTTGACTAAAAAATTGACTCAAAATCGACCGTCGACAAAACAAATCCGCGGACAATCATTTTCTTCTCCATTCGCCGCCTCCCGCTTCACGTGTGTTAGGCATTCCGCGCTCCTCTGCCATTTTTATTTCCCTCACTTCCCATTTTTCCCCTGCAAATTTTCCGGTCGCTCCCCCTTTTCCCTCCATCTCATTACCCTGCTTCCCTGGTCAGGTGGGGCAAGCCTTTCACGCATCCCCGCAGGCCTTGGGGACTCTCACACTCGTGCGCGCGCTCGTGCAGGTGCAGTTCTGGGTGGTGCAGTGGGGGGAATGGGGGAAAAAGGGAGGGGAGAGGAATGGTACTTCCCCCAAGCCGTGGGCACTCTCACGCTCGTGCGCGCGCTCGTGCAGGTGCAGTTCTGGGTGGTGTGGGGGGAATGGGGGGAATGGGGGGAAACGGAGGGACGAAGAGTGGCATGTGAGGTCCCCGCAATCCCTGGGCACTCTCACGCTCGTGCGCGCGCTCGTGCAGAGTGGGATGGGGGGAAAGGAGGAAGGGGGGGGAAGGGGGAAAGTGGGAAGGTGAAGGGTTGAGTAGACACGGTGGTGGGACAATCGTGGTGCGTTGGTGGCTAGGGCATGTTGGCATTTTATGGCAGGTTAAGGGACAGTATGGACCATGGCATGGCCAAGTAAGGCATGTCATAGTGGCTTGAATTTGCTGGCGTGACAAGACCGCACATTCCTTCTCTTCCCACCTCTCGCCCCCCAGGCCTGCACGTGCCGTTTGGCCCTCTGCCTAGCCCACTGGATGCCGCTAGTGCTTTAGACGACCTTACAACCCACGTATACCCCTCGTTCTCATCACTAGTGTCCCCCTACCTCTTCCTCAACCACCACCGCAGACAATCACGTGCCCTCTCGAGAGAGTGCCGCGAGTGAGTGCTTTGAGGCGCATCTTAACTTCCATACTCTCCCTTCCCAACATTCTGTGCCCTCCATATCTTGCCCTCCACTTTGTGACCCCTGCCAGGCCCTCACGTGCCCGCTCGCCCCATGGCTGGCGCATTGGATGGCTCGTGTGAGAGTTATTGCAGTGGGTGCGTTCACGTGGGCCATCGCCACTCTAGGGGTTGGCATTGCCACCAATTACTACGAGGTAAGGAGGAGTGAGAGGGTACTTAGAAGCGGTTTTAAGGTGAATAAGTGGGGTGACTTGTGCCATTAGCTTGCGTGCGAGTGAGAGTGATTGTAGTGGGTGCGTTCACATGGGCCATCGCCACTCTGGGCGTTAGCATTGCCAGCAACTGTAATGACGTAAGGAGGAGTGAAAGGGGTACATTGAAGCTGTTGAAAGGTGAATGTAGCATGCTTCAACAGAAAGCACTTGAATGTACTTTCGAAGACCCCTTTCAGCAGAAAGGTGAATGGGTGGTGGACTTGCGCTTTCTGCTTGCTTGCACTCGAATGAGAGTGAGTGATTGCAGTGGGTGGGCACGTTGCGTTGCAGTTCGTCACCAACTTTGGCAGCGCTGCCCACATGCAACATGCTCCACCGCCCTTCCCTCACCAACTCTCTCCTTCTCCTGCTTCCCCACCATCCCCCCCGTCTTCCCCAATCCGCAGGTGGCGGCATGGCGGGGTCTGAATGGAGTCGGCCTAGCTCTAGTCATTCCAGCCATCCAGTCCCTAGTCGCCGATTCAGCCAGCAACAGCACGCGCGGCATGGCGTTTGGCTGGCTGCAGTTTGTCACCAACTTTGGCAACATCCTCGGATTCACCCTCGGCATCTCCCTCTCTCCTTCCTCCAACTCCCCCCCACCCCCCCTCTCCCAGGTAGCATCCTGGAGAGGCCTGAACGGGGTGGGTCTAGCGTTGGTCATCCCAGCCATCCAATCGCTCGTCGCCGATTCAGCCAGCAACAGCACGCGCGGCATGGCGTTCTGCTGGCTGCAGTTTGTCTCGTCACCAACTTTGGGTTTGCTCTTCACTTATGAGACGCCCCAACCCCTGTCCCCTCCCCTCTGCAGGTGGCGGCATGGAGAGGCCTCAATGGAGTCGGGCTGGCTCTAGTCATCCCAGCCATCCAGTCACTAGTGGCCGATTCAGCCAGCAACAGCACAAGGGGCATGGCGTTCGGCTGGTTGCAGTTCGTCACCAACTTCGGCAACATCCTCGGATTCACCCTCGGCATCTCCCTCGCCTGCTACGCCTTCTTTGGCCTCGCTGGCTGGCGCATGGCCTTCATTATAGTCACGGTTGTCAGCTTGGGTCTTGCGGCCGTGCTTTGGTTGTTCGCACACGACCCGCCTCCCACCACAGTCAAGTGAGTGTTGAGTTGAATCTAAATCGAAATTCAAACATTCACCCTCGGCATCTCCCTCGCCTGCTACGCATTCTTTGGCCTTGCTCTCTCGCTCGTCCCCAACTCCCGCCTCTCTCCACCACCAGGTCAACTGATGCCTTCATTGGCGTGACTGATGATCTTGGCGCACAAGAGGGGCGCACGGCAGACCCATTGCAATCAACACCCTTACTCCACCCCTCCTTCGCCCTCCCTCCCTTCTCTCCCCGCCTCCCTCTCTCCCAATCTTGCCGCATTTCCCACTTCTCTCGATCAGGACAATAGATGTGTTGACCGGTCTAACTGACGATCCCGGGTCAGGAGTTAGATCTCGAGGCCTGAACGGGACTAAATCAGGCGCCCTACGTGTTTCCCAAAAGCCAACGAAACTAAATCACTCCCAAATCCCAACGGCCGCAGAAACCGATTTCGTTGTCTTTGAGTTAGATCGAGGGGCCTCTCGGGGAACGCTAGCTAACTCCTAGACAACGGATCTGGTTTCTTCGGCCCTTGGGATTTGTGAGTGGTTTGGTTTCGTTGGCTCTTGGGAAACACGTAGAGTGCTTGATCTGGTCCTGTTCAGGCCTCGTGATCTTGTGAGTCGACTCAAATGTGATGCTAGGGCTCTTTGCCTGCGGCCTGACGAGGTGTCTTGTGAGTCGACTCAAATGTCATGCTAGGGCTCTTTGCCTGCGGCCTGACGAGGTGTCTTGTGAGTCGACTCAAATGTCATGCTAGGGCTCTTTGCCTGCGGCCTGACGAGGTGTCTCGTGAGTCGACTCAAATGTCATGCTAGGGCTCTTTGCCTGCGGCCTGACGAGGTGTCTTGTTAGTCGACTCAAATGTCATGCTAGGGCTCTTTGCCTGCGGCCTGACGAGGTGTCTTGTGAGTCGACTCAAATGTCATGCTAGGGCTCTTTGCCTGCGGCCTGACGAGGTGTCTTGTGAGTCGACTCAAATGTCATGCTGGGGCTCTTTGCCTGCGGCCTTACGCCCTTGGTCAAGTAATTTTTCTGTGAAAGCCAACTAAAGAAGGAATTTCACCGCTTTTCCTGCGGCCTTGCTCCCATTTGTCCCATTTGTGTTGTTTCTCCCACCTCTCCCCGTCAGATCAATCGTCGCGTTGACTGCTCTGGCTGAATCCACCAACCACAGAGGAGCGCACTGCAGAGACGCTGCTATCAGCAACCTCACCCCTCTTTCCGCCACCCTTCCCACCCTTCCCACCCTTCCCACCCTTCCCACCCTTCCCACCCTTCCCACCCTTCCCACCCTTCCCACCCTTCCCACCCTTCCACCCTTCCCACCCTTCCCACCCTTCCCACCCTTCCCACCCTTCCCACCCTTCCCACCCTTCCCACCCTTCCCACCCTTCCCACCCTTCCCACCCTTCCCACCCTTCCCACCCTTCCCACCCTTCCCACCCTTCCCACCCTTCCCACCCTTCCCACCCTTCCCACCCTTCCCACCCTTCCCACCCTTCCCACCCTTCCCACCCTTCCCACCCTTCCCACCCTTCCCACCCTTCCCACCCTTCCCACCCTTCCCACCCTTCCCACCCTTCCCACCCTTCCCACCCTTCCCACCCTTCCCACCCTTCCCACCCTTCCCCCCCACTGTCCCCCTTCTTGTCTCCTCTCCCGCCTCTTTCCATCATATCAGACAGCGCGACCCCCCGCCCCTCCCCCCCGCCCCCCGCCACACACACACACACAGAGGAGAAGCGTGTTGAAGAGTCACTGCTGTCAGGATCCCCACCCTACCCTTCCTTCCACCCCCTTCCATCCCTTCCTCCCCCCTGTCCCCTTCTCGCCCGTCTCTCCCACCTCCCTCTGTCAGGTCAATAGACGCCTTGACCGGTCTGATTGACGACTCTGGGGCACAAGAGGAGCGCACTGTAGAGCCACTGCTATCTGAAGACCATGGCCTAGACTTGAAGCAGCAGCAGCAGCCCCACCACCTCTATCAGCAGCAGCAACACCAGCAGCAGCAGCAGCAGCAGCAGCAGTCTCAAGCCAACGAATCAACCCCACTCCAACCCACTTCCTCCCACCACCGTCACCCCTCCTCCCCATCCCCGCACTCTCCCCACTCGCATCCCCACCCCTCCCCACTCCCCCCCACCCCTCTCTCCGCCCCTCGCTCCTCCTCCACCTTCCTCTCAGACGTCCTCAAAGTCCTCCGAATCCGAACCTTCCAGCTGATTATAGCTCAGGGCGTCGTAGGCTCGTTCCCCTGGGCAGCAGGCGCGTTCTTCCCCATGTGGTTCGAGCTTCTAGGCTTCTCCCACGCCTCCACTGCCGTTCTGCTCTCTGTGTTCACTGTCGCGTGCAGCTTGGGGGGGCTGTTCGGCGGGTGGTTCGGGGATGTGATGGCGCGGAGGTGGCCGGATGGGGGGCGGCTGGTGTGTGCGCAGATCAGCGCTGGTTCGGCGGTGGTGCTGTCTACGGTGCTGCTGAGGGTGGTGCCGCATTCGCCCGAGTATTTTGGGGTGTACCTTATGGTGTTGACCCTGATGGGGTTTCTGATCTCGTGGAATGCTGCTGGTACCAACAAGTGAGTGGGTTTGAAGGCAGGTCACTAACAGTAGACATGAGTACACGAAGCACTTGGGCCAGCAACAAGTGAGTTGGCAAAAAGATATGATGCTGACCTGGGTGTTTGGAAATACGCCAGCAATGAGTGCGCTAAGAATGTGTGCAGAGCTGGCATGTAATTTGTGTGATGCATGTGTGCCCAGTGTGGTGATTGAAAGCATGATGCCTTGCGCGTATGTTGAAAAGACACCATCCCATCCATGGCCATCCATGGTTCTTTCAACTCATCACTCCTTCCTCTCTTTCCCTCGTTCCCCTCTTTGCCTCTGTTTTTTCCCCTTTCCTTCTCTCACTCCCCTACCATTCCCAACCCCCAGCCCCATATTCGCAGAAATAGTACCCGAGCGGCTCCGCACAGACATATACGCGCTCGACCGAACCTTTGAAATGCCAACTGAGAGCTCATTTCAAGAATCACCCATTCGTCCCTCCCCATCTCCTCACAACCCCCCAGCCCCATATTCGCAGAGATCGTACCCGAGCGCCTCCGCACGGACATATACGCGCTCGACCGAACCTTTGAAATGTCCATAGCAGCCTTCGCCCCCCCCACTGTGGGCTACCTCGCCCAGGCTTGGTTCGGGTACATCCCACCCTCGCCCGAACCTGCCGATACCACTGCTTTGGGCAGCGATAGCGGGAGTGGTGTTAGCAGCAGTAGCTCATGCAGCCGAAACAGCAGGAGCCATGCGGAAATGGCAGCAGATGCTAAGAATGCCGAGGCGTTGTCGCTGGGTTTGTTCTGGACTATGGCGGTGCCGTTTGCGATTTGCTGTGCGTGCTACGGGTGGCTGTATTGGACATATCCCAAGGACCGGGATCGCGTTCGGGCCGAAGCTGCGGCCGAGGCTCGGGAAGACAGGAGGTTAGGTGGAGGTGGGGAAGGTAGTGGAGAGGGAAGGTGTTAATTTGACAGGACTTTGTACATATGGTTGTGTGTTGCTATGCTAGTGCTTCAAATATTATAACATAGAATCTGCTTCATGTCTTTGTAGATTTCCGACCGTGTCTGACTGTACATTCTAGACACGTTCGGTCTATCGAATGATTCGAACAAAGTGTAAATCCGGCATGTGTAAATCGTTCTTGCTTCGTTCCACCACTGCCCCTGTGCTAATCTGTCAAGCGACTGATAATCATCCCATCCAAGCCTCTGGCTGTTGCTCCTCAACTCAATGCTAGCCGCGATCGTATCGTCAGGCCTTTTCGAGGGTGAACGGTCATTAGGTACTATTGAGGCGCGTCGCAGCAGTTCGGTCATTTTCTCGAGGCGCGTCGCAGCATGGCGTCATTCTCGAGGCTGCACGACAAAGTGTTCTCGCAGCAGCACCAACAGCAGTGCGTGCTCGTCTCTCGGGCTTGGCTCCTTGCTGATCGTAACCGTTATCATAATAATTTTCACATTTTGAGCTTTGGTTTTGTGAATTAGTCACATTAACACGGTAACGAGGCACCTGAAACACCCCCTTACCTCCCGCTACATCAACTCTCGTTTCTCGTCCTTCTCTCAAGCACTAACAACAAAACGCGCTGCCGCTGAATGCGCGGAATTTCTTAAGGTCGACTCACCCTTTCATTCACCCCTCGTTATTGTCACTTTCGCTTCTCTTCGCCTCTCTCAGGCACTATCGCGACCATCTTTTGGGGCTGAATGCGTTTCAGCGACACCAGAAGTTCGTCCATGACTATGGTCAGTCGCCTTGACGTATGGTCATTCAGTCAGTCCCCTTGCTTGACACATCCCACAACGCAACAATTACGGCCAGTAACCTGTTTCTGAGGCTCCTCAATAAGTGCGTTTCAACGACACCAGAATTTCGTCCATGACTATGGTCAGGCAGTCCCCTTGACACATCCTACAACGCAACGACTATTGTCAGTCCCAAATATGGTCAGCAGCCTGGTTCTGAGGCTCCTCTATGATTGGGTTTCAACGACGCCAAAAAGTCATCCACGAATATGGACAGTATTGGGTCAGGCCCCGACAGCAATACGTGCGGCGATGGTTCATTCATAGTCAAACGCTGCAATGAGTCTTATTTACTGCACTTAGTCTTATTTGCCACGATGTACCAATCTCGTGAAACGGGCTTTATATGTCAGAGAATATCGTTTTTTTGTACCACGCAGAATACTGTTCGGGCCATTCTGCATGCAGCTTTGTTTGTCTTGTTCCCATGCCTTGCTGGCCACCACGGAAGCTCCACCTCCCTTGTTGCTCGCTCCCACACAAGGCACTCCGTCCCCTGTTTCTGACTTCACTAGGAAATGCTACAAATCCGTTTTTGTAACCTGCTTCTTATTGGTCAGTAAGGTACATGTTTTGCACACGGGGGGCGTGTGTCTGCTCATGCCAGCCAAACCCGAGGGTCTCTGCCTGCTCTGCAGCTCTCCTCCTCGCAGCCCCCCAACAGCACTGCACGGTCTGCCGCCCGCCATTGCTCCTCCGTGCCTGTGCCTGTGGCCCGGGAGAGGGGTGGGTAAGGGCGGGTGGCGGAGCGGCAGAAGGCACTGGAACAGTTCTGTGGACGGAAGGTTTGCTCACAGGGCTACACAGGCCTGCACATGCATGCATGTCCACACGTTATATGTGTATGTCCACATGCGCATCAAACGTGCATGTCCTGTACATGCACTTTCACATGTACGTGTGCATGCGCTTGTACATGCAAATATATATGTGCGTGATTCTATTGTACATGCGCCATATCTCTTTATGTATGTCCTGTTGTCGAATCATATGTACCCTGTTCCCTCCATACACACTCCTTGCCGTCCATCTTCAACTTATCCTCCACCCCGTCTCTTCCCCTTCACCCATCCAAACCTCTTAATATGCTGCTGTAAGTCATAGTTTATGCCACCCACCTCACCCCACCCCATCGAATGCCACCCAACCCCATTCCTCCCACCCCACGCGACCCTGCCTCATCCCACCCAACCCACCGCTCCCCACGCCATGGCAGTGCGTTTCTACGGCCGCTCGGCACCCTCAAGCGCTGCACCCGCATTCAAGACGGACCTGGACGTCCTCCGAGAGAGCTACAGGTGTGTGTTCTCAAAACTCTCTGATTCCTTAAAACCCTAGTCCACTTTCCCTTCCTCCCTCCCCCCTCCCCCCCCCCTCCCCCACACACACACTCACCTACCCCCCCCCCCCAACCTTACTCTCCCTCCCCTTCCTCTCCCCCACATCCCCAACCCTCCTCCCCTCCCATCCTTCCCCCTTCTCCCCCCTCCCTCCAGCTTGCCTATCTATCTACAAACACCACCCATTGCACGCATCACACCACTAACGTGCACTAACCATGCTTGTCCCATGTCCGTTCCATGTTTAGCCCATGTGTCTCTCAACCAATCTGAGGTGCAGGTTCATTCGGTCAGAGGCAGATGATGCACGCTAGTGTATGCATGTTCATGCACCGGCACCGCCCATGCCTGTCCCCATGCCTGGCCCCAAACCATGCGTGTTCCTCGCAAGGTGCAGGTTCATTCGGTCAGACGCAGATGATGCAGAGGGCACGTGGGAGCAGAGGCTAGCCAAGCGATATTATGACAAGCTGTTCAAGGAGTAAGCACTTGAACTTGAACCACCATATTTGAGCAAGTAGTCATACTGACCAGCTCTTTAGATTGTAAGCTTGTCCAAACTGATTTTGAGAAATTTCAGATGTGTCTGACTTAAATCTTGCAGTGACATCTGAAGTAGTAGTGACTGTATGACACACAATGACGGACGGAGACTGTGGTTGTTTTCTATTAGAGGGACCAAGTGATGTAACACTAGGAAGTGCTATTTGGTCACTTGGACCAAGTGATGTAACACCCAGTAAAGTGCTTGACACTTGGACCAAGCGCTTATTGGGAATTCTGAGAATTGAAGGACCAAGTGGTGAGGCACAGCAGTATGATGGGGACCACATAAGGAGCACTCAGTTTTCTCCTAAGCATATTCCTCGTCCTGTGTGTGCCTGTATTGGTGCAGGTACTGTGTTGCGGACATGAGCCGATACAAGGAGAACAAGGTAGTATGCACATCAGGCTTGCATGTGTATGATATGAGCATTGAACCTCACATCACATGTGTGCTATGGCTTTGTGTTTATTGTGTTCACATCGTGCTGTCATTGTGCCTCTCGGATCTATGGTTTAGTGCACGAGTTGTTTCGCTTACTAACAGCTGACATTTTGCTTAAGTTCAAACATACAACTTCTTTAACTAGTACTTATTTCAGTATTTCCATTCTTGCCTAATGCCGCGCTTTCAGATTGGCTTGCGATGGCGCACACATGCTGAAGTGCTGCAAGGAAAAGGTGAAGTGACTAAATAGAGTGTGTAGATGAAGTGGGAGGTTGAAGTGGACATGTGAAGTATGTGATTAAAGTGAATGGGTGAAACGAACAGGTGAATTGGATGCGAACAGAGGAAGCAAGAGACTCACCAGCTATTGCTCTTTCTTTGAGTGATTGGTGCATGCGTGGCTGCATGCCCACTTGCATGTGTAGTTGCTGCTTTTGTTTGATGAAAGGTGGCTTGAACGATTCCATGGCGTGTGATGATACGTTTCCATGTGTGTTTCCATTTCCTCTCTGCTGCGATCTATTCAATCTCATTCCTTCTCACATGTCCCTTGCAGGTCAGTTTGTGTGTGGCACTAAAGGGTGTGACAATAGAGAAGGCCTTCATAGCTACGAGGCAAGTCATACAGATGCATTGTCAGCCTCATAATCCTTGTTTGCTCCTCCTCTTATCCCCATCCGCCCACTCATTACGCGGTCGTCTGTGTTTCAACCCAAGTAAGTCTTTGTTCTTCTACGTTGACCTTATTGACCCATCCTCTATTCATGTGTTTCGTTCCTCCATGCATGCACCTCTCTTCTGATTCAATGGCATAAGTGCAACTCAGCGATTTTAGGTTAAAAAACCTGGCATGAAAGTTGTTCGGGGTTGGAAAGGCACCAAATGTCCTTTTGTATTTTTGTGTCACGATAGGTATACAACTTTGCTCGCATTGCATCCATGTTCCCATGACTTTCTGCTCACTCCCAGCCCTGCTCATCCCACACCCCTGCATGTTTCTTGGCCATGACGGCATGTATATCTGCATGCATTTTTTGCATGCATGTGTTCTTGCATGGCTATCAAGGGCAGGTCAATTTCGCCTACCATGAGGCTGGGCAGAAGAAACAGGCTCTGGTCAAGTTGAGGGTGTGCGCCAAGTGAGTGGGCTTGATTCGAACGTTTAAGAAACTATTAATGATAGTCAAGTGTGCCTGCTGAACGGGAAGTTTATCGAAACCTTTAAGAAATAACCTCTTGTTCAGGTCAGACGTCGGTTTTAAGTCGCCTCCTGAACAAAACCGACTGGATTTCATCTTCGTGTTGATAGTTTTCTCCTGTCAGTATTCTCATGCTTTTAACGCAGCTTAAACACACTTTCTCAAGTCAACAAGCCCATGCCACTTCTCCTCTCCCAGGCGCGCATAAAGGCTGAATTGTTGCTGAACGAAGTAGCTGGAGTGGCAGCGAGAGAGGAGTATGTCTCTGAGACAACTCAACTTTCTCAAACACTATCACACCTCACATCACCCCGTTGTTCCAGACACACATACCAGATGACTCAGAACAAACCCCCCATTCTCTTCCCCCTCTCCTGCCCGCCCCCCTCCCCCTCCCCGGTACCCCCTCCCTCTTCCCCCTTCCCCGCTTACCCTGGGGCCTGTGTCCTCCCAGGCATGCATATCGGCTCAACTAGTGCAAGGAGAAGAGCTGGAGTGTTAGCGAGGAAGGAGTGTGTCTCTGACTGAGGCAGCTCAAGAACACTCAAACAGCTCACCATTGCTCCTCACCGCACATCACCACTTTGTTTCAGGCACGCGTATCAGCTCAACTATCTCAAAGAGAAGGAGCTGGAGTGTCCACACGAGAAAAGTGTGTCTCTAAGGCGGCCCAAGTCTAACCTTACACCTCACCATCGTTCCTCACCGCACATCACCCCTTGTTTCAGACACGCGTATCAGCTCAACTACCGCAAAGAGAAAGAGCTGGAGCGGCAGCGAGCTGCAGAGGAGCGGGAGAGGGAGAGGGCAGAACGAGAGAGAAGGCATACGGAGAGGAAGAAACGGAAGACGCGAAGGTAACTTGGGATGTTGAATGGTAGTACTGTGGACTGGAACTCGTGCGCTTCAATCTGTAAGCTCGACTGCTTTCTTACTATGCTTGCATTGTGAACATGAACGAATTGTGCGTGGGAGTCCCGAGAGTTGAATTGTGTCAACAAAAACCGAGAGGAATATATGGAAAGAACGAATGTGCAGTAATGGGGCAATAGTGAGTGAGTGAACAGAAGTGAGGTTTGTTATTCATTTTTATACCACGGGTTTTTATGCTGCTTTGAGAGTCTGCTCTTGAACTCATGGAGAAACATGTTTCATGTTTCATCTGCCTCATTGCGCCATGCTCGGCTTTGCTTTCTGCACCTTTTTTGTTTTGTTTTGTTTTTGTTTTTGTTTTTGTCGCCGAATCTCCCTAACTCCCCCTCTTGTGACAATTTTGCCATTGTCTTTTTTTCTGCCCATATCACCATCCTCCCGCCTTTCTTTGCCTTCACTGTATACAGAGACAGCGACAGTGATTCTAGCAACAGCAGCCAGAGCGATACCAGTGACACAAGCGACAGCGAGAAGGGTGCAGCAGAGAGCGATAGTGATGAGGGCGACGATGCAAAGAGGCACAAGAGGCGTAGGAGTGAGAGAGCAAGGAAGGAGGGGCGCACAGGAAAGGGAGAGAGGCACAGTGTAAAGGAGGAGGAGGCTAAGCTTAGGAAGGAGAAGCGGGAGCATGAGTTTGGAAAAAGAGGGGGAAGCACGGCAGGTGGGGAAGGCCGGATAAGTGGAGCACGCGGGGAAAGTGGGGCTGGTGGGGCGGGTGAAGGAACAGAAGCAGGGCGGGATGGGGCGGTATGTGGAGCGGCTGATATAAGCAAAACAGCAGGAAGTGGACATGAGGTCGGAAGGGCTGGGCAGGGACATGGACCCGAGCAGGGACACGAGCAGGGTCACGGACAGGGCAGTGGAAGCGGTTTGGCAGATGGCATGGGCAAAAACGTCGTGGTTCAAGGTGAGAGGCAGGGGCTGCATGGAGCATGGTTTTTGGGTGTGTGCTTGCTGCCGTGTTCTATTGCTGCCCACTCTGTTCTGTTGCTGCCCACTCTGTTCTCAGTTGAGGCGGATGCCTCCACATGCAAGCATGTATGTCTCCTGCCACCATGCCTGGCACATGTATATTGTGTATATTATGTATATTGTGTAGATTGTGTGTATACACTCCTTTGATTCTGTATGCACTCTGCAGGGGGCACGCTGCCAGCCAATGAGGATGTGTGGCAGCAGCCAGCAATGGCAGTGGAGCCAAGCCGAGAAGAGGAGTTTGACGAGTACTTCCAGGGAATGTTCCTCTAGGCACTGTGGTTGTCGTGTAATATAGGGATTCAACATTTGGTACCGTAGTATAATTTTCAGTTGTAAATATGCTTATGTGAGTGCTGTGCGGTCCTGTGGCATGTACCTAAGTTTGGTGGGAACTTGGAAATAGCTGCATGTAGTGTATGCGTCGCCACGTAGCATAAATCGTTACATCCAGAGTGACGAAATGCGAAAATGTCAATTCGTTTCGTGCATGCTTCAGGACGATCAGAAGGTTCACCATGATGACGTCACGAGCCGAGACCACCTTCGCTTCGCCCAGAATTCTGGCTGTCAAGCGTCGAATTCCTCGTTTCCTGCTCTCTTTCGGTATTTACGCATAAAATAGGCGGTGTTCTCCAGGCACAATTGTAGTATATACCCCCTTTCTAGCGCTTGCCATTTCGCTAAAATATCTAACAATGTCCACGTCAGCGTCCGCCTCTAAATCCCGCCGGGAATTCCGCTTCTGCATCGACCGCGGCGGCACATTCACCGACATTTACGCCGAGGTTCCCGGCGACCCGCCCTTTCGCGTTGTTAAACTGCTTTCCGAGGACCCTCTTAACTACGATGACGCGCCGCGGGAAGGAATTCGCCGGATCCTGGAAGAGGTCACGGGCGAGAAAATCCCGCGAAACGCGCCGCTTCCTACGGAGCGAATCGACTGGATCCGCATGGGGACGACCGTCGCGACGAACGCGCTGCTGGAGCGCGCCGGCGAGCGGACGGCTCTCTGCGTGACACGTGGCTTTCCGGATCTGCTGCGGATCGGCAACCAGGCGCGCCCGCGCATCTTCGATCTGACGGCTCGGCGCGCTTCACTGCTGTACGAGGAGGTGGTGGAGGTGGAGGAGCGCGCGCAGGTGCTGCCGGGGGAAGAGGCGCAGGGGGAAGGCCTGGGGAAGGGGAACGGCGGGGGGGAGGCGGAAGGCGGGGGAAAGGAAGGGGAGGGTGAGGCGGACGGGGGGGAGGAGGGGGGAAAGCGCACGGTGCGCGGAGTTTCGGGGGAGCTAGTGCGCGTGCTAGTGCCGCTTAACATCGAGAAGACTCGAGCCGCGCTGGAGAAGGTGTTGGCACGTGGCATCAAGTCATTGGCCATCGCGTTCCTCCACTCTTACACCTTCCCGAACCACGAGCGCGCAGTGGCGGCTTTAGCGCGGGAGATGGGCTTTAATCAGGTCTCTGCGTCGAGCGATCTCGTTCCAATGGTCAGGATCGTGCCACGTGGACACACTGCCTGCGTGGACGCATATCTGACCCCCGCTATACGCACCTACGTGGGGAAGTTCCTAGCGGGGTTTGACTCGGGTCTTGCTGACGTGGCAGTGTCGTTTATGCGGTCGGACGGAGGGTTGACTCCCGCCCAAGCCTTCACGGGTTACCAAGCCATCCTGTCAGGTCCGGCAGGAGGTGTGGTTGGGTTTGCACGAACCACATTCGAGTTCGAGGATCGGGAAATGGAAGGTCTGGAAGGACTCCTGTCTGATGTCAGCAGCAGCAAAGAAAACAACCAAAATGATAACAAGGTAAAGGACGACTCTATTGGTGCTGCTGGTACAGCAGCGGAGGGAGCGCTGAGGTGTCATCCTGTGATTGGCTTTGATATGGGCGGCACATCTACTGACGTGTCAAGATACGCAGGGGGCGCATACGAGCAGGTTCTCGAAACCACCACCGCCGGCATCACCATTCAAGCCCCCCAGCTCGACATAAACACTGTAGCAGCGGGTGGCGGCTCTCGTCTTTTCTTCGAGTCGGGCATGTTACGTGTGGGGCCCGCGTCAGTAGGGGCCCACCCCGGCCCGGTCTGCTACAGGAAAGGCGGGCAGCTGGCCGTGACAGATGCCAACCTGCTATTGGGCCGCGTGCTGCCCGAATATTTTCCCGCCATTTTCGGGCCGAACGAGGACCTCCCATTGGACGAGCAGGCGGCGAGGGAGGCAATGGCTGAGCTGGCAAACGAAGTGAACCGCGGGATGGGTGGGGGGCAAGGTGAGGGGGACAAGGAGGGGGAGGGCAAGGAAAGGGAGGGGGAAGGGCAGGAGTCATTGCAAGGAGGGATGTCAGTAGAAGAGGTGGCGATGGGGTTTATCCGCGTGGCAAACGAGGCCATGTGCCGGCCAATCAGAGAGCTCACCGAGGCTCGGGGCCACGAGACCAGCACGCACGTGCTCGCTTGCTTCGGCGGCGCCGGACCTCAGCATGCATGCGCCATTGCCCGGTCCCTCGGGATCTCCACTGTGTTTGTGCATCGGCTGTGCGGGATTCTGAGCGCGTACGGCATGGGGTTGGCTGATCGGGTGGTTGAGATGCAAGAGCCGGCTGCTGAGGTGTGCTCCAATGAGAGCTTGCCACGTGTGCTGGCCCGGGCGGCGCGGATGGAGGAGCAAGTGCGGGTGGCGCTGTGTGGACGGGGGAGTGGGGAGGGGGGTGGGAGTGAGGGAGACGGAAAGGGAGGAAAGGGAGAAGGGGGAGAGGGAGAGAGTGGCGAGCGAGGGGAGGGGAGGAGAGAGGATGGGGAGGGGATGGAAGGAGAGAGGACAGGGGTGTGGACGCAGGTGCTTCTGAACCTGCGATATGACAGCACCGACACAGTTCTTATGGTCGAAGCACCACCCACACACACTCTCCCCTCCACCACTCCCTCCTCCACCACTGAGACAGCGCAAGCACATGCCGGCACAGACTCTTCCCCATCCACCACTCCCGCCTCCACCACTCCCGCCTCCACCACTCCCGCCTCCACCACTCCCGCCTCCACCACTCCCGCCTCCACCACGCTCCACGCCTCCCACCCAGCGGCATCGTTTGACTTCCAGGGTGCGTTCAAACGACGGTTTGAGCGCGAGTTCGGGTTCGACCTGCAGGGCGACCGGCGCGTGCTGATCGACGACGTGCGAGTCAAAGGCGTGGCTCCCTCCGGCGTGCTGCAGCAGACCGCCATTCCCAGGGCTGGGGGAAGTGAAGTGGGGGATGCAGAAGGAGGCTTGGTGGCAGCAGGGGCGGCGGAGGCGGAGGGGGTGCAGCACCGGGTGTACTTTGAAGGCGGGTGGCGGGACACGGCAGTATTCCGGCTGGAGAAGCTGCGGTGGGGGCATGTGGTGCGCGGGCCGGCAGTGATTCTGAATGGCACGAGCACTGTGGTGGTTGAGCCGGGGTGCAGTGCTGGCATCACCAAGTATGGCAATATCGTCATTGCTGTGGGGCATACGCTGCATGAAAGTGATTTGGAGGCAACAGCAGAAGCAACAGCTGCATCAGCAGTAAGAGCAGGAGCAGGGGCAGGAGCAGGAGAAGCAACAGTGGCAGCCTTACCAGCAGCACCAGCCGCCCCTTCCTCTCCCGCAGTCCCCTGGGACGTGGTGCGGCTATCCATCTTCGGCAATCGCTTCATGGGCATAGCAGAGCAGATGGGGCGAACCCTTCAACGCACCGCCATCTCCACCAACATCAAGGAGCGCCTCGACTTCTCCTGCGCACTCTTCTCCCCCGATGGGGGCCTCGTGGCCAACGCTCCCCACGTGCCCGTGCATCTGGGTGCTATGTCAGATACGGTGAGATGGCAGCTGGAGTATTGGGGGAGAGGGGCGGGGGTGGCGGAGGGCGGGTTGAAGGAAGGGGATGTGCTTGTAACGAATCATCCCTGCGCTGGGGGGAGTCACCTGCCGGATATCACTGTAGTCACGCCGGTGTTTCGCGAGGGTAGGATTATATTTTTTGTTGCAAGCCGAGGGCATCATTCGGAGATCGGGGGAAGTACCCCTGGGAGCATGCCGCCGTTTTCTCGGAGTATTTGGGAGGAGGGAGCAGCGATTCGGACGATGAAGCTGGTGAAGGGAGGGGTTTTCCAGGAAGAGGCGATTCGAGCGGTGCTGCTGGAGGGGCAGGTGTTGGAAGGGGTGATGGCGGGTGGAGCGGGGTTGAGCGGGTCCGAACAGGTCGGTGGAAGAACAGTGCGGCGTGTGCCGGGCACACGCCGTATCGAGGATAACCTATCGGATCTGCGCGCACAGGTGGCAGCGAATCAGCGAGGGATTGAGCTTATAGGGGAGCTTGTGGAGGAGTGTGGGCTGGAAACGGTGCTGGCTTATATGGGGTACGTGCAGGTGAATGCTGAGCAGGTGGTGCGACGCATGCTCACACGCACTGCCCTGAAACACTTAGAGAGCCAGAAGCGGGCGTCTCAGGAGCAGCAGCAGGCTTCCCAGAAGGCTTCACTGGAACAGCAGGGAGCAGCTGACAAGGCCTTACCAACTGAGGGTGATGCTGATGGTAATGGTGATGCTGATGGGCAGCAGCAGGTGGTGGTGCTGCAAGGAGAGGACCGCATGGACGACGGGTCTTTGATCCGCCTGCGCATCTCCATCCACCCTTCCTCCGGCTCAGCCCACTTTGACTTCACAGGCACCAGCCCCGAGGTATACGGCAACTGGAACGCTCCCACTGCCGTCACCACGGCTGCTATTATCTACTGCCTGCGCTGCCTGGTAGACTCTGAAATTCCACTTAATCAGGGATGCTTGGCGCCTGTGCGGATTACCCTTCCGCTGCATTCGCTGCTGTCCCCGAGTGATACCGCTGCTGTTGTGGGCGGCAATGTGCTGACAAGCCAGCGGGTGACGGATATTATTCTCGCCACGTTTGCAGCGGCGGCGAATTCTCAAGGGTGTATGAACAATCTCACGTTCGGCGACGGGACTTTCGGGTATTATGAGACGATTGCGGGTGGGGTGGGGGCGGGGCCGACATGGCAGGGAGAAGACGGGGTGCAAAGCCACATGACCAATACCAGAATCACCGATCCTGAGGTGCTGGAACGGCGCTACCCGGTGCTTATGAGAAGGTTCCGGCTGCGGCAGGGGAGTGGCGGGAGTGGGGAGAGGCGGGGCGGGCATGGAGTGGAGCGGGAATTGGAGTTTCTACGGCCTGCTACTGTCAGTATGCTGTCGGAGAGACGGGTTTTGGCGCCGAATGGGGGTGCGGGCGGCGGGTGTGGTGCGAGGGGGTTGAATTTGCTGCGGATTGCGCGGGATGGGAGGGTGGTGAATTTGGGAGGGAAGGCAAGTGTGGGGGTGGAGAGGGGTGATACGCTGCTGGTGTGCACGCCGGGGGGAGGGGGGTGGGGGATGGGTGGTGCAGGGGGGTATGTGCCTAGTGCCGAGGTGAGCTGGCCTAAGTTCAGCTGTGAGGAGCAAGGATGGTAGGGCGGCAGGATGGTAGGGCGGCAGGGTGGTAGGGCGGCAGGGTGGTAGGATGGTAGGGCGGCAGGGTGGTAGGATGGTAGGGTGGTAGGATGGTAGGGTGGTAGGTAGGATGGTAGGGTGACAAGATGATAGGGAGACAGGATGGTAGGCGGGATGCTAATCCCCCACAAGGGTATTCACATGATATAGATTGGCTGGGTTAATTTGTGAGTATTCAGGAAACTCAAAATCAAACTGAAGCGTATACCGAGTTACCTTGCTTGCTTTTAATCGGGTATGGTTCTTGGTTGGCCCACCCTCCCTGCACAACACGCATCGACGATTGCTGCTGGCGATTTCTTTCTTCACTGCGCGAATTTCGCGCCAGTCGAAGAATGTCAACGACTCGTCATTCGCTCGCACCTTAGATGTGCGCCATGTTCGCATCTTAGGGCTGTCGCTTCTCAATTTTGTCTTCGCAGATTTATTCGCGAGTTCGAAATATCTACCTTTGGGTCACAAGGCCGGGGGTTGGGGGTTTTGCAAGCGAACCAGGAAACATGTGTTGAAGCTACAACTGCAACCAGGTTTTCCGTTGGTGAGGTGAGGAGCAGGGCCTAGCCGTCCACCTAGTCACAGAAAGCGTTGTTGCCAGCCCCTACAAAGGCGGGATCCACTCAAATTTTGAGGTGCCTCATACGGCATGGATGATGGGAAGCTCTCTCTCCCCAGTCAGCACTCGACGACTGGGAACGGCTTTTCATGTCACGACTCGCGAATTGCGATGCGGCGAAGGAGCCACAGTCGGTTCCGACGACGTTCTTGAGCCTCCCATTTCAAATCTGGCAGCTTCACAACAGTGAAGTAATAAGTACCGCCAAGTCAGTTCACAGCTGTTCACAACAGTAGTTATTGTTCGCGAGGCAGTCTTTCGCAGTTGCATCGCGTGTGAAAGCTTCAAACCCTAGATCCGCAGCTCGGCTGTGACTCGTGATGCACCTGCCTTCGCGCTGGCCGCAGCATTCCCTGCCGGCCTTTGCGGCGTCATCGCGGAAAAGGCAAGTGCATGCGTGCGACTAGACAATCTTCTGGATTTGTGACGAAAGTTTCATTTTTTTTTTTTAATTTAATCTTTTTTTTTTCCTTCTTTCTTTCTTTTCAATTGAAGTCAGGTCCAAAGCTTTTTATTCTCCCAACCTACCACCCCTCGCGTGTTTACTGCTGATCCCATCTCGATTGCAGTAGAGGGTTCTTGCTCGGTTTCGCGGTCAGGTGGCATGGTCGTCCGAATCGCCCGGAGAGCCCACGTTTGCGCCTTGAAACGGGGGACCTTGGACTTCAAGAGCAGACTTCGTGACGAGGCTTCGTATGCCTAGTTGCGGTGGTTGTAGTAAGAGGGCAGCATGGCGATTTGCACCGCGAAAAGGGACTTTCTGCCCTGCCAGGTTTCCGAAACGTCCCTTTTTTCCGCCGCTGCACCATCTGTCTGGTCAGGATTTACGTCGGGACGAGGAAAACCCCATTCTAGCTCTGACGAGCGTTTTGGGGCTCTACTTGCAAATATCGCATATTTCCAAAGAAAAAAAAAAATCTCACATACACGCGAGGTCCCCTCCCCTCGTCCCATCCCTAGTCCCATCGCCGCTCCCATTGGCAGGCGAGCCCCCCCGCCTCCCCGTGCGTCCTGTGCGCCGCTGAGCCTTCACTACATACGCACGTCACGTCTCCCACTACCACTGCCTTCACTACATATGCAGTATGCAGCAGACGATGTCACGTCAACCCCAAAGCGCCAAGGCTTGCTCCTCCTGCCACTCTTCTCTCTGGGTGCTCTGTCCCTCCGTGAATGCTGTCACGGGCCCTCACCGAGACTGCTTCTCGTAGCAGCCGCTTCTAGTACCCCGAGGCGCGCGTAGCATACTCCGAGGCTTGTGCTTCTCATAGCAGCCGCTTCTACTACTCTCAGTCTTTTACCAGACAGAATCTATGATTATGGCACGCAGCAATGGCAGTGGTCTCCAGGTGTTGTCGCTGGTCGTTGCTGTCTTTCTGACGGTTTCTGTCAATCATGCTTCCGGAAGCAGTGAATTCAACTTGACGGTTTCCGTCAAGGCCGCATCCTCCCAATTCATTTCCCAAATCACGGTCGAATCTATCGATGGTGGTGGTGAAAGTAGGCTGCGAAACTCCGCCCCTCCTTTTCGAGTCAGCCCGACGTTTTCTTAACGATTTCCGTCAATGCAACCACCGTGAACCATTTTGAAAGAAGCCAGCTGCAGTGCTCCCTACTGTTACTAACTCCCTAGTACCCATGACCCATTTTGCTCCCCTCCCCTACCCTTCCTTCTCCTTCATTCTCCTTCCTCTCCGTTCTTTCTCCGTGGTTCCCCTTCTCCTTCCCTCCCCTTCCATCGACGGTGATGATTGACTTTTAGAAGCGATCAACGGCCAGCAATCATCTCTGATCCTGTTCCCATCTGGTGGGCAGGGTGGGCGAGTTCGAAGGGGAGCTTGGCTATTACCTGCCAAAGCATTTGAGGTCAGTTGAAGGTGCTTGCCAGAATACTTTAGTCAGTTGGTTTACTTGCTGAAGCCTTCCGTTACGTCGAACGCACCCACACACCCACACCCACACCCTCACCCACACCCACACCCACACACCCATGCACCCACACCCACACTCACACACCCACACCCACATCCATACACCCAAGCCCACACACCCAAACCCATATACCGCGCCCACACACCGTCACCCACACACCCACACCCACACACCCACACACCCACACACCCACACCTATACACGCACACTCGCACATCCACACCCACACCACCAACACCGCATGCGCGCGCGCACACACACACACACGCACGCACGCACGCACGCACGCACGCGCACACGCACATGTCCCCCCCCTCTCCTCCCCCCCCCCTCCCCCACCCCCCCCTTCCAACACAATCCCCCCCCTCTCTCTCCTCCCCTCCCCAGGAGCCAACCTCGTGACGAGTTGCCTTTTGGGTCGACTCAAAAGTACAACTTTCTCTCTCTCTCTCTCTCTTCATCCATTCTTCGCCGCCCCCCCTCCCGCCCAACCACGCCAGGCGTCACCCGGAGCGAGTCAAGCTTGCCACTCGCCCGCTTGGTTGTCCTCTTGACGCCTCTCGCCTACCCAACGTGTTTATGGGGTACTTTGAACACCTGCCTCTCCGCAAACCTTGGCCCCCCAACTTCTACGGCACTCCAATCGAACCCCAAAGTGACATTTCATGTGTCGCTTCGGGTGCCATCTCAGGAGGCGGTTCAAGTGACGGTTCAAATGGCAGTCCCAATGGCAGTCCAGAGAGCAGCTTCATTGGTGCCAATCCAACAACTGGGACCGGAAACGTTACAAGTGCTCTAGCAGAAAGTGTCTTAGAGGAAAGTGTCTCAGGCGGGGTTATCTCAGGCAAGAGTATCGCAGGTGGGATTTTCGCTAACGAGTCAGACTGGGTGAAGAAGCTCCGCTGCGACGGCCCTCCCTGCCCCTCCTTCGGCTCCTGCACCGCCCGCTTCCCCAACGTGCAGGCCTGCTGGAACCCTTAATTCGTGGATGGGCCCGAGGACGATATTCGCCCCCCTATAAACTGCCCCCTTAAAAACAATAGCATTCAGCTGGAGAAGTGGAGGCATCGAAGGGGGTGGGCGCCGTTTGACGAGACGTGCACTAACCGGAAGGATTTCACGCAGCACGATGCGAGCGCGCTGCAGGTGATGCGAGCGCGCTGCAGGTGATGCGAGCGCGCTGCAGGTGATGCGAGCGCGCTGCAGGTGATGCGAGCGCGCTGCAGGTGATGCGAGCGCGCTGCAGGTGATGCGAGCGCGCTGCGGCTGGAGGACGTGTTTGCGACGGGCAATGGGTTTACTGCTGCCATCCGCTTGCAGAGCATTTGGCAATTCGTTTTCTAACCCGCTTTGTTTGTATTGGCGTTCGGTGCTGCTGCAGATGATGCGACTGGAGGACGTGTATGTGACAGCCAACGGGGTGAATCTCAACCGCACACACGTGTTCGTGAGGAATGGGTGCTGGCGCTTCCCTGGAATGGTGAGAGCTATGTGGAGGGAGGGATGTGAGGAGGAAGGGTTGTGTAGAGGGAGTTATCATTTAGGCACCTAAGCTATCTCAACCGCGCGCACTTGTTCGTGAGGAACGGGTACTGGCGCTTCCCTGGAATGGTGAGAGTTGTAAAGAGGGAGGGATGAGAGTGAGTGAGAGGGGATGTGGGGGAGAGAGGGTTGCGTGGATGTAGGAGTTGCATGGAGCGAGGGTTGGGTTGGGTGTGTGCGATGGATGCTTCGTCGTGCTCATTGCACATGACCAACCTTTTTCAGCGTTCGTTCGGTCATTTCGTCGCAGTTGACTTTTGAGTCGACTAAAGAGTTGACTTTTGACTTTTGAGTCGACTCAAAAGTCAATGCTAATAACACATGACCAACCTTTCTCAGCGTTCGTTCTGGCATTTCGTCGCATCGGGCATGCTGCCGTACATGTAGTCAACGCCATCATCCATCGCAACAGGTTAAGCATGAGATGAGCCAACCGCTTGGCCCACAAAATCGTACCCAGCTGGTTTGTGAGTCGACTCAAATTTCACCATGTTATGCACTCCCTTCCCTTCCCTTCCCTTTCACCAGCAGGCCAAGTATGAGGCAACGCACGTCGTTCAGGAGCTGCCAGCAGTGTTCAACTGGGCGCACCAACCCGCCAACAACTTCTACCACTTCCTCGTGGAGCTCGTTCCTCTCTTCCTTGTCGCCGCGCCCCTCATGGCCTCCACGCTGCGCCACGTGCCTGTGCTCGTGGGCCGTAAACAGGTGGGTTTCGTTTGAGTCGACTTTTGAGGCGCCTCAAAATCCCTCGTGGCCTCCACGCTGCGACCCCTGCCTGTGCTCGTGAAGCATAAACAGGTGGGTTTCGTTTGAGTCGACTTTTGAGGCGCCTCAAAATCCCTCGTGGCCTCCACGCTGCGACCCCTGCCTGTGCTCGTGAAGCATAAACAGGTGGGTTTCATTTGAGTCGACTTTTGAGGCGCCTCAAAATCCCTCGTGAAGCATAAACAGGTGGGTTTCGTTCGTTCGAGTCGGGTGAAGCAGCGCCACCCGCCTGCATGCCTTCAGTTTCAAGCAACGCCTTTCTGAGCTGCCGTACAGTCGAACTTGGAGTCAAGCAGCAGTAGCGCTGCCTGCTGCATGCCGTACAGTTTCGAGAGATATCAAAACTTGATCGACGCACCTGCGTTCCAGGGGCCATGCATGGGTTGATTCAATCACCTGAATTTGTGATCATTGTCCAATTGTCCACGCTGCAGCATCACCTGCCCAAGCTAGCTAGTGCTGCCTAGGTGGGGTTTCACCCATCCCATGCATTGGGTGGTCCCCTCATTGCCATCCACGCAGATCAGATTCATTCGTAGGCGCCTTGGAAACTCTTTCCCGTGCCATTTCCATGCCCGTCTCTGCAGGTACATTGGTACGAGCAGCTGGGCGCTCCACTCATCGGCATCCAGACGGATCAGATTCGCCTGCTGCCCATATTTGACTATGACCTCTTTCATGCCCATGTGGTATACCAGGTAAGCTATGCACGCATGGCATGGCATGGCATGGCATGGCATGCAGATGTGGTGTACCAGGTAATGCATGCATGCATGGCATGGCATGCAGATGTGGTGTACCAGGTAATGCATGCATGCATGGCATGGCATGCAGACGTGGTGTCCCAGATAGACTACGTCCTCACATGCTATTTCATGCCATGCCCCCCCTGCCATGCCCTGTGCTGTCATGTCCAGCCGTGCCCTGCCATGCCCTGTGCTGTCATGTCCAGCCGTGCCCTGCCATGCGCTGTGCTGTCATGTCCTGCCGTGCCCTGCCATACCCTGTGCTGTCATGCCCTGTCATGCCCTGCCCTGCCCTTCCCTGCCATACCTGTGCTGCCATGCCTGCCATGCTATGCCATTCCATGCCATGCCCTGCCATTCTATGTCATGCCATGCCATGCCATGCCATGCCATACCATGCCATGCCATGCCATGCCATTGCAGTTTATGCCATGCCATACCACTCCCTGCTGTATCCCACCATGCCATCTCATATCAGACCTTGTCATGACCCCCGACCACCATATAGCCCCTCTCACAATTCCCTTCCCCCCACCTCCTCCCTCCTCCCTCCCCACTCCTCCACCTCCCCCATCCCCCAGCCCATATACCAAGACTGCAACCATCCCAGCAGGCCCCTCTGGCGATTGCTGCGGCGCCGCCATCTGCTGCACCCCTCCGGCATCCCTCTCTTCAATCCTGACTGGACCTACCGCAACCACCGCCCTCTCTCCCTTCCTGAAGCGCGCTCCTTCCCCTCCGACTGGGTGGTGGTGCTGGCGAAGCGTCCTGAGGGGCAGAAACGTTCTATGGTGAATTTCCGGGGGGTGGAAGCGGAGGTGGTGCGGCGGTTTGGCCGCGAGCGAGTGGTGGTGTTCAACGGATCGCTGCCGATTCTGCAAGGTGGGTCAAATAGAGGGTCCACTTCTGCATTCGCTCTCTTTCTTGTTGTGCATGCGTTGGAGCATTGCAGCCATGCATGTGTGCCTTTGATAGGTTCCTCTTGCCGCTCGTCTTCTGTGCTGTGTTTCGGGCTTTCACTCGACTCAACCCCACGTCGCCATGTATGAGACATTGACCTTCGTGGTAGAATCCTCTGTGCCTAGAATCCTCCGTGCCTTAATCCTCCGTGCCTTAATCCTCCGTGCCTTAATCCTCCGTGCCTAAATCCTCCGTGCCCAAATTCTCTGTGCCTAAATCCTCCGTGCCTAAATGCTCCGTGCCAAACATCCTCCCTGCCCAGAATTCCACATGCCTAATCTGCAGCCCATCCCTAACTCTTGAGCTCTCTCAGCACTGCCCACAGTGCCCCAACACTGTCTTCCACCTTGTGAGCTCTATCTTTGATTGTGATTTCACATAGCGAGCTGTAAACCCATACTCACCAACACAAACGACATCACCGTCGTTATCTTCATCCCTAACGCCCTCCATTCCTCCTTTCCACTTCGATTCCCACGCTCTCCCTGTGGCTCCCCCTCTCAGCCCGAGCACTCCTGTCACGAGCACGCTTCTACATAGCGAGCCTTGGAGCCGCACTCACCAATATGATTTTCATGCCGGAACAAAGTTCAGTGCTGGAGATTCGCCCTGAGGGTTGCGATATTACTGTCTTCAATGCGCTCGCCTCTGCCTGCTCCCTGCGTTACCATCTCGTGCTCACCAAGGGTGATTGGGGCACCCCCATTGTGGCGAATGTGACGAGCGTGGCTCAAGTGCTTGATTCTGTCCAGGCACGAATGCGCAAGGAGGATGGTGGAGATGTGGGGTTGTAGTGAGGAGGTGCTGAGCAAAAAAACTATTTTGTCAGCAAGGAAGGAGGTTCCTCTAAAAAGAAGTACCGTAATTCGCCCCTTGTGTAGCTAATGTGGACTTTGGTGATCGATTATTGCAATGGATGTATTTGATAACACATGACCTTAGGGCGGGTCCAGCGCGTACGTTTTCGGCTGGTGTACAGTTCATTCTGTGCGGTTATTCCTCTTCCGTCACGGTACAAAACGGTGGAAACTAAAAACCGCTGTGCACCATTTGGTCTCGTTTAAAACCACGACGGATGAACTGTAAACAAACTGAAAATGTACGCGCCGGACCCGCCCTTAAAACCTTTTTTCGGGTACAGAAAGGGACCTTGCTTGCCACCTTGGCCTCCTAGCAGTGATTTCTATCGGGATATCCCGAAGAGTCCTGTGTTCGTCTAGCACTGTGTACCAATGCTGTTGCAGTTATTCACCCACACACTGTAGCATGTCGCATGTTTTGTTTGCACCCAACGCTTACCGTATCCGTGTCATCGCAAAATGTGGGGTGACCAAAGAACGTAAGGGTGTCGTTCTGCAGGCATCACAGAGAGAAGGGGAGGGAAAATAGGAAGCTGCCTGCCTCTGCAATTTTAGGTTCAAAAGGGCGGTCAGCCCGGAAGATGCTGACGTGGCAGTCATTTCCCTTCCGAACCTACCCGTATTCTCCCGGACATAACACCCTAGGGTATTTGTAAAAATACAGGAAAAAAAAAGGGAGGTGTCTTTTCATAGGGAAAAGCTACATAATACCCGGGTCCTTACATATGGCATATTTTACTATTAGTGTTTTTTAAATTAGACAATGTGGGTGCCTTGTTGGTCGTTTTAACATCACTGTCTGAGGCGCGAATGTGAGTTTCGGCCGCGAACTTCATCACCCCCACGAAAATGCCATGTGGCACCATTCTGGGCACTTGCAGCGGAAGATTCACCAGCACGTGGCAGGGAGAAATAGTGGGAGGGGGAAAATATCGGCAGATTGTAAGTGAAAGTAACGCGAAATTTCATCGAGGGAGAAATTCTTGTGATATTCTTCCGTATTGCAGCTACTCGTTAACGACTATAATAACGAATTCGTAAGAAAAGGAGGGTGCTATAGAAAATCAGCCAAAAAGGGGGGTATAGTGAAAAAGAGGTCGCCCATAGCACCCACCCCGTCCAAGCTATCCGGGGGTGCTCTATCATGGGGGGGTGTTTTGTCCGGGAGAATACGGTAGTCGAAGGGAAATGCCTCTAGTACCGTACAGTCATTTCCCCTCAGGGAAATGCACCACCAGGAAGGTACCGTCACCCCCCGGATATAAGCGCCTCCCTGGGATAAGTGCCAGGCGCTTATAATTGGCATATGGGGCATATATCCGCTCCTCGATTATAAGCGCACCCCCTGAAAAAACTTGTTTTATTATCAGCGTACGTAAACTACTAAATTTGGAATTGGCTCAAAATACTGTAACGATTTTTATTTTAGCAGGCGGATGCGTTTCAAATTCGGTTCGCTTCACATTCCAACCCTGCACTGGATGCCAGTCCAGTCAGCAAAAGCTGTCGATGGCACCTTGTAAGTCACATTGAGTGTATCTCCCATCGCGCGCGAAAATTTCACTAAAGACCCCATGTAACTTCTGTTGAGAAACGCTAGTAGAAAGTTAGAAACAGAAAGAGGGGTTGCACTAGCAGCAGATAGGATACATATAGCAAACCCTAATTTGGGCTGTACTCACTATAGAGTACCCCACTGCAGACTAGACAATTATAGCATTCTGACAACTTCGACTCGATTGAAAAGGCAAGCACGAGATCTACAGTTTGGTGTTCAAAAATATTAAATATATGTATCATTTTATAAGCGCCTGCGCTTATAAAACCCCTAAAAACCCTGTTTTATTATACCCCCCATGGGGGCTTATCCGGGGGGTGACGGTACCTATTTTGTTGAGATGTATTTGTATTCATTTATATACCTGCCTGCAGTAGATCCTAGTGTAGCTATATGCTTCTTGTTTTGGTGGTGCATCTCCCCTCCTTTCCCAAATACGTTCTTGTTTTGCCATAGTGAAACCACCATCCTCCTTTGCTAAACTCTCTCGACACTCATGCTAGTACCCTCAACCCTAAGCCATGGGTCCTAAGATTAACTAGCTACTTTGACATATTTCCCCTCACCACCTTCCTACTCGGGCAAATTTGTTTGCCTCCGCCCCGCCATCAGCCACCCACCCTTCACGGGGAAGTGGGACCGTGACGGGAGGGAAGTGCTGGGCGTGGGACCCTCCTCCACGCAATTAACAAGCCTCCCACAACAAGGACTAACCCAACCAGGGTGGCACCTCCCTAATGGAAAAGTATCTGCCTTTCTGCCTGGGCGTATGAGGGGCTTGTGTCTTGGCTGTCTTGATCACTCGAAGTTGAAGTGTTGGCTGAGGTGTGATTTGGGGCTCGTTTTTTTGTACAAAGTACCCTGAGGCAACAAAAAACCCTGGTACAGTTAAGCACAGACTTGACTTGCCCTTTGATGGGCGCGCGAAATTCCGCGAGCACTTCGTCATTTCCCTTGGGAAACTGCCACCCCACGATGCTAAATTTCCCATCTTGAATGTTTGCCGAGGGGGTGAAAAGCGCCCTCGGAACCGACGTTGGAACCCTCCTCATTTCCTTTCTCCCTCCCTCCTCCCCCAACCATCAAGTGCCTGCAGAACGACACCAAGGTGTTAAATGTGGGCGCCTAATGCATATTTTGTCACTCTAATAAGAAGGTCAATGGCGACATAGGTTTTATTATCGCAATTGAGCAACCAGTGCGTAGTTTACAACAAAGTTAGGTTGTCGTCAAAGGATACACGTAGACCCCTGACGACTTCGACGCTATATCTGCCCCCGTAGGAAGCCATGGAACTTTGGATGCATCTGTCGAACGCGGCTAACTGAAATTTGGAATCGATGCAACTCGACATGACAAATGCATTTCTGAATGCGAAACTTGACTGTCTTCTTTTCATGGAGTAGCCCGAGTTCTACAACGATGGGACGGGTCGAGCCTGCATGCTGAAGAAAAGCCTCTACGGACTGAAGCAGGGTCCGCTTTTGTGGTACGAGGTCCTCGACAAAGTGCTGGACGACGTAGGATGGTCGAAGAGCCAGGTCGACGAAGCTTTCTACTTCCAGGAGGATGAGAACCGTGGCATGTGCTGGGTGCTTGTCTAGGTCGACGATCTGCTCGCCGCGAGCCGCAGCAAGGAGCATCTGGCGGAGCTCAAGGCACTGCTCAAAAGAATCTTCAAGCTGTGGGAGATCACCCTTGTCAACAAGTGTTTGGGATTGGAGCTGATCAGGGATAGGGAAGTGGGGAAGATCTGGCATCATTCAGAGATCGGGGCATCATTCAGAGATAGGGGGGCATCATTCAGAGATTGGGGGGAGTACCCCTGGGAGCATGCCGCCGTTTTCAAGAAGTATTTGGGAGGAGGGGGGGGGGGCAATTCGGACAATGAAGCAGGTGAAAGAAGGGGTTTTCTAGGAAGAGGCGATTCGTGCGATGCTGCTGGAGGGGCAGGTGTTGGAAGGGACGATGGCAGGTGGAGCGAGGCTGAGCGGGTCTAAACAGGTCGGTGGAAGAACAGTGCGGCGTGTGCCGGGCACACGCCGTATTGAGGATAACTTATCGGATCTGCGCGCACAGGTGGCGGCAAATCAGCGAGGCATTGAGCTTAAAGGGGAGCTTGTGGAGGAGCGTGAGCTGGAAACGGTGCTAGCTTATATGGGGTACGCGCAGGTGAATGCAGAGCAGGTGGAGCGACGCACGCTCACACACACTGCCCTGAAACACCTAGAGAGCCAGAAGCAGGCGTCTCTGGAGCCTGCCTCCCAGGGGGCTTAACAGGAACAGCGAAAGGCCTTGAAGCAGGCGTCCCAGGCGCAGGAAGGAGCAGCTGATAAGACCTTACCATCTGATAGTGATGGTGAGCGTGATGAGGATGGGCAGCAGGTGGTGGTGCTGCAAGGAGAAAACCGCATGGACGACGGCTCGTTGATCCGCCTGCGCATCTCCATCCACCCAGCCTCAGGCTCAGCCCACTTCGACTTCACGAGTACTAGCCCCGAGGTATACGGCAACTGGAACGCACCCACTGCCGTCAGCATGGTTGCTATAATCTACTGCCTGCGCTGCCTGGTAGATTCAGATATTCCGCTTAATCAGGGGTGTTTGGCGCCTGTGCGGATTACCCTCCCGGCGCATTCGCTGCTGTCCCCAAGTGATATTGCTGCTATTGTGGGCGGCAATGTGATGACAAGCCAGAGGGTGACGGATATCATTCTCGCCACGTTTGCAGCGGCGGCGAATTCTCAGGGGTGTATGAACAACCTCACGTTTGGCGACGGGACTTTCGGATATTATGAGACGATTGCGGGTGGGGTCGGGGCGGGGCCGACATGGCAGGGAGAAGACGGGTTGCAGAGTCACATGACTAACACCAGAATCACCAATCCTGAGGTGCTGGACCGGCGTTACCGGTGCTTCTGAGAAGGTTCCGCCTGCGGCAGGGGAGTGGGGAGAGGCGGGGCGGGCGCGGGGTGGAGCGTGAGTTGGAGTTTTTACGGCCTGCCACTGTCAGTATGCTGTCTGAGAGACGGGTTTTGGCGCCGACTTGGGGCGCTGGCGGCGGGTGTGGTGTGCGGAGGTTGAATCTGCTGCGGATTGCGCGGGATGGAGGGTGGTGAATTTGGGAGGGAAGGCGAGTGTGGGGGTGGAGAGTGGGGATACGCCGCTGGTGTGCACGCCGGAGGGAGGGGGTTGGGGGGTGGGTGGTGCAGGGGGGTATGTGCCTAGTGCAGAGGAGAGCTGGCCTAGGTTTAGTTGTGAGGAGCAAGAATGATAGGATGGCAGGATGGTAGGCCGAAAGTGGAGGTGTGGGAAGCTGGTGGAGGGTGGAGGTGGTTGGGTGAAAGAACATTGTCAGAGGGATCAACAGTATTTGGGGCCAATGAGTTTTCTATTTTCACAAGGTTGTGGTGAGAGGACTTATATTACAAACCCCCAAGCAATGCCTTCAGTTCGAAATCATTATGTCATCATATCTGGCCGGGCCAGTGGAAAACCAACAAACTTTCAAGTGCAGCAGAGTGAAATGCTATAACGAGACAGATGACCTTGGGAAACTGGCTGAGCGATCTGGTTGTTCACTTGTCACGCACGATCCCTGCTGGCCCTAGTCCTGGCGCGATCGGGTTTGCAACTGACGCGTTGTTCGCTCGCATCCCAGATTTTCGCCACAATCCACTCACAGTCGTCTTCGCAATTTTTTCCCTGAATAACCATATCTTCGCGGCGGGTAACAATGGGGGTCTTGGCACCTAGTCTGGTGCTTTTCAGGCTGTGGGCTCCTGGTTACACCTGCAACAGAGATTTCGCAGTTGATGTAACGCATGACCTACTCTAACCTATCGCTAGCTTCCTAAGTCAACATCGAGAGAGTTCCTCAATGAGAAATGACTCGATGGAAGTTGGGAAGGTTGAGTTGGAAGGGAAGGTTGGTTGGGTAGTTCCAAACCTCAACCTTGAGGCTTGGAAACTTCCAACCCATCAAAGTGAAGATTGGGAAGGTTGGATTTCCAACCAATCAAATTGTGACAGTTGTGGTTACAATCCAACCAAACACAAAAACAACCATACAACACAATTAAGTTGGGTTTTCCCAACCAAACAAATATGCCACATAGGCTCCAAGCCTATTAGCTCCCCAACCATGGAAACCATGGTTGGGAAGAGCCCCAAGGGGTATTGTGGAAGGGGTTGGAGCTTTCAAGCTCATTCCCACTTCCCAACTCCAACTTACCAACTTGGAAATGGGATTTCTCTAAGTCATTTTGGTTCTCCTAACAAGCTCTCCTACACAACTAGACTTGTGTTATTTCAAGGATAAGCTCTACAAGAAGCTACCCAACTACTCAAGCTTCATCAACCTTCTTCAAGCTCTCTTTCTCCTCTCAAGCTTCAAGAGTATTATCAAGGCTAGTTTATCCCTTGGTGGGATTAGTTAAACTTGGAAGCCTTGTATCTTGATTTTATAAATATTGTCAAGGGTGATTTATATTTAACACACGGTTGCCCGTTGTTATAAGGGCCGTGGTTGTTACATTGGTATCTAGAGCTAGGGTTATCCTAAGCCTAGTGGGGAGTTTGCCCCTAGAGATTTTTTTTTTTTTTTTTATAGATCTTGGAGTTGTGGTTTCTCTTTACGAGAGCACTCAAGATCTGGAAGCTTGAAGAATTCAAGATCTACAAGATCTACAACTACAATTTCAAGCTAAGAAGAGAGATTTATCTCTCTTACCCACCTTTTGGTGGAAGACTCTCTACTGTAAAGTAGTGGAGTATAAACTTTGATCTGGTGGATTTGTTGAGGGTTATACAAGTTCTTTTCATTGAGATTTGGATAGACCCTGCCCTTTCACTTAGGTGATTGGGAGTGCTAGACAACAAATCTGTTACCTTTGGTAACCTTGAATTATTATGTAGAAGAAATTTCTTTTATAAGAATTTCTTGCTTTACCATTGAGTTGGTAAAAGATTTTTAACAGAATCAACCCAGATCTTACAAGCTCCCTTAATCCTTATGGCATCTGGCCAAGAGAAGGATATGGCAAGGGAGGAAGGGCCCACTGCACCTAATGAGGTGGTGAACAATGCTGCTGAGATTGACCTCAATCAAGATGAGGCAATGGCTGACCTTGAGTTGGATAATATTGAGGACCTGGACTTGGACCTTGGAGAGGAGCATAACCATGGTGAAGCTGAGAACCATGGTGAGGCTGAGAACCATGGTGCAGCTGACAACCAGGAGGAAGAGGATAACACCGGTGGAAAGGAGGCCACTGGTGAGGAAAATGACTTCACTGAGGGTGAAGGCATGACCTATCCCATCTCCGAGGAGATTGTCCAACTCCAGGCTAAAGTGGCAACTCAAAATATCACCATCCTCGATCAGCAGGCGTCCATTGATGGACTCAACAAACATACTCAGAACCTTGAGGCTGAGATGCGCATTGTCATGAAGGAGGCTACTGAGTTCCGTCGCAGCCTGGGCACTAAAAACCGCGAAATTGAGTGGCTTCAGAAGACTTGCAATAATCTGCAAGCAGCAGTCACCAAGCTCAATGAGCAGTTGACCTGGGCAGTTTCAAGAATTGATCGATGGCAGTTGTGCAGGTGGTGCTGGTGGTGAAGGGATGACAAATGCAAGACATCTCTCACCACACTCCCCGAACGAATTGACACATTCCCCACACCAACTGCCACACTCTCCCCAGCAGCAGCAGCAGCTGGATAAGCAGGAGCAGGAGGGAGGGTATTTACGAACCTCCTCCTGGGCGTAGGTCTGCTCCTGCTGCTCAGCCGGCACCTGCTCCATCCGCACCTCCGCCAGTAGGCGCTGCGACGGCTATGCACCAGCCACCTCCAACCGAGACCTCGCCCTTTGGGTCTCTCTCGGCGCCTCTGCCTGAGTTTAACCATAGCAAGACGGAGGTGCAGCCTTGGCTTGACCTGGTGAATGACACTGTGATCCTCGCAAATGTGCGTCCTGAGGCTCGCGTTACTGCAGCTACTCGTGCATTGGACGAGGTGGCCCGCAGGGCAGTGTATGGCGCTAAGAAACAGGCTCAGGGACCATTTGGGTGGCCGGAGTTCTGCACCGCGCTGAAAGAGGCATTCATGGTCAAGAAGTCCGACCTGGAACTGCGCGGACGCCTTGAGCATATCAAGTGTCATGACCGTCCGGTGCAGGCATATGCGGTCGAGTTGGAGGCCGCAGCACGCTCGCTCCAGAAGCCCTTGTATGAGGAGGAGATGATGCACCTCTTCATGAAAGGCCTTCCTGTCAACCTGCAGGAGGCACACATGATCGGCGGCATGACCAATTGGACGACTTACAAGGAGCTGAAGGAGCAGGTGATCAAAACTGACACCGTCATTCGCACATACATCCATGGTCCTGCAAAGCCGGACCAGCAGCCCCGTGCTGAGGGCTCTGGTGGTCGTGGGAACCGGCCCCAGAACACCAATGGCGGAGGCGGTTGGAACAAGCGACCCTTTCAGCAGTGTGATCACCAGCCTGGACCGCAGGCCAAGAGGGCTAACGGGGGGAAGGTTGTGGCCCTAACAAGCCCGACTTCTCCAAGATGAGGTGCAGGAGCTGTGGAAGGATGGGGCACATCGAAAAGCAGTGCCGTGACAAGAACCCAGTCAAGTATTCTGGGAAGCCTAAGCCAGGCGGCGCTGGACCTTCTGGAAAGAAGGATTTTCAGAAGCCCAACTAGGGTGTGGGTACCTAGTTGGAGGAGTAGATCGAGTGGATGAGGCATATGTGCTATGTGATGATGATATATTGAAGCTAGAGAAGCTTGCTGATTGCAAAATCTCTTGTTTGTTTGCCTCTTCTTTTAATAAAAACTCTGCTTTTTATCCTCGATCGTACCCACTTGAGAAAATTTCCATGGAAGCAATGCAGGATAAATTTTCAATTATTTTCTATGGCTTGGACATTCTGCCTTCCGTCATTGAGGTTGTGAGTCGTTGCACTCAAGAGCACCCCCTGACTTCGGTCGCGTTGGTGACTCGCACAGTGAAAGGCGAATTGTTCCATGCGCTTCGTGGATGGCCGGTCCTAGCGGCGTGGGACAAGGGACACCATGTGTGGTGGACCAACTCTCAGTCGCATGGACGTGCTCGTCACAACGTCAAGGTGTATTACAAACCCCCGACGAATGTTGTGGCATGTCCTATTCGCCCAAGGCACCAACAGAATTTGTTGCTTGCGGGTAGCGTGAACGGGGAAAAGGCAAAAATCCTTGTTGATACGGGTGCAACTGTGTCCCTTTTTGATGAAAAGTGGGTCACAGCACGCACGATCCTCGTTGAAGGACCGTCTTGCCCCATTCGTCTTGGTGATGATAGCATCATCCCAAGCAAAGGGCGGACACGGATCAACATGGAAATTGAGGGATATCGCGAAGAAATTTGCGCGTATGTTTTACCTCTTCTCGCAGACGTCGACCTTGTCCTTGGAATGGATTGGCTTCGAACGAATGAAGTCAAGCTCGATTTCCAGGACAATACGGTCTCATTCTCAAAGAATGGGGATACAGTCCAGTGGCAAGTGCCCAAGGACTTGGTCACGAACGATCAACCCACGTTGGAACGCTCCGACGTGAGCTTTGCGCTTGCAAATGAGTTTGGACAGCATGTTCGACAAGCTGATACATTTTTTGTGGTACAGCTTGAGAATGCTGAACACGAATAGCCTGAGGTCGAGGATTTTCCGCCTCAGATGAAAGCACTGGCAGATGAGTTTTCGGAGGTTTTTGAGCCCATCCCAGATGGCCTTCCTCCGGACCGTGCTGTCGGTCACACCATCCCGGTGGAACCTGGAAAACTCCCACCATTTAGACCTCTGTATCGCCTCAGTCCAGCTGAGTACGAGGAGGCTAAACAGCAAATTGAGGAGTACCTCAGGAAAGGATGGA